TCAACTAAACTGATTAGCACTGGATTATCCACAACTGGTATATTCCCAAATTCCAAATAGACAGCAATATTTTCACAGCAACATCTGTGTCACTAATAACGGGTACTGAGATATACCTAGTGACCAACTACCCACGGTGTTCTATATGCTAGCTGAATCTTCAGTGTCAGCAACATCTAGTACACAGTTACCTAGTGACCAACCACCCACGATGTTCAATCTGCTAGCTGAATCTTCAGTGTCAGCAACATCTAGTACACAGTTACCTAGTGACCAACCACCCACGATGTTCAATCTGCTAGCTGAATCTTCAGTGCCAGCAACATCTAGTACACAGTTACCTAGTGACCAACTACCCACGATGTGCAATGTGCTAGCTGAATCTTCAGTGTTAGCAATATCTGGTACACGGTTACCTAGTGACCAACTACCCACGATGTGCAATATGCCAACTGAATCTTCTGTGTCAGCAATATCTGGTACACGGTTACCTAGTGACCAACTACCCACGATGTGCAATATGCCAACTGAATCTTCAGTGTCAGCAATATCTGGTACACGGTTACCTAGTGACCAACTACCCACGATGTGCAATATGCTAGCTGAATCTTCAGTGTCAGCAATATCTGGTACACGGTTACCTAGTGACCAACTACCCATGATGTGCAATATGCCAACTGAATCTTCAGTGTCAGCAATATCTGGTACACAGTTACCTAGTGACCAACTACCCACGATGTGCAATATGCCAACTGAATCTTCAGTGTCAGCAACATCTAGTACACAGTTACCTAGTGACCAACCACCCACGATGTGCAATCTGCTAGCTGAATCTTCAGTGTCAGCAACATCTAGTACACAGTTACCTAGTGACCAACCACCCACGATGTTCAATCTGCTAGCTGAATCTTCAGTGCCAGCAACATCTAGTACACAGTTACCTAGTGACCAACTACCCACGATGTGCAATGTGCTAGCTGAATCTTCAGTGTCAGCAATATCTAGCAATATCTGGTACGGTACGGTTACCTAGTGACCAACTGCCCATGATGTGCAATATGCCAACTGAATCTTCTGTGTCAGCAATATCTGGTACACAGTTACCTAGTGACCGACTACCCACGATGTGCAATATGCCAACTGAATCTTCAGTGTCAGCAATATCTGGTACACAGTTACCTAGTGACCAACTACCCACGATGTGCAATATGCCAACTGAATCTTCAGTGTCAGCAATATCTGGTACACGGTTACCTAGTGACCAACTACCCACGATGTGCAAAGTGCTAGCTGAATCTTCAGTGTCAGCAATATCTGGTACACGGTTACCTAGTGACCAACTGCCCACGATGTGCAAAGTGCTAGCTGAATCTTCAGTGTCAGCAATATCTAGTACACAGTTACCTCGTGACCAACTACCCACGATGTGCAAAGTGCTAGCTGAATCTTCAGTGTCAGCAATATCTGGTACACGGTTACCTAGTGACCAACTACCCACGATGTGCAAAAGTGCTAGCTGAATCTTCAGTGTGTTAGCAATATCTGGTACACAGTTACCTAGTGACCAACTACCCACGATGTGCAAAGTGCTAGCTGAATCTTCAGTGTTAGCAATATCTGGTACACGGTTACCTAGTGACCAACTGCCCACGATGTGCAAAGTGCTAGCTGAATCTTCAGTGTCAGCAATATCTAGTACACAGTTACCTCGTGACCAACTACCCACGATGTGCAAAGTGCTAGCTGAATCTTCAGTGTTAGCAATATCTGGTACACGGTTACCTAGTGACCAACTACCCACGATGTGCAAAGTGCTAGCTGAATCTTCAGTGTTAGCAATATCTGGTACACAGTTACCTAGTGACCAACTACCCACGATGTGCAAAGTGCTCGCTGAATCTTCAGTGTCAGCAATATCTGGTACACGGTTACCTAGTGACCAACTGCCCACGATGTGGAAAGTGCTAACTGAATCTTCAGTGTCAGCAATATCTGGTACACGGTTACCTAGTGACCAACTACCCACGATGTGCAAAGTGCTAGCTGAATCTTCAGTGTCAGCAACATCTAGTACACAGTTACCTAGTGACCAACTACCCACGATGTGCAAAGTGCTAGCTGAATCTTCAGTGTCAGCAATATCTGGTACACGGTTACCTAGTGACCAACTACCCACGATGTGCAAAGTGCTAGCTGAATCTTCAGTGTTAGCAATATCTGGTACACGGTTACCTAGTGACCAACTACCCACGATGTGCAATATGCCAACTGAATCTTCAGTGTCAGCAATATCTGGTACACGGTTACCTAGTGACCGACTACCCACGATGTGCAATATGCCAACTGAATCTTTGGTGGCAGCTGAAACTGGTCGCCAAAGTGACCAACTAATCACGATGGGCATCATATTTGAATCGTCCGATCAATAGCTGGTTGCCCAGCAAGCACATCTAAACCATACACTATATTTGAACATTGATTTTTCCCCTTTTGTATCTCTATTCATCTTGTAGCATCATTTGTAGTAATTTAGGAAGTGGTTTAAATCTGTCTTCATATCACCACAACTGCGTCACAGCTCGTCAATATATGTATTTTTGAAAACAGTGTTTGCTAATTGTTGGTACATCAATAGATCAATTGATATAGAAACAACTCTATTTCCACATAGACCATTCCTTTCCTTTTATCCAAATGAGTGTATTGACCTTCTAATATAGGATGTTTCAATTGAAACTACTTTCCTGAATCAAACAACTGCTTCAGATTTTCCCATAACATCCTGAAATGAGTTATCACCGTGTCACTGTTCGTCATGTAAAGATTTCCCTGTGAAAGATTCAGAAAGGCCAAAATAAACCATATTGAAGACCTCTCAAAAATGGTGGAAAATATCATTCTTCAATATGAGGAATATGTCAGTATTAGCCTTACCCGAAATGATTTCTGAATCAGTAAGGTAAACCATAATACTGCCTTGTGTTCACTACTGAGACTCTCTCCATGTGTAAGGTTAAGCACTCTCTGCATAATAATATGCTAACAAAGCAGGAATTACCCTATGTAACATTCTTCAATTGTCTTCCTATTGTCATCCAACTCAACTGGAGATGGTTAACCCTGATCGGGTAACGGTTAAACCCTGATCTATGCCATGTTATTTTGAAATGTCTCTCGTCATATAACAGTAATATTTTGCATGTGTTGCTGAAAAAGTACAACTTTTTTCTTCCATTCATGAGTCTTCCTCCAATAAAACCGCTTTTACCAAAATGCATCAAACCAACAAATGTACATTCAATGGATTTTAATAAGTCTTCCTGTTTGTTGTAGCCATTTAGCCGCAGTTTATAGTTTTCCATTTGTAACATTTCTGCAGATATATCATCAATTGTTATGTAGATATGAAGGCTGTCTCTGTCTCTGGGGAATTCTTCCTTAACTCATCCCTTTCTTAACTGACCCCTCATTACTGCAGGAACATGTCCTCAGGTGTGGATCTTTTTACGCGCGCGCTTGTGTGTGTGTGTGTGTGTGTGCGTGCGTGAGAGAGAGTCCCCCCCCCCCTCTTTCTCTCCCTCCCTCTCTCTGTGTTCAAGGAGTCTTCCATATAATCTTCAACACTGTTTCTTCTCGTTGCCCTGTTCCATATCGGCCTGTATATCTGTATCCCAGATTACTCATCACTGTTCATGCTACAGTTATCATGCCATCTAGATACACGATCAGGTAAACAGGAAACCATTCGTCTTCCCAACATTTATTATTGAAAGATAGACTACCAATATCGTGATAAAGAAAACAGCCCACATCGATAGTCGATAATCATCGGATGCGCCTTCCCTCCACTGAGCAGTCTATAAACGTTCTTATTAACTATTTGTCATTTTATAAAACGTAGCCTCTTTTTAACACCTGTCAAGACCTACGCCCACATCTTGATTGATTTTGCTATTCACACGAACCGGACCAACAAGCTCGTTGCAAGATATGGCAATGACTGCTTGATGACCAACACAAAGATGTATATCCCATTTGTGGCATCAATCATGCATCCTTCATTTATGGCGTATTGTCATGATTCTCCTCTGAATCTATTATTGACTAGACCCCGTAGACCTGTATATAGTTATGGTTATTTAAATGAGCCCTGACCTTGATACAGCTTCGCTTTGTAAGCTGTCATACTGTTGGCCTCTCCCCTTTATAACCCTCACAGTTTCTCTTCTGCCAATATTTCCTTGGGGTTGTCCTGTTTGTCTACACATCTAGAGTTTCTCTGGTTACATACGCTTTCGTGTATGAATGATAACATATCTCAATCCTTCACCATCCTTAATATGTGCTACAGCAGGTCTTGAAACTTCCCTTCAAGGGCACAAACTCATTCAAAAGGATTCTTCGTCATGAGAGATTTACGGGTTCTATTCCTTAACTGGTGAGAATTCTTGGTTCAGATGTTAAAATACACACAAGTTGTTCTGGTACTCTTTGAGAAACTTACAAATGGTCAGAAACGACCAGCCTTCAAGTGCAATTGCTTTGTCTTTTACGAGATGAAAAGGGTCTTAAGAGAGTGGTGAATGGCGTCACGGACCAACTGCTGTAGCCCAGTCCATCACATGTGTCCATGCATCATCATCAGTGCATTTGATACTGTTGCTTCAATGAAACATGAAGGGTATATCTTTTTCACATTTCTTCTGTATGTTTACCAAAATTCAAGAAAGAAGATAGTTCATATGAAACGACACATATATATGAATTCATTTTTTATCTAATTTCAAATGCTAAAAGTACAACCGAATCCATTAAAACTAAACATGACATGGGTTGGACATCCAACCCTGAAACATTACCATCAACTTTACATTTTAAACAACCCTTAAATTTCGAATACGCTTTCTAAATGGAGGGACATCAGGTTGCATTTTAAACATATTCCACAACTGGGCAGATCGGTGACTGTGCACATGTCAGGTACTTCAATGAACTACAACATGCACCAACACCAAAATGGAATCCAGCGCTTCCGAGACGTGAGCAACATGTGCAGGTACAATGGAAATACAACCGGCTTCTAAAAGTCAGTTTATGGAAACTTTAGCTGAAACGCAAAAAAACAGAACAAGATAAATTCCATTCCAGTGAGTCTTTATCCCAATCATCCAATATTCCAAATTACGTCAATTAAATGAACAACAACTCCATTACCAGAATCAGAGTCATGGACTTGGGACTGATTTGTGATGGACACAGATCAACTCAAGCCCTGAGGTTCCTTAATGACTGCAACGATCAAAGATCACACAGTATGCTGATGTCTCCTACATTAACTGTACCCAGATTTGAAGCAGATATTGCCTCTTCATGCAGAAAGAAAACTCTTGTTGGATCATCTCTCGAGACTCTCGCAAATTCTAGCAACAACTACAGTAGATTCTAAAGATGTGACACAAGAACATCCTCTATCCACACCATACCAGGTACACACACACAGGGCTTTTCTGCGGGTGTAAGTTCCCTGGAGCAGGAAGTAAGAGGCGTTTTGTACCTCACCAGCTGTTGTCGTATGTGAAGACGCAGGACTTCTCTGTGGGTGTAAGTTCCCTTGAGCAAGAAGTAAGAGACATTTTGTACCTCACCAGCTGTTGTAGTATGTGAAGACGCAGGACGTTTCTACGTGTGTAAGTTCCCTGGAGCAAGAAGTAAGAGACATTTTGTACCTCACCAGGTGTTGTAGTATGTGAAGACGCACAGTCATGCACGGGTGGACGTCACTGTCAATGTGTTGTGGTCATCATATATCTCACCATTGCCCGACACGTGTGGAGTGAACTCATCTGTTTCATCATTATGTCTACTAACACAGAATCTATATAATATTTAACCCTCTTTTAGCTTAATTGACAACTTTTAAAATATTTTCAACTTTTACATAGTTCAAGCCTTTTAGAACCTATTTCCACATATTGTATTGTAAATATAGTTTTATATGTAGACTACATTTTAATGTACATTAGTAGTTCGTCCAATTAGTAGGTTCACTTTAAAATCATTTACCTTAGTAAGTGGTTATGTTTCTGACAATTTCGTTGTTTGCAGTGTTCATATATCTGTAATGTTATTTGTCGTTTTGGTGACATCCACGATCACGAGTATGGTGTCAGTAGACGTTTTACAAGTACTAGAATTCAGTATGATTGTAAAGAAAATGTAGTGAAGAGTTGTATCGACACGGCATACATTGAACAAAATGTTGATTGTAGATAGTTATGTCTCGTAGTTTGTCCCATAGTCGATATTGTCACTTGTGTAAATTTGTTGTAGTCAATCACAATCGATTCACACGTAAATGTATTCCAGTTATAGATTATATTACCGTAATGACTTGTAGAAGCCCACATGATGTCAAATATGGCTTTATAGCAAATAACCGAAATTCATTACTTATTATCCGTTCAGTATTTATGTCTAGTAACTTCCTATTTATTGAACATTTTAGCTTGTCTTTTTCCTTTTTCATATGTTGTCTAGATATCTTCCTCCCTGATCAATAACTGCATGTTACACAGACTTTATAAACCATCCCTTTTTCATTTGAACACATTTATGTATGTTCCCCGAGAGACGTAAGTATATGTATGCTCGTAGACAGAATGCACCCCTATCTTAGTTATCCATATTGGTGGCCAATTCATCTTGTATCTACATAATGGATTGAAATCATTTCATGATTTTTAAAGTACTTATGTCTTTAAAATATGTTGTACATTCCAGACAACAACGTCCGTGGAAGCTACAACAACGCTGTCAACGTCTGATACTACATACCCTCTGCCAGCTCCACCTACAACACTGTCGGTATTAAGTGTAGAGGACAGTTCGACGCTAGAGATAACGTCCCATGAATCAGCATCAGCACCACCTGGCACAGATACGTCATATATGATTTCATCCTCAACAGTATCAGTATCTTCAGCTACAGCAACATCAATAGAACCTGTCTCTACAGCTATAACGTCCCCAACTACGTCTGCTGGTACAACAATGTCCACGGTATCTACAGATACAACTACAACTTCAACAGCGTCTGCATCTGCAGACACAACAACAGCAGCTATATCTTCAGATATAACATCAACAGCACCTTCTGATACAACAACCACATCATCAGTTTCATCAGGTACAACACCAGATACAACAACGTCAAAAGAATCTGCAACTACGGTAACAACATCAGCAGTGTCTACAGATACTACAACAACAACGACAATAGCAACATCTGATGCAGCAACAACTTCAACAACAACAACAACGTCATCCGAATCTGCAACTACATCAACAACAAAAGCAACTGCATCGTCAGCTTCAACAACATCAACAGTACTACAGTCAGAAACAACTACAGTTGCATCTTCAGATACAACAACTCCAGCAGCACATTCTGATACAACAACTTCATCAGCAGCATCAACACCTACAGCAACAACATCAGCAGCAGCATCTTCAGACACAACTTCGTCAGCCGTCCCTTCTGAGACAACAACAGGACCAGCAGTATCTTCTGAAGCAGCAACTTCAGCAGCACCTTCTGAAACAGCAACTACTACATCAGCAACATCAACACCTACAGCAACAACATCAGCAGCAGCATCTTCAGACACAACTTCGTCAGCCGTCCCTTCTGAGACAACAACAGGACCAGCAGTATCTTCTGAAGCAGCAACTTCAGCAGCACCTTCTGAAACAGCAACTACTACATCAGCAGCATCAACACCTACAACAACAACATCAGCAGCAGCATCTTCAGACACAACTACGTCAGCAGCCCCTTCTGAGACAACAACAGGGCCAGTAGTATCTTCTGAAGCAGCAACTTCAGCAGCACCTTCTGAAACAGCAACTACTACATCAGCAGCAGTGTCTTCAGACACAACTACGTCAGCAGCCCCTTCTGAGACAACAACAGGACCAGTAGTATCTTCTGAAGCAGCAACTTCAGCAGCACCTTCTGAAACAGCAACTACTACATCAGCAACATCAACACCTACAGCAACAACATCAGCAGCAGCATCTTCAGACACAACTTCGTCAGCCGTCCCTTCTGAGACAACAACAGGGACCAGTAGTATCTTCTGAAGCAGCAACTTCAGCAGCACCTTCTGAAACAGCAACTACTACATCAGCGACAGTGTCTTCAGACACAACTACGTCAGCAGCCCCTTCTGAGACAACAACAGGACCAGCAGTATCTTCTGAAGCAGCAACTTCAGCAGCACCTTCTGAAACAGCAACTACTACATCAGCAACATCAACACCTACAGCAACAACATCAGCAGCAGCATCTTCAGACACAACTTCGTCAGCCGTCCCTTCTGAGACAACAGCAGGACCAGCAGTATCTTCTGAAGCAGCAACTTCAGCAGCACCTTCTGAAACAGCAACTACTACATCAGCAGCATCAACACCTACAGCAACAACATCAGCAGCAGTGTCTTCAGACACAACTTCGTCAGCCGTCCCTTCTGAGACAACAACAGGGCCAGTAGTATCTTCTGAAGCAGCAACTTCATCAGCACCTTCTGAAACAGCAACTACATCAGCAGCAGCAGTGTCTTCAGACACAGCTACGTCAGCCGTCTCTTCTGAGACAACAACAGGGCCAGTAGTATCTTCAGAAGGATCAGCTTCAGCAATACCTTCTGAAACGGCAACAGAACCTGCATCTACACCAACAGCAGTATCTTCAACTGCAGTAACAACGCCAGGAGTATCTTCAGATACAACAGAAACTACAACATCAGCAACAGTAGCTTCAGGTACAACAACGACAACATCAACAGTATCTTCTGATACAGCAACAACATCAGCAGCAATATCTTTAGCTGTAGCATCGACAGCAACAACTTCAGAAGTACCATCCTCCCATTCAGAAACAACAGCATCTTCAGCTACAACTTCATCAGCTCTACCAGCTGCAGAAACGTCATCAGCAACAACTTCAGAAGCATCACCTTCCCATACAGAAACAACGTCAACAGCATCTTCAGCTACAACATCATCAGCAGTATCAGATGCAGAAACGTCAACAGCACCTTCTGATACAACATCTTTAGCATCTTCGGATACAAATCCGCCAGCAGTATCTTCAGAAACATCTTCAGCTACAGCAACAACCCCAATAGTATCTTCGGATTCAACAATAGCGTCAACAGTATCTTCTGAAACAGCAACATCGCCGTCAGTATCGTCAGCCGTGACATCAACAGCAACGCCAGAAGTATCTTCTACAGCATCAGAAGCAACGTCAACGGTATCTACACCAACAGAAACAACGTCAATGGTGTCTTCGGCAGAATCTTCGTTGACAACACCAACGTCAACAGTATCTGCAACTTCCGCAACCTCTTCAGCAATATCCTCAGATACACCAACTCTAGCAGTATCTTCAGATACAATAACGACGACAGAAACTACCCCTACAACAACATCATCAGCTGCTGGGTCTTCAGCTACAGAAACACCCTTAACAGTATCTTCTGATGCAGCAACATCGTCATCAGTAGCGTCAACTACGACATCAGAATCAACAGTATCTACACATACTGATACAACATTCACAGTAGCTGCATCTTCATCACCCACATCAGCAACAGTATCTTCAGAAACAACAACATCAGCAGTATCTTCTGAAACTACAACGCCAGAAGTATCTTTACCAACAGCAACGACGTCAACAGGAACAACACCTACAACATCTGCAGCAGTTGGATCTTCAGCTACAGCAGGACCCTCAACAGTATATTCAGAGGAAACAACAACGTCAACAACATCTGCATCTACTGCAACAACATCAGCAGCAGTAGAGACAGATGCAACACCATCAACAGTCACACCGTCATCAGTGCCGTCAGCTACGACAACGGTATCTGCCAATGCTGAAACAACACCAGCAACTTCAGATATAACGTCAACAGCACCTTCTGATACAACATTATCACCAGGAGTATCTTCAACTACAACATCAGCGTCAACATCTTCTGCATCTATAGCAACAACATCAGCAACAATACCATCAGATGCAACATCAGCAGTATCTTCCGACACAACATCGACAGAAGTATCTTCTGCAACAGGAACAGCGTCAACAGCACCTACAGCAACGGAAACAACGTCAATGTTATCATTAGCAGAATCTTCTTCTACAGCAACAACGTCAACAATATCGTCTGATTCAGCAACAATGTCAACAGCACCTTCTGAAACAACAACACCGCCAGAAGTATCATCAGCAACATCAGAAACAGCAGCAGAAACAACGACAGAAGTACCTTCGAATACAACTTCCGCACTACTTCCTAATACAACAACAGCATCAGTGGCGTCTTCAGCTACAATATCAGTGCCAACAGAAACAACATCAGCAGTAACTTCAACAGCAACAACAATGTCAACAGTAGGAACATATTCTTCACTTTCAACCATGCTCAACAGTACATCTTTTTTGTCATCATCAGAGACTTCGACATGGGCAGTTTCTTCAGAGGAAGTAACTTCGTCACATGGTGTCATTTCCCAATTCACGTCAGAAGCCATTTCAGCACAAACTGAATATCCTTCTGTTTATGCTACTGAAACATCTCCAGTCCTAGAATCGAGCAGCAATGATGTTTTCTACTCAGAAGGTGTGACCTCAGAAGGAATAGTAAGCTCCTCCTCCGCTGTCCTTTCGACGTCAACATCAACTGCTACATCACAAGATGGAGTCACGTTATCATCAACGTCGGATATGCAGCCGGCTCAGTCTTCATCCTCTTACCTCGAGGAGACATCATCATCTTTGATAATGGAAGCAACATCTACTACATCTGTGGTAATGGCAGCAACCACATCGTCAGCGTATCTCGAAACATCATCTTTGATAATGGAAGCAACATCGTACTCGAAACATCATCTGTGATGACGGAAGAGGCTCCGACTGCATCTGTGGTAATGGGAGCAACCACATCGTCAGCGTATCTCGAAACATCATCTGTGATGACGGAAGAGGCTCCGACTACATCCGTGGCAATGGGAGCGACCACATCGTCAGCTCACCTCGAAACATCATCTGTGATGACGGAAGAAGCACCGACTACTTCAGTGGCAATGGGAGCGACCACATCATCAGCTCACCTCGAAACATCATCTGTGATGACGGAAGCAGCACCTACTACATCTATGACGATGGCATCATCAACGTCATCAACGTACCTGGAGGCAACAACATCAGCATACATTGGTGAATCATCGTCACATCTGATGATGGAAGCGACACCAACCACATCTGTGGCAGTGCCAACACCCACATCATCAGCATACGTCGGTGTATCATCATCATCCGTGTCATCAGTTCAAGAACCCACCACATCCGTCGCCCTACAACCAACTACATCATCACAGGTTGGTCAAACATCGTCCTCTGCGATAACTCAACCGCCAACATCCACAACTGTGACAACACAACCAACCACAACATCATCAACAACAGCCGTGGCAACAGTACTACAACCAACAACAACACAAGTTACACAAACAGCGAAGTCATATAGCGGAGTAATTAAGGTTACAGACGGAGCGACGTGGACGGAAAATCTCAACGACAAAAATTCGGATGAATACAAACAGCTAAAGCAGAAAATACTGAAATTCGTGAGTAGCTCACTATATTTCACTCATTCAGAAGTATCATTTTCAAATATGTCGACTATTGTAAATGACTGACCTTTAATCGAAATCGATGTTCAGAAAGGAACAATCAAGATTAAAAAAGTATAATGCTTTCTATAATGAAACATGAGACTAAATTGATATTATGTAAATAAAACGTTTTTATTTGATGCTATTGTTGCTGCTGTTTTTTATCACGATAATAACAGTTATTATAATTTTTGTAGCTCCAGCAAATCTTCGGCAATACTGATCTGGCTCCATACATCGACAGTATTGTCATTACTGGATTTAGGTAAAGTATCCAGTATCATCACAGCATTGTTCAGCTGTATATGAAACGAAATACTCATATTTCTAATCTGATCATACAGGATAAAGAATGAGGCGGGCCACTGAAAATCGATCTGAAAATTGCAGAACACTTTCAGATATTGGCATGAAAAAGGACTTGCATCGGGCCTTGTCTCTTTCTTGAGCATTCTTTATTTCAAATACATAGGTCGGCCATTATGTGTACTTGGAGAACATTGTTCTAACTTCTCGGGGGTATGGAACCATGACCCAGGATCATGTCCCTTATGTTACGCTGTCTAGTCTGATCCTAGTCTTTCTTCTAGGAAAATCAGACTTGGTGAAGGATTGAACCTTCTTCAAATATCATAAACAAAACTTCCTGAAAACTGTAGAATCAACGAGTGGACACCTCTTAACCTTATATATTTATGTTCGGTGCTGTAATAAGGTCAAAACATGCATCTTATAACTGCCGAAATCATTTGGAAAGTTTTGGCTTAATTATGGTTTCCTAATCTTTCCTAGATTTTTACTCTTTAAAGCTGACGCCAGGCCACACACCTGTCGTATACGTGAATATACACATAACGGGACATTATTCAGCATTCGTTAATCTGATTTAGTTTGGATATCTTGAAGACTTTCTGAGTATGGTTAACTAAGATGAATAATAAAACATTTAAACGCTTTTCAAAATATTGCTACAAGGACATTTTCAAAATTCACGGAACATTATATTTTAATTTTTTTCAATCGCCCCAGCACACACAGTCAGCCATCTAACCCACTCAGCCACCTCATCTTCTACGTCTAACCCACATGGCTGACATTAGGTGCTGGCGATTAGCTTCCTGACTTCCAGAGTGTGGGTTTTATACCAAGATGGGACACTGCCTAACAAAAGTACTAGGATCTGCACTATTCTTATAAAGTGCAATCCCCAAATAACATATGCTGCAATTGCCATTGTTTAAATGGCATTGTGTATTCAGAATGATTACAGTTGAAATGTGCATTTAACTTTTTGATTAGATAGGTTGATTATATATCTCTGAAGGCGGATCACTCATGTTGCAGACAAGGCAGTGTTGTGGTGGAGTTTGAAGTAGGCTTTACGACTACAACGGTGGTGGACAGTGAAATAGCCGGCCTCTTCAACGCAGGATATCAGAATATTGCCAGTCCAAATTATACATTGAACGACGTATATACAGGTCAGAATATATTACAGAACATGTTAAAGATATCCTGCGTACAAAAGTAGAGTATGAAGGAATATCGGTGTAAATACCAAAGTACTTAAGCAAAGATAAGTGTTGACGACGTACAGCACAAAGACATGTGTTTAGTTTGAGCGTTCCACATGCAGTGCGTAGTGTGTCTTGATTTTGACACTTTCGAGGAAGGATGATTGTGTTTGTGGACCATTATGTCTTCTTTGAGTGGCATTTAAGATGTTGCGCAGTACAATATTGACAGATTTTATGGATAACAACTTCTTTAATATCGTGAGTGCGACGTTTCGATACAGATTCTTGTACCGTTGTTGCGCAGGAATGACAACGCAGATTCTTGTACCGATGTTGAGCAAGAATGACAACGCAGATTCTTGTACCGTTGTTGAACAGGAATGACAACGCTGATTCTTGTACCGTTGTTGAGGAGGAATGACAACGCTGATTCTTGTACCGTTGTTGAGCAGGAATGACAACGCTGATTCTTGTACCGTTGTTGAGCAGGAATGACAACGCTGATTCTTGTACCGTTGTTGAGGAGGAAAGACAACGCTGATTCTTGTACCGTTGTCAAGCAGGAATGACAACGCTGATTCTTGTACCGTTGTTGAGGAGGAATGACAACGCTGATTCTTGTACCGTTGTTGAGCAGGAATGACAACGCTGATTCTTGTACCGTTGTTTAGCAGGAATGACAACGCTGATTCTTGTACCGTTGTTTAGGAGGAATGACAACGCTGATTCTTGTACCGTTGTTGAGCAGGAATGACAACGCTGATTCTTGTACCGTTGTTGAGGAGGAATGACAACGCTGATTCTTGTACCGTTGTTGAGCAGGAATGACAACGCTCATTCTTGTACCGTTGTTGAGCAGGAATGACCAAGCTCATTCTTGTACCGTTGTTGAGCAGGGATGACAACGCTGATTCTTGTACCGTTGTCAAGCAGGAATGACAACGCTGATTCTTGTACCGTTGTTGAGGAGGAATGACAACGCTGATTCTTGTACCGTTGTCAAGCAGGAATGACAACGCTGATTCTTGTACCGTTGTTGAACAGGAATGACAACGCTGATTCTTGTACCGTTGTTGAGGAGGAAAGACAACGCTGATTCTTGTACCGTTGTCAAGCAGGAATGACAACGCAGATTCTTGTACCGTTGTTGAACAGGAATGACAACGCTGATTCTTGTACCGTTGTTGAGGAGGAAAGACAACGCTGATTCTTGTACCGTTGTCAAGCAGGAATGACAACGCAGATTCTTGTACCGTTGTTGAGGAGGAAAGACAACGCTGATTCTTGTACCGTTGTTGAGCAGGAATGACAACGCTGATTCTTGTACCGTTGTTGAGGAGGAATGACAACGCTGATTCTTGTACCGTTGTTGAGCAGGAATGACAACGCTGATTCTTGTACCGTTGTTGAGCGTTGTTGAGCAGGAATGACAACGCTGATTCTTGTACCGTTGTTGAGCAGGAATGACAACGCTGATTCTTGTACCGTTGTTGAGGAGGAAAGACAACGCTGATTCTTGTACCGTTGTCAAGCAGGAATGACAACGCTGATTCTTGTACCGTTGTTGAGGAGGAATGACAACGCTGATTCTTGTACCGTTGTTGAGCAGGAATGACAACGCTGATTCTTGTACCGTTGTTTAGCAGGAATGACAACGCTGATTCTTGTACCGTTGTTTAGGAGGAATGACAACGCTGATTCTTGTACCGTTGTTGAGCAGGAATGACAACGCTGATTCTTGTACCGTTGTTGAGGAGGAATGACAACGCTGATTCTTGTACCGTTGTTGAGCAGGAATGACAACGCTGATTCTTGTACCGTTGTTGAGCAGGAATGACCAAGCTCATTCTTGTACCGTTGTTGAGCAGGGATGACAACGCTGATTCTTGTACCGTTGTCAAGCAGGAATGACAACGCTGATTCTTGTACCGTTGTTGAGGAGGAATTGACAACGCTGATTCTTGTACCGTTGTCAAGCAGGAATGACAACGCTGATTCTTGTACCGTTGTTGAGCAGGAATGACAACGCTGATTCTTGTACCGTTGTTGAGGAGGAATGACAACGCTGATTCTTGTACCGTTGTCAAGCAGGAATGACAACGCAGATTCTTGTACCGTTGTTGAACAGGAATGACAACACTGATTCTTGTACCGTTGTTGAGGAGGAAAGACAACGCTGATTCTTGTACCGTTGTCAAGCAGGAATGACAACGCAGATTCTTGTACCGTTGTTGAGGAGGAAAGACAACGCTGATTCTTGTACCGTTGTTGAGCAGGAATGACAACGCTGATTCTTGTACCGTTGTTGAGGAGGAATGACAACGCTGATTCTTGTACCGTTGTTGAGCAGGAATGACCAAGCTCATTCTTGTACCGTTGTTGAGCAGGAATGACAACGCTGATTGTTGTGCCGTTGTTGAGGAGGAAAGACAACGCTGATTCTTGTACCGTTGTTGAGGAGGAATGACAACGCTGATTCTTGTACCGTTGTTGAGGAGGAATGACAACGCTGATTCTTGTACCGTTGTTGAGCAGGAATGACAATGCTGATTCTTGTACCGTTGTTTAGCAGGAATGACAACGCTGATTCTTGTACCGTTGTTTAGGAGGAATGACAACGCTGATTCTTGTACCGTTGTTGAGCAGGAATGACAACGCTCATTCTTGTACCGTTGTTGAGCAGGAATGACCAAGCTCATTCTTGTACCGTTGTTGAGCAGGGATGACAACGCTGATTCTTGTACCGTTGTCAAGCAGGAATGACAACGCTGATTCTTGTACCGTTGTCAAGCAGGAATGACAACGCTGATTCTTGTACCGTTGTTGAGCAGGAATGACAACGCTGATTCTTGTACCGTTGTCAAGCAGGAATGACAACGCTGATTCTTGTACCGTTGTTGAGCAGGAATGACAACGCTGATTCTTGTACCGTTGTTGAGCAGGAATGACAACGCTGATTCTTGTACCGTTGTTGAGGAGGAATGACAACGCTGATTCTTGTACCGTTGTCAAGCAGGAATGACAACGCTGATTCTTGTACCGTTGTTGAGCAGGATTGACAACGCTGATTCTTGTACCGTTGTCAAGCAGGAATGACAATGCTGATTCTTGTACCGTTGTTGAGCAGGAATGACAACGCTGATTCTTGTACCGTTGTTGAGCAGGAATGACAACGCTGATTCTTGTACCGTTGTTGAGCAGGAATGACAACGCTGATTCCTGTACCGTTGTCAAGCAGGAATGACAACGCTGATTCTTGTACCGTTGTTGAGCAGGAATGACAACGCTGCTTGACAACGGTACAAAAATCTGTATCGAAACGTCGCACTGACGAAATAAGGAACTTGTTATCAATTAAGTTTGTCTATATTGTACTTCTCAACTTCTAAAATGCCACTCAGAGAAGTTAAAATTTCCCATCCAAGCTCTATGGTCCTTTGGCGTCATAACTTCTACTGTCGTACTTGACTTACCGGTCTCGTGTGTTCCCTGTTGAGTCAGTGTTATCATACAACTATCACCAGAAACCGATATCAATATTGGAAATTGACTTTTACGTATCACTTACTTTTCATAATGGTACATGATGTGTGTATGGACGACGACACATGGTGTGTGTGTGGACGACGACACATGGTGTGTGTGTGGACGACGACACATGATGTGTGTGTGGACGACGACACATGACGTGTGTGTGGACGACGACACATGACGTGTGTGTGGACGACGACACATGATGTGTGTGTGGACGACGACACATGGCGTGTGTGTGTGGACGACGACACATGATGTGTGACGACACATGGTGTGTGTGTGGACGACGACACATGATGTGTGTGTGTGGACGACGACACATGATGTGTGTGCGGACGACGACACATGATGTGTGACGACACATGATGTGTGTGTGGACGACGACACATGATGTGTGTGTGGACGACGACACATGATGTGTGTGTGGACGACGACACATGATGTGTGTATTGACGACGACACATGATGTGTATGGACGACGACATGATGTGTGTGTATGGACGACGACACATGATGTGTGAATGGACGACGACACATGATGTGTGTATGGACGACGACACATGATGTGTGTATGGTCGACGACACATGATGTGTGTATCGACGACGACACATGATGTGTGTATCGACGACGTCACATGATGTGTGTATGGACGACGACACATGATGTGTGTGTGGAGGACGACACATGTGTGTATGGACGACGACACATGATGTGTGTATGGACGACGACACATGGTGTGTGTATCGACGACGACACATGATGTGTGTATCGACGACGATACATGGTGTGTGTATGGACGACGACATATGATGTGTGTATCGAGGACGACATATGATATGTGTATCGACGACGGGATCCACTGGACCATTCCGATTTTAATACCCCTTTCATACAGTTGTTTGACAAATTTATAGAATAAGTTCACGAAATAAATGTTTTCCCGGTATTCATATACATGGAGAAAAGCAATCATGCCGATTCTGACACGTGGAACTGTTTACTTCTTATGCTTGAATGGCTGCATATTTTAACTGGCATTTCCCCTGATTATGTTTCTTGTTTTCGTTTTCATTGGTTTCATCAAAGAGTCTCCGATATGCCAAACTTCGGACTCTTCCCACTTCCCAAAGCGGCTAGAAGCCAAACACATCAACAACGTTAATCGCTATTCTAATAAGAGAAATCCTATTGCTTACAGATTTCACTGGTAAAGTGCCAGATTCAAACTCTGCTGCTCCAATTCAACAAGAAGGTAAGTTCAATCATCCCATCTCAAGTGATATCCCAGTGCCTTACTTATAATTGAGTTATTAGATTTGTTTGCACTACACATAATATTACCTACTTGTCAAATGCCGAAACAGGATTGGATTTATGGATTCGCTAAAAATGTATCAATTAAGAATGAAAAGTCTTCAAATATGAAAAGGGGTGTCATCACCTGTATTCCAAAATCCAATAAAAACAGAACACTACTTAAAAACTGGAGGTCTATCACTTTACTCAATGCCATTTATAAAATTATCAGCTCCTGTATTGCACAGAGATTAAAAGCTACTTTAGATAATCTTGACCGCCTCCGTGGTGTAGTGGTTAGAGCGTCCGCCCGGAGAGCGGAAGGTCGCGGGTTTGATCCCCGACCGCGTCAAACCAAAAGACGTTAAAATATGGTACTTGTTGGTCCCTGCCTGGCGCTCGGCATTAATGGGTACAACAAGGACTGGTCGGCTCGGAGTCAGTATAATGTGTCTGAGTGGGGTATTCATGCTTCACTGCGGCATGGTATCTCAGTGGGCTAGCACTATAAAACCAGCTTAAGTCTGGGCTAGTACAAGCAGCCGCACATACACATACACACGCATGCACGTCGTCATATGAGCGAAATATTCCCAAGCACGACGTTAGACCCAATTTCACCTCACCTCACCTTAGATAATCTTATTCATTGTAATCAAACTGGTTTTATACCAGGTAGGACTATTAGCGAAAATACAAGGCTGCTATATGACATAATGTTCGAAACAAAGAAACAAAACATTCCTGGCTTGCTAATTCTGTTTGACTTTGAAAAAGCATTTGACACTGTTTCTAAAGATTTTATCAACCTAGTTTTACATAAATTTGAATTTGGATAAATATATTGACTTTTGAAACAACATCTTGTGTCATCCAACATAGTTTTCTCTCTGAATTTTTTGCTAATGGACGAGGATGTAGACAGGGAGACCCACTTTCCCCTTACATTTTTCTTTTTGCAGCTGAGATTCTTGGTAGTATGATAAGAAACAATGAAAACATTAAAGGTATTGTCATCAATGATATGGAATTTAAACTGGATCAATACGCTGATGATACCGAACTATTTCTTGATGGAACTGAGGAGAGTTTATATCTTGCTATCGACACAATTAATGCATTTTATAAAATGTCAGGTTTGAAAATAAATTTAGATAAATCAAAAGCAATCTGGATTGGATCAAAAGCTAAATCTACTGATAAAATATGTAATGACCTGAAAATTGAATGGGTAACGGGTGAATTTGATGTCCTAGGTATTAAATTTACACCAGATCTTGAAAACCTATGAGTAATCAACACCAGAAAGAGACTGGAAGAAATTATTAGATTCTTAGCATCTTGGAGAAAAAGACATTTAACACTTATTGGTAAAATAACAGTAATAAAAATCCTAGCAATCTCCAAACTAGTTCATATTTTCAATTCTTTGCCCAACCCACCAGCAGAATTTATTACTTCGCTTGAAAAACTATTTTTTAAATTCATTTGGAATGATAAAAATGGTAAAATAAAGAGGAGTGTAATAAAAAAAATAAATATGAAGAAGGAGGAATGAGAATTATTAATACAAGTAAATTTATTGATGCTTTGAAATTATCCACCTTAAGATTTTAATTTTAAAAATGTGAAAATAAAAATCCATGCAATATACCTTTCAAAGATATATTTAACTTTGGAGCAAATTCTGAAACTTTTATTGAGATTGAAAACCCTTTTTGGCATGATGTGCTAAAAGCACGCAAACAACATTATGTTGACCCAAATAACATTAATGAAATTCTATCTCAACCACTATGGTTCAATCACAACTACAAAAACATATTTCTTAAAGAATTGGGCAGAGAAAGGGATTATGAATATTAGGGATATATGTGATGAAAATGGATTACTATCAATAGAATCTTTAAAAGAAAATGATCATATCAAAGGTACTTTCTTAGATTTCAGATATTTAGTGAACATATTACCTGAATCTTGGAAACATACTTTAAAGCACTGTCTCTCTATTCCACTCAGTAATTTGAATGTTAGCCAATGCCAGATAAATTTAGTAAAAGCATCAAAAGGCTGCAGATTTTTTTATGATAAACTTATTTGTAATGATAAATATCCAAACATTTGTAATAAATGGCAGCTTTTATTTCCTGAAACTGACTTGGATTGGAAAAATATATTTACAGTATATAGAAAAGGATTGCAAGATACAAAGCTTATAGACTTTCAATATAGATTTAAACAAGGTATTATCTACACTAAAAAGGAATTGGTCAAAATGAAAAAAGTTAACAACAGTTTGTGTTGTTTTTGCAAAGATGTAAATGAGAGTGTGTGTCATGTGTACTGGGAATGTCAGGAGACTCAAACCTTTTGGATAAACCTACAAATTTGGCTTAACAATTTTAGCCACATCCATTGAATTATCAAAAAACACGATTTGGTTTGGTACTCAACGTGAAAATAGACTACTAAATCACATCATCATTGCTCCGGAGAGACATACTAACTTATGTAGTATTAAAAATATACTTCCAAATCTAACTATATATATAAAAACTATAAAATCATATATCAACAAAAAATAATAAAATAAATAATTTCCATCATAAATGGAGCCTTCTCTCCCCATTACTTGGATGACTCAAACTGTATTGATTTGTACCTGACATTATGTATACATTATCTATTTAATGACTTATGCATGTTTATAAAAATATTAAAACAGTAATATCTCACCTGTACATCATGTAGCCATATTACTTTACGCCGTATGTATCACGGCTTTGTATATATGTAATAGTTTAATCTTGGGAACCAATAAAATAAAATGCCGAAACAGGTTTTTAAAGTTGGCAAAAAATTAATGCCGTAACATGTTTGTCGTTAATTACAGTTACCTCTGCCCCCACACACCAGGATGCATCTACCCATGTCGCTGAGGAAAATCCTGTGCAAACATCAGCTGCTGCAGAGCAGATATCTGCTTCAAGCAGTGTTGTTGAAGAAAACACAGTGAAAACATCGACTGCCATCGACACAGACATGTGGAGTAGTGTTCCAGAAGAGAGTTCAGCGCAACATCAAAGTTCGACTGCTAACCAAATGGATGTATCAAGCACTGTTGCAGAAGAGAGCCCAGTGCTACAACAAACATCGTCTGTAATCCAGATGGACGCTCCAAGCGGTGTAGCAGAAGAAAGCTCATCGATGCTTCAAACATCGACTGCAATCCAAATGGTTACTTCAAGCAGTGTAGCAGAAGAAAGCTCAGCGCTACATCAAATATCGTCTGCAAACCAAATGGACGCTTCAAGCAGTGTTGCTGGAGAAAGTTCAGTGATACATCAAACATCGTCTGCAATCCAAATGGACACTTCAAGCAGTGTTGTTGGAGAAAGTTCAGCGTTACTTCCAACATCGACTGCAATCCAAATGGACACTTCAAGCAGTGTTCCTGGAGAAAGTTCAGTGATACATCAAACATCGTCTGCAATCCAAATGGACACTTCAAGCAGTGTTGTTGGAGAAAGTTCAGCGTTACTTCCAACATCGACTGCAATCCAAATAGACGCTTCAAGCAGTGTAGCAGAAGAAAGCTCAGCGCTACATCAAACATCGTCTGCAATCCAAATGGACACTTCAAGCAGTGTAGCTGAAGAAAGCTCAGTGATACATCAAACATCGACTGGAATCCAAATGGACACTTCAAGCAGTGTTGTTGGAGAAAGTTCAGCGTTACTTCAAACATCGACTGCAATCCAAATGGACACTTCAAGCAGTGTTCCTGGAGAAAGTTCAGTGATACATCAAACATCGTCTGCAATCCAAATGGACACTTCAAGCAGTGTTGTTGGAGAAAGTTCAGCGTTACTTCCAACATCGACTGCAATCCAAATGGACACTTCAAGCAGTGTAGCAGAAGAAAGCTCAGCGCTACATCAAACATCGTCTGCAATCCAAATGGACACTTCAAGCAGTGTAGCTGAAGAAAGCTCAGTGATACTTCAAACATCGACTGCAATCCAAATAGACGCTTCAAGCAGTGTAGCTAGAGGAAGCTCAGCGATACATCAAACATCGTCTGCAATCCAAATGGACACTTCAAGCAGTGTTGCTGGAGAAAGTTCAGCGTTACTTCAAACATCGACTGCAATCCAAATGGATGCTTCAAGCAGTGTAGCTGAAGAAAGCTCAGTGATACATCAAACATCGACTGCAATCCAAATAGACGCTTCAAGCAGTGTAGCTGAAGAAAGTTCAGCGCTACATCAAACATCGTCTGCAATCCAAATGGACACTTCAAGCAGTGTAGCTGAAGAAAGCTCAGTGATACTTCAAACATCGACTGCAATCCAAATGGACACTTCAAGCAGTGTAGCTGAAGAAAGCTCAGTGATACATCAAACATCGTCTGCAATCCAAATGGACGCTTCAAGCAGTGTAGCTGGAGAAAGCTCAGTGATATATCAACCATCGTCTGCAATCCAATTGGACACCTCAAGCAGTGTTCCAGAAGAGAGTTCAATGCTACTTCAAACATCGTCTGCAATCCAAATGGATGCTTCAAGCAGTGTTGCTGGAGAAAGTTCAGTGCTACTTTCAACATCGACTGCAATCCAGATGGTCGCTTCAAGCAGTGTTCCAGAAGAGAGTTCAGTGCTACTTCCAACATCGACTGCAATCCAAATTGATGCTTCAACCAGTTTAGCTGAGGAAAGCTCTGTGATACATCAAACATCGTCTGTAATCCAAATGGACACTTCAAGCAGTGTAGCTGGAGAAAGCTCAGTGATATATCAACCATCCTCTGCAATCCAATTGGACACCTCAAGTAGTGTTCCAGAAGAGAGTTCAATGCTACTTCAAACATCGTCTGCAATTCAATTGGACGCCTCAAGCAGTGTTCCAGAAGAGAGTTCAATGCTACTTTCAACATCGTCTGCAATCCAAATGGATGCTTCAAGCAGTGTTGCTGGAGAAAGTTCAGTGCTACTTCAAACATCGACTGCAATCCAAATGGATGCTTCAAGCAGTGTTCCAGAAGAGAGTTCAATGCTACTTCAAACATCGTCTGCAATCCAAATGGATGCTTCAAGCAGTGTTGCTGGAGAAAGTTCAGTGCTACTTTCAACATCGACTGCAATCCAAATGGACGCCTCAAGCAGTGTTCCAGAAGAGAGTTCAGTGCTACTTCCAACATCGTCTGCAATCCAAATGGATGCTTCAAGCAGTGTAGCTGAAGAAAGTTCAGCGCTTCATCAAACATCGACTGCAATCCAATTGGATGCTTCAATCAGTGTAGCAGAAGAAAGTTCAATGCTACTTCAAGCATCGACTGCAATCCAAATGGATGCTTCAAGCAGTGTTCCAGAAGAAAGTTCAGCGCTACTTTCAACATCGACTGCAATCCAAATGGACGCTTCAAGCAGTGCTTTAGAAGAGAGTTCAGTGCTTTATCAAATAGGAAACATTTCAAGCAGTGACTTGGTTTTACATATGCAAATGTCAAGCACTACGTCTGGTATAGACGGTGATTCAACCATCGGGATCACCAGATCATCCCAAACATTGGCCTTACCTGTTTTAGTCAGTATCACGGCTTCATCTGTATCTGATTATCTAGCAACAGCCTCTACGACAACTACCATCAGTAAGAGCAACAGCCTCGAAGCTTCACCAGCAGAATACACAGAGGTCACGTCGTCTTCAATGACGAGTATATCAGCTCCATCGGTTGCAGCAACAGAACGTTTCAGCGTGGGAACAGTGACATCAGTAACAAGTCAAAGCTTGTCCTCGTGGGCAGAGTTGTCATTAGAGTCGACATCATACAGCCCTTCAAATACAGAAGCCGTGTCAACAACGGACTCGATTCAGTCGTCAATGTCTCTGCAGATGTCGCAACTGCAGATGTCAACATCGTCAACACCCATTACTGTGCTGACGTGCAGTGACGTCGGTGTCAACGCGTCCTCTTGCATGCTGTCTACGCTTACAGAGACATCGTCGATGGCGCTGGACCAAGGAATGACGGTGTCGCCTTACAGTACAGAAAGTGTCAGGTCATCTTACATAGGTCAGTATAGGCTAACCTGTAAAGATCCGTCCCAAATGGGACTCACCCTCCAAACATACTAGAATCTGTACTTTACTTAAAAAAGAGTAATCACAACTATACCTTATGTTATTTTCCCAATCCCTCGATTAGTTCACATTTAACATTTAATTTCCAGAGCCTGTCGTTAGAGCCGACTAACAGGATCTGTTGGTCAGGCTCGCTGATTTGCCTGTCACATGTCATCGTATCCTACTTGGGTTGATGTTCTAGATTCGATTATTTACAGAAATATAACTATGTCACATACCAATTATCCTAAACCCTGAAACAGAGTACTGAAAAAAATTCAATAGCAACTTGAAATGACTGAGCAATAAGGTGGCCATCTTGATCCTGCTTGAAGTTGAACAAAATCATCAAGTGAAAATGTAGGTATGAGACACAGCTAATTCCTGATATGAACGTGTTCTAAACTGCCAGGCAAAAGAAAGTATTCTTCCGATGGATGAAATTAAAACAAACCCAAAATGTTTATTTGTTGGTGATGTGTTTGATGCGGCTATCACAGTTGTGTTAAAGATCCTACGTTTGCAGTGTTTGAGTGTTTCCACTCTACTTATGTCTTGACATCGTTTATAATGCTTTGGTCACACCCAGTGTTGAAGTCTTTACCTTCTTTTGCCCGGCAGTTCAGTCTCAGATCCTGCAAAATATATTTATTTCATGTCATGCAATAAACTAACAGAGAATGATGTGTTGCAATACTACCTTTGTGTACACTCTGGACATGGACTGCCTCCGTGGTGTAGTGGTTAGAGCGTCCGCCCGGAGTGCGGAAGGTCGCGGGTTTGATCCCCGACCGTGTCATACCAAAAGACGTTAAAATTTGGTACTTGTTGGCCCCTACCTGGCGCTCGGCATTAATGGGTCTTGTCGGCTCGGAGTCAGTATAATGGGGTATTCATGCTTCACTGCGGCATGGTATCTCAGTGGGCTAGCACTAAAACCAGCTTCAGTCTGGGCTAGTACAAGCAGCCGAACATACACATACACACGCATGCACGTCGACATATGAGCGAAATATTCTCAAGCACGACGTAAAACCCAATTCCACCACCACCACCACACTCTGGACATTGTTAATAACACAGTAAAATGCCAAAGCGATATGTTCATCTGATGGAAGATGGTAAATGATGGTTGAGTCTGTTATGAGTAAGCGAGTATGGTTTTATGCCGCTTGCAGCAATATTCCAGCAACATCACGTCGGGGGACACCAGAAATGGGCTTCACATATTGTACCCATGTTGGGAATCGATCCCGAGGTTTTAGATTAGGTTACCCCACCGCCCTAGAGTCTGCTGTGAAACATACTCCATTCTGATGTGTTTTCTTACCTAGAGATAGACGAGTGCCAGAGCAGCCCGTGCCCAGTCCACTCCACGTGTATAGATCTGATCGGGACACACAGGTGCGAGTGCAACATCGGCTACATAATGTCGGGGGAGATCTGCACAGGTGAGAACGGCACTGGTGATTGGTATTACAAGCATCAGGTACAAACATAACATTAACCGATGACCACAGACGTCAGATGTCAAGATGCGGAATATTCTGTAGAACTTGGAACTGTCCACATTTGCGTGTCGTAACAAAGGTCGGTTTTCTTTATAAAGACCAGATACTGACTGGGTTGTTTTCTGTTGTGCGTGTGCGTTGTTCCTTCCACTTAAACATATTGATATGACAAGGGTGACGTTATATCGGTATTTCAGTCTCAATGGGTGGAATAGGGAAGACGTCTGACGTCTATCAGGTTTAGAGTCTACATCAGACTATGCAGTACATTAGGTTGTAGAAGATATCATGATGGATCCAGTCAAACACGCTGGGCTACCTTCGTTGGTGGAGTCTGTCTTTAAATGGGAACGCTACCCAGCAATTCTCATTTTGCTGCGCGTGATTTCATTATGAGTTTGGCGTTGAGTGTATGTGGGTGTTTCTTGTTATTAGTAGTTTCAGGATGCTGGTGGTGATGATGATGATGATGATGAAGAAGAAGAAGATTTAACGTGCTCTTCCTGAGTTAGTGATTTCGCAACCGGAAGTTGTTTCATGCTGTATGCTTGTGTTCCACAGATATCAATGAGTGCTTGGTTAATCCATGTCCTGAGTTCTCTACCTGTGAGAACACCGTGGGAAGTTATACTTGTGACTGTGTACAAGGGTATGTCAAAGATGGCGATAAATGCAGTGGTAAGTACATTTTGCGACTGACAAGTAAACCTCAAGGACTAGTACTGTGAGGAGAGCTCTGGTGAAGCTAGGTACTTAGAGGCGCAATGTCAGGCTTTTTCGACAATATTTTGGCCTATATCTTATATGTATTGTGTGTGTGGTGTGTTAAATTATATGGTAGCTTCCCTGAGGGCTGATAGTTCGTATGGATACCATGCTTTTCTTACTTACCTCGCACGTCGAAACTCAATCTCATTACTATCAGACTTAAGGGTATGCTACCGCAAGGGCGGTGGGGTAGGCCAGTGGTTGAAGCGTCCGCTCGTCACGCCGAAGACCCGGGTTCTATTCCCTACATGGGTACAATGTGTGAAGCCCATTTCTGGTGTCCCTCGACGTGATATTGCTGGAATATTACTAAAAGTGACCTAAAACCATACTGACTGGCTTGTTGCCCCCACACAAAGTCGACATTGTCTGTCATAAAGCACCTTTTCTCGCTTTACTGTACTTTTTTAGTGAAAGCTTCTACCCCACCGCCACCGCGTTCTAGGAATGGGTATTGAGTCATGATAGTGACAAAACAATCAATAACCAATATTTACGTATGTATCCTCTGGTTTCTGCATGATACAGATAGCTATAAATCATCATTGATTGTATTTAAAAAGGATATATGTTCTTCTCTGCATCCATTGTTACTCTGTTGCACTGTTATAATTATTTGTTTATGTTTATTATATACGTTTTTGATGTTTTAAGATGAAATGCTGCAAATGTTTCACATTCGCTTTCAAACCGACCTAGCATGTAGTCTGTTCTTGAAATCTCGGTTTATTAAGCATTGTATTGTATGATCGCTGTGTCAATCATGTCTGAAGATGCACGTTTTCAAACCGTAGACTTTGACGAGTGTGACGCTGACCCTTGCCCCAGCAACTCTGACTGTACCAACACCCCCGGCAACTACACATGCACCTGCAGGAGCGGCTTCCTCGACGTCGGTGACATCTGTCAGGGTAGGTCACAAACCTTTCACTTGGATTTTATGTGTTCTGTAGCTATGAAACTTATCAGGGCCAATTCCATTTTTCGTTTTCTACAGAATCCTAGAAGGGATATAGTCGCGTTGGAATATTGCTGAGTGAGGCGTTAAACAATACACAATCTAACAAACCCGGAAAAGAAACGCAACCAATACCCATTGGCCGTACAAGATTGTTTCTAAGTGGCTCTTAATTTCTGTTTGCAAAGAAACTTTGGCGTCTTTCTCAAGCACACGTAAGGACTTTTATCTTTGAAATACACAATGCCAATTTAGAAAGTGGTCAAATATAACGTATGTTATATTTGGGATTACACTTTCTTAGTAAAGTTACAGATTCTAGTACTTTTGGGGTTGAGTCCCATCCGGGATTCGAACCCACACCCTCAGAGTCAGGCACCTAATCGCCAGCACACAAAGTCAGACGCCTAAGCCGCTCAGCCACCGCGGCTTCCACAAAAATGGAAGTCGGACAACTGGTAGTGTAGGCTGCGGACTTTGTGTACCCCTCTGATAATTGTTAAATGGTACGGCTCCCACGGCCGAAAGCTATGAAACACACAATGCCATTTTAGAAAGTACTAGAATCTGTACTTTACTAAGAAAGTGTAATCTCAAATATAACATACGTTAGACTTTTATCTTGTGTTTTTTATTTGGGCAATGGTACCATTTTGGATACAACTCGACAAGGATATGATTTGTTTGAGTAATTGTTGTTTGTTCTCTATCCATAGATATGAACGAATGTGACAGTATGCCGTGCCAACAGGACGCCGACTGTATCAACACCCAGGGCAGCTACTACTGCGTGTGCAAGCCAGGTTTCGTGGATGACGGTGCTGTTTGTAAAGGTGGATAACCTATTGCCATGGAATCGGTTATCGGTTATATTTATAATTGTGTGTTGGCCAGTTATATGAAGCACAGAGAGGAATGTTTAATGACGTAAACCCATGTAGATCAAAAGCATATTGGGATAAAAGGTCAACACAATAAAACATTAAAAATATGAATTGCATTTAATGTCATTGTAAAGAAACTAAAAACAATATCTTACTTTTAGGAATTTTCTCGATAAGGAATTTTTAATTATGAAATTCCAAACCAATTAAACAGAATATCAATTATATTTGTCTCTATTACCGAAAAAGTTCAGGACACCTAAACCTATTAATTTGGGTATTTATCGTAAGTCAAAGTTGTAAGTTTCACCTACATATAAAATTGGCGCTACACTGATACCGACTAGGATTGCATAATTGCAGCCTTTACTACTCGCCATATCTTTACTATAGAAAAATCCGAGCGCGGGTGGTTAGAATTTTTTCTTACAATCTTCATGGATACTATAACAAAGTATACGTCACCAGAATAACACCCATCGTTACTTTTAGAGAAGTAAAACGTTATTTAATCAGTTTCGAGACACGACACACACCCATTTTCAACACTGATGTGTGCGTTGATATTCCGTGTCAGATCGCAATTGTCTCCAAATTGTACACACTATACATGGAACTGAACGACCACATTACTTTAATATCACCAGCATATTTATATCAGCAAATGACGTATATTTCGATTATTTGGCCCATTGTTAATGTTGTTCTATGGGAGTTATTCTGGTTACGTATACTTTCCTATGGTATCCATGAAAACGCTGAAAAAAAATCTGATCACCCTTTTTGATTATTCTATAGTAAATATATGTGTTGTCGCCCAGTAGTGGAGACCGCCATTGTGCAGCCCTTTTCGGGGTCAGTGAAGCGGTACCGCAACATACCCCGCAAACCAGACTGAAACAGAACTATCTTTCCCATTCTTCTGAATGTTCACAAAGTGGAGCAAAGTGGTTGTATTGCGGTTCTACTTGCAAACTGCAGGATCCCTTTTCCTCTTTCATTTCTGTTCTGTTTTACCGATACCGAAATGACATTTTGGGTAATAAAAAGGCAATCCCTTTTGAAGACCGTATTTACCAGTAAGAGAATATACGTGTATTTTTTTATATACCTTTTTTCACCTGTACATATACATTTGTAGTTTTTACTTGTATCTACGGTAATAAAAAGGCAATCCCTTTTGGGTAATGAAGTGTTATTATCTTATTTTAGTGTCAAGATGAACTATTTAGCTTTACATCGGAATGTGCTTACTCTGTAATTTGGAATGCACATTAATGTAGCATACACACAAGGCAGCGCTTGTCGTCTAATGAATCAAATGTTGAACGTCTTAAAAGCCTTCTACGTTAATGGGTTGCCTGTAGCTGTTAGTAAGTTTGTATTCGCTAAACACATCCTCCGTTTTTCGATTTCATTGAAATTAGGATGTAATGATTCGAATTGAATGCAGATTCTTGGGCGAGGTTATTTCAACATTTCTTCCTTCACTTTCTCCTCTCGGTTGTCGTAGGTGTTGGGTGTTGTTCAGTAATACATGCCTTGTGTATACAGTCCTCAGTTAACTTTGATGGATAAATTCGATGCGGTGGAAAATTCTGACCTTCAGTGAACCAAACTTGATTTGAAATCACCAGAAACAATGCTACAGTCATATATGACGCTGGGTGTCAGGGGGGATTTGGATAAACTCGAGTATTGACCAGGGGAGTGTCGGGGAACGTTAAACCTACGTCACTTAGTTTAGACGGGAGAACTTTTTTCATTGTAAAATTGAGTGAAGGGTGAAAAAAGTTAGAATCTCATGGATAGCTGTAAGCTGACTTTAACAGCTTCTTACTATCGTCCTCCTTTGCAGTCCAACTAAATGTCATGACGTCACATCATCCGTCAGTCTGTTATAGCGGGTATATGCTCATGCAGGTTAGACTGTCTGAAATTCTTAGTCAGTTACCGGTTGTCGTTTCCACTTCAGGTCATTTGGGTATTTCATATACATTGCCTGAGAATTCGAGCTTTGCCAGGCTCTAACAACTGACATATACTAACACACCTTTCCTTATCACCATAGATACCAACGAGTGTGTGGTTGACAAGTGCCCATCCCATTCAACATGTGTGAATACACCCGGAAGCTATAACTGCACATGCCTAGACGGGTACTTTAAAAAGGATGACCTATGTTTAGGTGAGTGAATTTAATCAGTTACCTGCAGGTGAAGATAAGAAGCTTGGTGAAAAGCTGTAAAACCTGATTATATACTAGCCACATAAAGAAACTGTGCATTGTCAAAATATTATCCCAGTTGATAAGTACGATAACAATGTCAAAGGTACATATAAACTTTAGTGGAGGGATCATGAGACCATAACAAGTCGGGAGAATTTCAATTGTCGACAAGCGGGACAGGGGTCAAACGACCATGTCACAAGCTCAATAACGGGTATGTCCACTATCGGCATTGAGAACAGCAGTGCATCGACGACGCATAGAGCCTATCAAACGTGCAAGGAAGGCTTGTGGGATGTCACGCCAGATTCTCTCAAGTTCTGTTGCAAGGTCAAGGACGTTATCTGGCGGATGAGGAAGACAGCGTAGACGTCGATCCATCTCGTCCCAAACATGCTCTATCGGGGAGAGATCCGGTGAATTTGCAGGCTAAGGCAGTAAGTCAACGTTGTGGTGTTGCAAGAAATCCATAGCAACCCTTGCCGTATGAGGGCGGGCATTGTCCTGTTGGAATGTTAACCCAGGGCCATGACGTTGCAGAAAAGGAATTGCCACAGGTCGAAGAATCTGATCCCTGTAGCCCACACCAGTTAAGTTGCCCTGAACAATCACCAAAGGAGTTCTTTGGCGTGCTGTTATTCAACCCCAAATCATCACGGAACCACCACCAAAGCGATTCCTCTCCCAAGTCACAGGCCTGTGCATAACGTTCTCCCACGCGTCTATAGGCACGTTGACGTCCATCACTATGGGAAATGTTAAACCTGGACTCATCTGTAAAAAACAACATTTCTCCACCAAAACAAGGGTCTGCGGACATGATTTCGGCACCACATTCGGCGAGCTTGTCGATGACGTTGTGTCAGGATAGGCCGTATGGCGGGACGTCGTGGTCTGATCCCGTGATGACGTAAACGTTGTCGAACTGTGGTGGGGTGGATACGGCGAAGTCCTGGGATGGTTCGGGCAGTCATCACTGCAGTCTGAAACCTGTGGCGAAGATGGGTCACCCTTATCCATATGTCCTGTCTTGGCGTTGTTACACGTGGACGTCCAGAACGTGGCCGATCGATGACGTCATTTGTGTTCTGGTAGCGCCTCACCAGTGCAGAAATGGTGTTCCGGTGGCAGTGGAAATGTGCAGCCACTTGTCGTTGAGACATTCCCCCACGGACCATCCCAATGGCCTCATGACGTTGTGCAGACGTGAGCCTTGGCATGCTATTCGTTTCAATAGCCGTTTTTTTGAACGATCGCAAGGGCAGGGGTTGAGCTTTCCAAAGTGACAGTATTGTGTGGCATTCATTTGCTCTGTTTCTCTGCACGTGCAACAACGTATTGCACGTGTCAAGGACGAACCCACTGACGTCACGGAACGTGGCACGTGCATGCATGTTGGATACATGTCAATAATCTCTGAGTTTAAATCCTTATGTGTCTACACAGGTTTAATAAATTTAGATTTTACATTTTTGTATGCCAAGTTTCTTTATGTGCCTAGTATACATAACATTTCTGTGAAATCTTATTATTTTAAATGTTCCATCAAACGTTTGACAGTTGAGAAGTACAGGAATGGTAGTTTAGTTATTCTGCATCTCCCCGTCATGTTCTCGGCCATAAGAGCGGACAGCAGTCGTTTTTTTAAAACTATTTTTGGGCACGTTACTATCACATCCTGGTCCGGTCATCAAAGGCAACGGAATTGTAAGGTTTGAAGCCAAGATGCTTAAAACTCTGAGTGTGAATGCCAGATGCGCCTTGACTGTTACTCGTTCTTTCATTGTAAACCAGACTGTGATCCTTCTTCAAAGATTTACAGCATATTTGTTAAGCACAGCGTTCAGTCTTTGGTCAGGAGGTATTCCAGTAGACAGACATATGGTGGAAATCTCGTTAACCAGAATGTCATTTGCCTGTTTAAGACGTCAACGAATGTGTCGACTCCCCGTGCGCTGCCGGCGCTGACTGCACCAACACCGACGGCAACTACACATGCGCATGTCCACCAGGATACAGCGTTGTCGACAACACCTGCACAGGTAGCGTGGCACGTGTGACAGAAAATTGAAAGCAGTTAAGATGATAGTCAAAATTATCAGAATGAATAAATACAGGTGGCAGAACTATCATGGCAGTAGAAGAAAAATCAACAGGGCTATTTAAAAAAAAAAATTGAATTTAGGTTCTATTCATGCAAAATTATTCATATGAATACTTGATAAATCAGAGTAGAGTGGATCCGGATAGGATTTTGTCATCCGTATCAATGCTTGTCATAAGAGACAACCTACTGTTTTCTGTTAGGGTTGTTGTCTTGGTTGATGCAGACCATTATATCCTATCTGCATCAATCAATATGCATGATTTCAGTCAATAGTGCGTCTCCAAACCTCTCCATACACGTGGACTATTACTAAACTGTCTGTTATTTCAAGTCCTACATGTTTTCCTTATATATCTATTATCCAAAGAACAAAGTGAGTGAGTGAGTTTAGTTTTACGCCGCACTCAGCAATATTCCAGCTATATGGCTGCGGTCTGTAAATAATCGAGTCTGGACCAGACAATCCAGTGATCAACAGCATGAGCATCGATCTGCGCAATTCGGAACCGATGACATGTGTCAATAAATAATCGAGTCTGGACCAGACAATCCAGTGATCAACAGCCTGACCACCCGATCCTGTAAGTCGCCTCTTAAGACACGCATGGGGTACTGAAGATCAATATTCTAACCCGGACCTTCACGGGTCCAAAGAACAAAGAGTTTTCACAGTATTTCTACCGTAGACACAAAATGGGATCTATTTCTGAAGGTAGTCAAAAGTGCGTATACTTTTACATGGAGATGTTGGTGATATTGTTTTGTCAGAATTTGTTGTTTGGTTATTTTCAGACATTGACGAATGTGACACAGTCGTCTGTCCTCCGCATACGAGCTGCAATAACACCATTGGAGCTTACAGTTGTCCTTGTCTGGTCGGATTCCAGGATCTGGGCGGTGCCTGTATAGGTAGCTATGAGTGACCAATGTTTCATTGACGTGAGTGCGTATCAGTTTTATCATGCCTACTAAAGAACACCGTACCAGCAGAGAGCTACTTAACCAGTGAATATGTAGACACTTTAAATAGAAATAGTTTCACAAATTTCAAACAATACACAATTGTCTTGAAGTGTGTTCGTAAAGATTACGCACGCACATACACACGCACTGGAAAGAAAAACAGCGAACCACGCCGACCGAATCAACAAAAACCGAGTGCGCTCTCATTTGGTTTGTTGCAGTGTTTGTGGAAAAATGTAATTGAATGAACAAGCGTTATTTTTATTTCAAATACGGAACTAGTAAAATTATTGACCTAATTTTGGGGAATGTTTCTAAAATCGGGAAATCTAAACATCAATTCCAACCTCGATTTTCTATACATTACAAAAAACAAATGGCGCACAAATCTGTTTAACTCTATAGGTCACATGCACTTAATACCTGTAAAGATGTCAATCTATAGAGTGACTCTATCATTTGTAAAGGATACCATTGTTTACCGTGAGCATCCATCTTGCCAAATCGATTTTACACTATATTTTTGTATCGTAATGCATATCCGTGTTTGAAGTTCATTACTTCAAATCTATATATTCCGCGTTATTGATCATCCATTTCAGACCAAAATGAATGCCTTCAGGACCCATGTACCGACAATGCAGACTGTACGAATATTATCGGAAGTTACGAGTGTGCTTGCAAAACTGGCTTCCAGAATAACAGTGGTCTTTGCCAAGGTACAGCAACAAAGGAAGACGAATCTCTTTTGTGTACAAATATGATGGATTAAAAGGTTCCCTTTTAAAGGCGGGTTCAAAAGAAACGGTTGGCAGGTTTTGTAATGGCAACGGATATATCATATATTAATGATTTATTAATTCATCATTTTTTCCGAGATTTGAATAGTGTATGGCTTATCAAATATTATTCTAGGAAAAAAATTAAACCCGCCCATTGCTTTGCTAACATGGTTATTGGTTTTCGCCCTCCGTGAGTAGTGTTTCGGTACTTTTCGGAAGCGTTTTAAACATGCTTTTGTTTCAGTTAAACTTCACATTTCTTTCCTGGCAGAAGATTTTAAGCATACATTTATCTCTCCAATGTCCATATTTTTATGCTAAATGGGGATGAAATATTATACCAGACACAAACAGCAAACGATAAGTGACGATCAATACCCATGAAGTCTTCATATAAATTTTTGATGTCCCAAGCGTTGTGTTTGAAAACAATATTATATTCAAAAATTGAACAGGAATGGCATTATTTATCAGTTTTAACACACGCCTCTGCGAACGAATGCACGAATTAATGAATACGTGAATTAATTATTATCACAAATAAAATTAATAAAGTAGAAAAACAATTTAAAAATGTAAAATGAAATACAACTGATGTCGGTTAATGTCTGATATCCTCCTTAGAATGATTTATTGTAAGAACGATTCGGCTCCTCCTTTCATGGAATATCTGGACGCTGTGATTAAAAATATATGATCCTGTCTTAAATTTCGTGAAAAAATCCCAATGGTCCTTCAGTAATGTTCAGTTGTCCTGTTATCGTTCAGCACTCCCCCGAGAACTAACAAACACAAATTACCTCCAGATGTGAACGAGTGTTCTGGAGACAACCCCTGCCCCAAGAACACTCTATGTGAGAACAACCCTGGGAGCTACAACTGCCCCTGCAGGAACGGCTTCGCGATGTCACTGGGTGTGTGTGAAGGTACGTAACGCGCACCGTCCCACCCTATCCGGCCTTCTGTGTTTCTGTGTACGTAACGTTGACTCTATCCAGGGTTCCCACGAAATTTCACACCCAATTTTCCAGTCTTGGAAAAATCATGGAATTTGAAAGAAATGGATGAAATCATGGAATCATCTTTGGGTTTTTTATCTAACAAAACTGTATAACTTAACAGTACTGCAGGGGCTATGGCAGCCATCAACATGTGTATCTGGATTAGTTTGCCTATATGTGAATACTTGCCTAAATACATACAGACAGACAGACAGACAGACAGACAGACATATTTATTTGTATATGTGCTAAGATTCTAAGATTCTACACAATGAGATGTATTCAATGTTTATGGTTGAAAAGGTTTGGCGCCTCCAGAGCTGGAAGAACTGCACCTTTTGTAGTTAACTAAGGTTTACTCATATATTGTGGAAAAATCATGGAATTTTTTCACAAAAATGTGGAACCCTGCAGTATCAAATTCAATATTGTCTCTTGTCTCACAGTCCCTGAACCACGTTATTTTCCCTACTGCCCAGCCCTCCCTGCAATGCTAAAACCCAAAATGAACCAAGTCCTGATTTTCTCAGGTTCAGGATCTGAATATTCCATCACTCTGGGGCTCCTTTTCAGTGATTACACAATGCTATTAAATTGCTCCTTTTCAGTTTGAATAGGATTATTTGTTACTATCAAAATAAGATAAATCCAGAGTTATTCTAAGCGTTAGTTTACATTGTTTCGTATGTGTTACCTTTTGAAAAGTAATTTTGTTTATTTGTTTGTTGTTTAACGCCGCACTCAGCAATATCCCAGCTATATGGCGGTGGTCTGTAAATAATCGAGTCTGGACCAGACAATCCAATGATTAACATCATGAGGATCGAAATTGATAGCGTCTTCTCTTCACTTCTCCAGACATCAACGAGTGTTCTTCATTTCCGTGCCCCACCCGCTCCACCTGCCACAACTCTCTCGGCAGTTTCTCCTGTGAGTGCCACGCTGGATTCTACCAGAAATCCCCACTGGAATGTGTTGGTGAGTCTTCTCATTACACAAATAGACCTGGATCGTGAAGGTCGTCAATGGATAGGGACATGCTGTACAGAGTAGATAAATCTACGATCGTGGGTTCGAATCCCAGACGAAACAACAACAGCATGAAGCAAAGCTGTAGAAAGAAGTCCGAGGAAGAAAAGGGGCGTATCAGCGGAGTAGTTTGTTGTTTAACGCCTCACTCAGCAATATTTCAGCTCTATGGCAGCGGTCTGTAAATAATCGAGTCTGGACCAGACAGCATGAGCATCGATCCACACAATTGGGACACGATGACACGTGTCAACCAAGCCAGCGAGCCTCACCCAATCCCGAAGTCGCCTGAGGCAAGCATGGGTGTCTGAAGAACCAATTCTAACCCGGACCTTCCGAGCGCAGGAAATAGTGAATGTTCCGATGTTCCGATGATCGAAAATAATCGAAAATCGATCGAAAGAAGGATTAAAAATGATTATCGATTGTAAAAAACATATTTTCGATTAATTGGAATTTTGTTGTTTTTGTATAACACCCTTGAATGAAGTAAATTAACCATCAAATTTGACGAATATTCACGAACAAACATGCGCTCAATAGCGTAAAGCTATGCGCGTTGTAAAATTTTAACCACTTTTATTGTTTAATTACAATTCCATTGTCATTCTTGCATGCGTGCATTTCATTGCATGACAGCATTAGTTATAAAAAAAACCCATTAATTAGAAAAAAACCTGGGGGAAAACCGTTGAAATTGGTGATTACATTAAAAATGTATATATTTCGATTATAATCAATAATCGTTCACCACAATCCTCCGATAATCGATAGTGGATTTAGTTTCCGATTCCCAACACTACATGGAAATCAAGAAAACGAAATTTCAAAAACGATGTTTGTTTTTTCCAGACAGCAAAGTGTTCAACAGCTCTGTTCGGCTCCTGGAGATAGGGGGACATCCAGCCGTCTACAGCAGCGTCTACGACGATATGAACTCGCCGGAGTCGCAAGAACTGTCCGCTAACTTCAGCCGCACTGTAAGCAGCCGGTGCAATTAAACGCATTGCAGTTGTCTCCTGTTGCAACACATTGAAAAATAAAATATCGAAGGCTATCTTGGATGCAGACCTAGACTATTGATGTTATAGACATGCGCAATAACAAGAAAAAGAACCAACTTGACGCCGGCTATGGGTGCTTGACTCTGATAGTGTTGGTTCGAATCCAGGATGGCTCCAAAACATAGAATCTGTACTTTACCCCAAGTATAACAAATGTTACATACACATTGACAGTGAAATGTGAAATCTCGTATTCTTATAATTTCTCAACTATTGCACATTTGATTAGTTTCCAAATGTCGGGATCGCCAGGTGAACGCCTGTTACTTGACCTTACCAAGCTTCTGTTTCTCTTCCCAGCTGTCGGACTGCCTCAACCAGACACTTGGCGTTCTGCTGTACGGCACCGTAGTCCACCAGTTTACAGAGGGAAGCGTCGTTGTGAACGCCACCATTTACGTGGACCACAGTTACAACGGTGGTCCAGAGGAACTAACCACGATGGTGCAAAATAATACCGATGCTTTCAACAACAACGGGTTGGTCGTCAGCCAGTCTGATACATATATCACAGGTATTGAATCCACAATAACTGAGTCAAATATTGTCATCAACAAATCTGATACATACGGAATTATTTAGAATACTGTCTTATATTTCTTGTAAACTTATAAACTGACCATGGCATATCATGTGTTTTATATATGCTGTGTTTTCACATACTCAAATGATCGATTGATTGTCATATTGTCTAGACGTGGACGAATGCTCTGTCTCGACGCTGAACGACTGCGCGCCTGAGGCCGTATGCCTCAACGACATTGGAACGTACAACTGCACATGCCGGCCAGAGTTCGTCGACTACTCCGCCGACCGGCCTGGACGCAATTGTCTAGGTATGACCTCCCAGAGATGATTTTGTCAATACATGAACCTGCATGTATGTATGCTATTACAATTAACACCATGTTAGACAACCTGCACTTGTTGAAAGGGGCGACTAAATGGATTGGGTGGTCAGTTTAAGTGATTTGTTGATTGTGGTCATGGAACCCACGTTAACACTGGCCGTACTACCTGCAATTGATATTTCTGTGTGCGACGTTGAACGGGAAACAGTTAGGGACAGTGAAAATATAAGCAGTATTTACTGAATGTTTTAATCTCTATGTGCCGCTGTTCATTTAATTTATGGGCTTTGTAAATTTATTAATTTTTCTTCATATAGTTAAAATAGTTGTATTGAGAAAATGTAAAACTTTATGTATAGAACTAACAGTCGCGAAATAACACGACCGTACACCAAACCTTTCCGGTAAAAGAATCGACTGTAATTTTAAAACATTCCTCACTTGCATTTCAAAATGTCATAAAAATTTTTTATTATTATATTATATATTTTCTGAGGCGAATCAAGCTTTAGCCTTTGTCATTGTCAAGCACCGTTATTCTACAAGTTTGTTCTTGAAATTTGCTGGATTGTAGGTTTGTTTTTGTTGTTTGTGTGGTGTGTATCTGTGTGGTGCTTAACGTCGCACTCAGCAATATTCCAGCTATATGGCGGCGGTCTGTAAATAATCCAGTCGGCACCAGACAATCCAGTGATCAACATCATGAGCATCGATCTATACAATTGGGATACGATGACATGTGTCAACCAAGTTAGCTAGCCTGACCACCCGATCCCGTTAGTCGCCTCTTACGACAAGCATGGGTTGCTGAAGACCAATTCTAACCCGGATGTCACAGGTCCTTTGTATAGATAAAAATTATGGTAATTGTACGGATTATACGTCTGGCATTTTACAATGTGTATGACAAAGATATATTAATTTTTTGAAATATGTAGATAAATTCCCCAACTATATTACATGGAAAACGTCTCTGCCAACAGCTATCGACGAAACCAACCAGGATGCGGTCGGGGGCGTAACCGTTGCTACAGATAAACACTACTACAAGGCAAGAGAGAGTGTCGTAGTCACCATCAAGCTTCAGAGAGGGTCGCATGTCAACTACACGCTCAGCTACGGTGATGGCGTAGTGGAAACGAAGAGCGATCCCCAGCTCCTGGCTTTCTTAAGCCCCAGTAACTTCACCCACAATTACATCCTCGCGAACACATACAACGTGACGGTGACGTCAGCAAACGACGTCAGTTCCATCAACTCTACAGTTCAGATCAGTGTTGAAGATGAAATACGGCAACTCAAGATTGACATTCAAAATGGCGCTACTGAATTTGAAAGGGATTTCATTCTGTCAGTTTCAAATGATAATTTGATATTGGAGTATATGCTCTGCGTATTTAATTATGGAGATGGAACCATCAACACAACCACTATCAACATCCTGTCCAAAGTGAAAACCGTCAGATATACCCACGCTTATCAACTAGGAGATTTCATAGTTGCGGTGAATTGTTCAAACCACGTGTCGTCGTCAGTGACGTCACTTCCTTTCTTCGTTGAAGAAGCGATAAGCGATGTAAATATAACTACCAACAAGGGTGTGATACTTCCCGGAGAGACGTTCGACCTGTCAATCGGTATAGGAAAGGGATCAAATATATCTCTTATTCTTGATTTCGGGGACAACAGGAACAGGACGCTGCACCTTGGCAACATGATGCCTGGAGCGTCCACCCAATTCGTGACCCACTCGTATCCGAAATCAGGGTCCTTCACACCCAGAGTTAAAGTAAGCAACAGAGGGACGCAAATCGAACAATCACTAATCGGTTCCATCGAGGTCCAGAACAAGGTGAAGGATCTGACTATTGAGACTCAGAGTCCTGTAGGAGTCCCTCCTGGCGAGATAGACATCGTCATCAAATATCCATCAGATGACTCACCTCCGTCCTTCGTCACTTGTAAAACAGACCTTCCCAACGTAACAAATGAAGACCACTCAGCGGACTCTATAAGTGTAGATACTCCCCTGTCCTTCACAGTGTTGTGGACGAGTGTCTTTGATGTTGGACGAGTGCCTTTCTCTGTAAATTGTTCCAACTTGCTGAGTTACCAGGTCCTGCAGTCTGAGGTGTTAATTCAGAAAGCCATCATTGGTTTCTTTGCCAATACAAGCAGTCTCTTCATACCTATCGGTGGCCAAGTGGAATTCATGCTGTATGTGGAATCGGGGAGTCATATCAACTATATGTTCAATTTCGACGACAACAACACGGCGACGGGTGACTTCCAGGACTTGATCGTTTCTAGGAAATCAGTTAAAGGGTTAACAGCCTACAATTCTAAAGGGATTTATGATACCAGCGTGACGGTGTTTAACGAAGTGTCCAATAACGTAACGGAATTCAGAATTGGTGTTCTGGAAGAAGTCAAAGGGTTAACAGCAACTGCATTTTATCGAAAACTGGACACGTCTGATGCTCTGACTCCAGGTCATGGGTTGGACCTCGATGTGTTCCCCCTTGAACGTCCAGTGATAATCAATACAACAGTACGGTCGGGAAATGACATCACATATATCTGGGACTTCGGAGATGGGATAATAGAGAGGACTTCCGCCAGAATACACAGTCACACCTATATGACTTCCGGTACATATGCCGTGAGTGTGAACGCAACAAATGCCTTGTTCTACGACGCCGTTAAGTTGAGTATCACTACAAAACAGACCATCCTGTTCAACACACTAGTAAACGACGGTCCTTCTGATGCTTATAAAAATATCACAATCACAGCAAACCTCGCACGGCCGGGATCAGAGTCGTGCTTTGTCTTCGACATGGGTGATTCCACCACCCCTGTTCTTTATGGCGAGAGTCCCTGTTCAACAAACCCTGACTATGATGGGTACAAATACTACGCCTGGTCACCCACAACGCTCCTGTACCACACGCACACGTACACCAGCAATGAGACGTTTTATGTTACCCTGAACGGCACGAACATCGTGTCCGAAGCTTCAATCCACACATCGGCGGTTATAAGTGGTGTGAGTTGTCACTACCCAATAGTACACATTGTAGGCGGAGGGCAGCAGATAGACGAGCCTGTGACCAGACTCCGATCTGACTGGTTGGTTTTCGAGAGCAGAGTGGACCTCGACTGTGAGATCACTAACGAAGCCGAATATAACTGGACTATCTTTAAAGTAACAACTGGGGAGAACTTCCTGGATTTCATCTTCGACCCCTATCCAGCCCAGTCGGAGTCTGCAGGGCTGTTTAAAATCCTATTTCGTCCAAGAGCTTTTGAACCGGGTGATTACAAAATAAGCTTGAACGTTTCAATGGCAAGGATTTCCGGCTTGTTTCATTCCGATTTCACGTATTTACGAATCCTCCCGACTGACATCGTGGCTCGTATTAAAGGAGGAACTGGACGAGCTGTTGGGTATGACAGCACCCTGGAACTGAACGCGATAGAAGAAAGCTATGACCCTGACGAAGAAGACGGCTCCTCCAAGGCCCACTTCACGTATGTCTGGTGGTGTAGGAAGGAGGGCGAGTCCTTCGAGGATGCTGTTGATGGCGTCGTCGAGATTCCCCAGAACATATCTGGTATCTTCCCAAACGCATCCACTGGGTGTTTTGGCACCGGCATTGGGAAGCTTCCGTGGACGGAAGGAATTGTTTCCTTCAACACACGACAGCTTGAGTTTGACACAACGAATATTTTCCGGGTGGAGGTCACAGTGGGTAATAGAAAAGCCAGTTTTGAACAAGCTATTACAATCGTTGAGGGCGACCCACGGGAGTTTCAGCTGACGTTAGTAATCCTTTAAGATTATCCTTATTGTATTAATTTCAGTCGGAGGTGAGTGAGTGAGTGAGTATGGTTTTACGCCACGTTTAGCAATTTCACCGCGGGGAACACCAGAAATGGACTTCACACATTGTACCCATGTTTGGAATCAAACCCGGGTTTTCGGCGTGACGAACGAACGCTTTAACCATTAGGCTACACCATCGACCCCAGTCGGAGGGGAGAAGTCGCCTTGTGGATAAACCATTCGCTTTTAGCCCGGATTTTCCGGGTTTGATTCCTCATATAGGAAAGCGTGTGAGGCCCATTTCTGGTGTCCCTCGACACGATAATGCTGATGTTGTGCTGGTAGTGGCGTGAAAACCTGTTCTCGCTCACACCGAATGGACAGGTATAATAAATCATTGCCACGAATACATTACAGTCTTAACAGTACTTGACCGCCTCCGTGGTACTTGTTGGTCCCTGCCTGGCGCTCGGCATTAATGGGTACAACAAGGACTGGTCGGCTCGGTCAGTATAATGTGTGGGGTATTCATACTTAACTGCGGCATCAGCTAGCACTATAAAACCAGCTCAAGTCTGGGCTAGTACAAGTAGGCACACATACACACTGACTGAGTTTAGTTTTACGCCGCTTTTAGCAATATTCCAGCAATATCACGGCGGGCACACATACACACATGCACGTCGTCATATTAGCGAAATATTATTAAGTACGACGTTAAACCCCATTTCACCTCACCTCACTTTAACAGTACTCACTAAATTCCCTAACTAAACATCAGACTGAATACAAACTTACTGAAGCAGTCGTTGTGTATACTGTATCATTGTAGAAGGTGAGATACTTCGTCCTGTGACTGTACAGACAAAGGTAGTTCACAGCCTTTGTCAACTATAGCACAGGGGTAGAAATAACCCATTGACCGACGCCCGAGTCCAGTGGTTTTTTCTGTCGGGCAAGCAAATTTGTATATCACACTGTACCGGTGTCCAGTTGACTTTCCAATATTAATTATGTTGTTTATTTTAAAATTCAACAAGAAAACGGTCGGTATAGTGGAAACATTATCAGGGCAAGTGATTTTACATGTGCCACTGTACCGGAGTACACTAGCAATTTTAAAGTTATTTCCACCCCTGTCGCAAAAAAAGTTTGGAAACAGGATGTGGCTTTAAATTTGTTCATGCTAACAATCTAATCGTCTGAACAGGCATCTAGCTGCATAGACTTCACATCACATATGTACAGTGTTCTATTCTATAATAATAATTGAACTATAATCGTGTATCGGTGTATACAATTCAGTCCCTAGTCCTTATCTTACAGCTGTGTTGTGAACTGCAAGTCCAAGGTCAACCCATCTGGCGAGTTCAGCTTGACCAGCCAGTGCGTGAAGTGTCACCCGCTGGACACTGTCTATTACAACTGGACGCTTCTGTTATACAACGACACCGCCGGTGGCTACTTGACCGTGGACGACCTGGACTCGATGATCTCTACTGGGGCGCACTCTTCCAGTGTCCAGTTCTACGCTAGGGGTCTCATCGGGGGCATGAAGTACCGACTCAGGCTTGATGCCAACCTCCACGGCTACGCCCCCAGCTTCACAGAATACGACTTCATCACCAACGAACCACCGTACGGTGGAACGTGTGTGATCGTTTCTGGGGAGGGTAAGTACTGATTGACTGATATACACCTATATATTGACACCGAATCTATTTGTTTTACTTTATTGCCACCTTGGCTGCATATGTCATCGGTATGTTGTTAATGTAAATTGTGTTTTATGCCGCAATCAGCCATATTTCAGCATTGCAATAGTGACGTGTATATCTTGCGTCGTCAAGCTGGTGATTGATAACATAAGCAAAGATTAGTGACATTGCTATCTGATGTCACACAATCTGTAAGATCACATTTGTAAAAACGTCTGTCCTCATTTTAGTCTGCTCAAAGGGGTTGAACTGAACGTTTGTAGAAAATACAGATTTTGATTTTTACAAGAACAATGCAGGTAAATCGTGATGAAGCGTTCAGGTGACCTCATGGCACTAGAGCTGTGTATGCTTGCACTGGTTGTGTGACAAATCATCATGCACCATCTATTCAATCCGTGTCTCAAGGCATGGAGATCCGTGTAAGAATTGGTCTTCAGTAACCCATGCTTGTCGTAAAAAGTGCTTAGCGGGATCGGGTGGTCAGGCTCACTGAACTGGCTGATGCATGTCATCGTATCCCATTTGCGTTGATCGATTCTCATGATATTGATCACTGGATTGTCTAGTCCAGACTTGATTATTTACAGACCGCCGCCATATAGCTGGAATATTGCTGAGTGCGGCGTTAAGCACCACACATACACACCACACAAACAAAAAAACAAACCTTCAATCCAGCAAATTTCAAGAACAAACTTGTAGAATAACGGTGCTTGATCAAAGCTTGATAGAAAATATATAATATAATAATAAAAAAAAATTAATGACATTTTGAAATGCAAGTGAGGAATATTTTAAAATTACAGCCGCCACCGGAAAGGTTTGGTGTACGGTCGTGTTATTTCGCGACTGTTAGTTCTATACAGACTCAATTATTTACAGACCGCCGCCATATAGCTGGAATATTGCTGAGTGCGGTATGAAACATCAAACAAACAAACGATTCCCGTTTTGAATATTAGTACTGTTCAATCAGGATTGTAACGCTTACAAAACGCCGCCACCCTTCTCCTGAACAAGTAATTTTCCATATTTACAGCACATTCTCTGGGACTGAAGTTGATTATCCAGTGCCAGGGCTGGATTAACCCGGGGGAGGAGGGCGTTGGGGGCGGGGCTGCTGTACCGGTTCCTGGTGTACGCCCGGGGGAGGGGCGACGTGCAGCTGCTGTATTATGGCACAGATCCCTACACCCCAAATCCCAGATCCCCATAGGAGAGGAGACCCAGGACTACATGTTCGACATCGTTGTGAGGGTGGCCAACCCAATAGGAGAGTTTGTTGAGATCAAGCTGGAGACCCAGGTGAAGTATTAGTGTTCTTAGCATACCTTGTGTGACAGATGCAATACTTGGTGTTCTTAGCATACCTTGTGTGACAGATGCAATACTTGGTGTTCTTAGCATACCTTGTGCGACAGATGCAATACTTGGTGTTCTTAGCATACCTTGTGACCGACAGCTGCAGTACTTGGTGTTCTTAGCATACCTTGGTGCGACAGATGCAGTACTTGGTGTTCAGCATACCTGGTGTTCTTATGCATACCTGGTGTTCTTAGCATACCTTGTGTGATCGATGCAGTACTTGGTGTTCTTAGCATACCTTGTGTGACAGATGCAATACTTGGTGTTCTTAGCATACCTTGTGTGACAGATGCAGAACTTGGTGTTCTTAGCATACCTGGTGTGACAGATGCAGTACTTGGTGTTCTTAGCATACCTGGTGTGACAGATGCAATACTTGGTGTTCTTAGCATACCTTGTGTGACAGATGCAGTACTTGGTGTTCTTAGCATACCTGGTGTGACCGATGCAGTAGTTGGTGTTCTTAGCATACCTTGTGTGACAGAAGCAGAACTTAGTGTTCTTAGCATACCTGGTGTGACAGATGCAGAACTTAGTGTTCTTCGCATACCTGGTGCCACAGATGCAGTACTTGGTGTTCTTAGCATACCTTGTGTGACAGATGCAATACTTGGTGTTCTTAGCATACCTTGTGTGACAGATGCAATACTTGGTGTTCTTAGCATACCTGGTGTGACAGATGCAGTACTTGGTGTTCTTAGCATACCTGGTGTGACAGATGCAGTACTTGTGTGACAGAAGCAGAACTTAGTGTTCTTAGCATACCTGGTGTGACAGATGCAATACTTGGTGTTCTCAGCATACCTTGGTGTGACAGATGCAGTACTTGGTGTTCTTAGCATACCTTGTGTGACAGATGCAATACTTGGTGTTCTTAGCATACCTTGTGTGACAGATGCAATACTTGGTGTTCTTAGCATACCTGGTGTGACAGATGCAGTACTTGGTGTTCTTAGCATACCTTGTGTGACAGATGCAATACTTGGTGTTCTTAGCATACCTGGTGTGACAGATGCAATACTTGGTGTTCTCAGCATACCTGGTGTGACAGATGCAGTACTTTCGTACCTGTTGCCTCAGATGCACTAATTTGTTTTCGTACCTGTCGCCTCAAATGCACTAATTTGTATTGTTATCACTCTCTAAACATCAGATGAGGTACTTCTGGCAACAAGTGCTGCTTCACACATAGTACCATGTACACATGCGAGGAATAGAACGTGGTCTCTTTAAATTGAAGGATCGTATTTTTTCACATTGTACCGTATCTAGACCAAGGCTGAAACCAGTTTCCGATATTCCACGAAAAGCAGACGTGCCTTGAGTCCCCTGTTTTGTTTTTATATTAACAGTGTTTTAGTTAGACATGCTATTATTCCCCCCACCCACACCTCCAACGCCTTCCGCTTCATGTTGCGACCCCGCAATACATCGCCCTTTCCAGGTGAAGCCCCCAGAGGTGAAGGAGAACGTGGAGACCTACTTGAATCTCACTTCCGGTTCCTCCAGCACACTCTCGTCACTTCTCGCCACAGGCCGCGAGCAGGAGGCCAAACAGTTGATAGTAGCAGTTGCCTCCCTTATCAATGAGGACAGCGCCAAGCAGGAGGTAATGCATTGTAAACGGTATGGCTTTGGATGTTACATAGACAGTAGAACGTGGTGGCTAGGCGAATTTACATGGGAAAAGTTTCGGGATTAAGGGTATTTTGTTCCGTACAAATCCCTATAGCTTCAGTCAGAACCGGAGTTATCTGCTCCTGATTTGCATGCGTTAAGCGATGTATTTTAAGGCATTTAACATTGATCTGGCTGAGATATGAATATGTAAGTACACCATCAAATATACATAGATCATCATCTTCTATAGATAATTGATAGTTAGGATATACGTAAATGTTGGGATCTCATAAACTATCAACACGGTAGGTGTCTCCACAAATGGCGGTTTATCATCAGTTGTCGGTGTATCCTACGTGGTAGAATATTATTTATATCGTCAGCAGTTTACTGCAATATTGGAAGTGTATTTTTATATTTTTGTAACCATTGGTTGGGTAATATATGTGAGGGTGACGTTTTTAGGCATCCGTTTCGACCGGAGATACGACTACAGCGCTCCCAGGAGCATCTCCCACGGCATCAACTGAGGCAGAGGAAGAGTTAAAGCAACAGAAACAGAAGAGAGTTGAGGTGAAGGTCGCAGAAAAAATAACATGTAGAACAAATATCACTAAATTTGGCTACTCAACAAGTTACATTATTTACAATCCAAAAAGCAGTGTGAACACGTTAAAACAGATGTTAACAGACCATCTTTCAGTTCTGGGAAGTTTATAGTAACATTCCAGAAGACTGAGGGGTAATCCGACTGCAGTGGCATTCGATCATTCCCCTTTAAGGAGAGTATTACTCGTCCGTGTAAAATTATCCTCCAGTCCGAAATATATCCTTTATGGTATATATTTCTAAGATGACCCGCCACCTGTATAATTATGAGTGAGTTTGTCAGTTTGGTTTAACGCAGCTTTTAGCAATATTCCAGCAATATCACGGCGGGGGACACCAGAAATGGGCTTCACATATTGTAACCATGTGGGGAATCGAACCCGGGTATTGGCGTGACGAGTGAATGCTTTAACCACTAAACAACCCAAACGCCCTGCATTATCAGAATATACAAACCCAATATAAATTTTCACAATGTGAAATACTTTTATTTTAATAACGCACCAGGTTTTAACACACGAATACGAGTATGATGCTGACATACATTGAACAAGAATCTGTATTAAGAATAAATAAAGAGGTCAGCAAAGATTTTGAATTCTTACGTTTTATGTATTCACACGAGAGGAGGTTGTCAGAGCAAGTTCTAAAATATACTGGTGCCGGCGTGGGTTATGCTAATGTAGAAAATCCGCGTCCTTGTATATTCATAACTGAAACAATATTACATTCAGCGGATCCTGTTTCATGCAGTAGACCTTCGTTGCTTTGTTGAAGCGTCCCATGGAAATACCGAGGTTATGAACAAACTATGCTTGTCGTAAGAGGCGGGCAAAGTGGATTGTCCCGTCAGGCTCACTGATATGTCTGGTTGAATGTCACTAATATATTGTCCTTGGGCAATTCCTTTCCTTGAAAGCTTTAAAGGCGCTTTACTGATGTCACTCTTTCATGCTCTTTTTCGATTTGTATCAAATTACCTTAAATTAGATTTTGGTTTCGTTATCTAAATTATTATTTCCTGACCAAGAGTTTAGAAAGTTGATACATCAGTGGACACAATAAATCAAATAATTAAAGTATAGAATTAAAACATAACGTCTGGGTCATAGGCATATTCAGTTCATCAAAGTAGATATATAATTGAAGTTTGAAGACAAATTTAAGTACAATGTATATATAGATCTTTTACCACGATAAGGTGCCTCCCCGCAACAAGAACTGATGACAACCTCACAGAGGATCGTGTCATTTCCGTTTCTTTTTCTCTTTTATTCAATGCCGCATTCTGCAAAATTCCACTTGTATGACTGGGGTCTGTAAAATTAGTAAATAATCCAGAGACTGAAATCGTGAGCATGGATCTTAGCAGTTTGGTTACGATGACATACATCAATCAAGTCAAAGAGCCTGACCACTTAAACCTGATAACCGCCCGTTACGACAAGCAAGATCAATTCTAACCCTGATCTTCAGGGGAGAAACATGATCTGTATGGAGGACACGTCTGTTCTTGAGCCATGCAGATGTGGACTTTCAAATACCAATAAGGCTTCTTTTGTTCACCAACACGATCAGGACAGTTCAATCTTAGCAAAAGAATCCGCCACAGAATACTCTCATGTTACACCCTCGATAATACAGCTTTTTCGGATAGATATCACGCGTTCAAATAACCAGACATGTCATTTAACCTCAACATGGCTTCATGTTTTTGCTTTCGGAACTTACCGTTAATATTCGTTATAATACAAAAATCATATAGAGGTAACTTTACGGAGCGAGTGATCAGTGTCAATGCTCGTGGTGTGTCACTAACGTACACCAACGGGCGTAGATCGTTTGCTCATAATACAAAATACTGGACTGTGTGATTCAGACTGGATTATCTACAAGACACCGTCAAACAGCGGAGTGCTGCGTTAACAAACCCACTCTGAAACCCTTTCTCACTCGTACAGAAACTGTAGAAGAGATGATTGTAATGAGATTGTTGAAAGATTAACGTCACATCGGCATGAACTTGCTGGAAGACACTAATTGAATTTAAAACATACCTTAAGGTAATGATTTAAAGGTTGGAACGTAATTTAATATCAAATGTTTGAGGTTAAGGTAGATGTTTAGTACTGCTTCTACGTACAGCTAGCGTATAGACGTTAAGAAACACATGAGGCTCTACAATGTTATTAGAATACATTATTTGTCCAGTGTTGTCAACTTAAGGTTTTTAGAATAGATAATATTATGTCTTCCAGCCTGCTACTTCAAGTCTTCCAGTAAAACTCGATGACCATCTTTCTCGAAGTTTCACTGCATAGAATTTAAGAGTCGGTCTATTTTATCATGAATATTGTGAAATGGAAACGCTAATAAAAGTCATTGTTTTTTATGGCCAGCTGCGGACGGAGGTGGTGAAGACCCTGGCGACCACAGATGCCTTGACCCTGGACTCTCTGCAGCAGACGGCCATGGCATTTAGGGTGATAACCCATCAGACCACGGAACTGTCAGAGGAAGCTCAGGTCAGTAGGTGGGGCAAGTCAGAAGGCGGGTCGGGATTGCAGGTGGATCCAGAGAGTATGCGGATCGGGATTGTAGGCGGATCCGTAGACTATGTGGGTCAGAAAAGAAGCTGTTCCTGTTTGCCGTAGAAACTGAAAATTAATAGTATATAGGTTTTGTTTTCGAACAATTCTTGCGTTCCGTCAAGTTGTACAGTAGGCAGACCCTGTTATACCGAACTTAACCCATCACTGATGTTTAGTGAGTGAGTTGGGATTTACGTCACGGCCGGGGCCACCAGAAATCTAGTAGTCTACCCCACCGCCTCCATAGATGTTAAGACGGGAATATGTACAAGTGCACAAATACAAGTCTTGAAACGTCTCTATCTGTGACTTACTATTGATTTCCCTGTTAGGGGTTGGTATAACTGACACATTTCTATCCATAAACGATATAGTTATTTTCACGCTGAAAACCTCCCGGTATCATACTGTAGATATGTCTTCGCATTCAGGATATGACTGTGACGACGATGTCAACGATGGCAAACACGTTCCAGTTGATGGTTGAAGAGGAAAGACCACAGTCGGTTGAGCAGGAGCTGAAGGCTGCGGAAGGTATATTCCTGTCATTCATGAACTGGGATATGTTCAAATATGACGATTTGTTTGGGGTCAAAGTTTTAAATATTTAATGTTGGGTCACTATGTGATAGTTTGTGAAGGAAACATTAGTTGAAGGTAATTTGTCATGATGAGAACATTTAACACACCGCAACCTGGGATGTAAATGTAGAACGTCAGTCCATGACTCACACTTTCGGCGCCTTCTTTAGCTGATGCCTCGCATACACTACACGAAAAGAAACTAACGATCTTTGGCTTCAACAGACATCGTTGCTGCCCTTGGTAACATCATCTTGGCAGCCCGCACTGAGGCCTCCGGAAGTGACACCAATGACACTTCACCTACAGATCCATCACCAACCCAAGGGTCCTCCACATCAGCTTGGCAAGCCGATTCTGAATCTCAAGCCAAGGTCAAACATGTGTTATTATGACTGAACACACATGCTCTCTATCATACATATCTTTTGGTTTGATCAAATACCAAATATAGATGTGCAGTATTTAAAACCATAGTCTTCAGATGAAGTATCGGTGTATTAATTTTATGGCCTTCATAAACATTTGTTCCAACTAGAAGATAAGGTCGAACCGCTAGGTGTGTGTTTTTAGTCAGTTTTGTCAGTCACCGAATACTTTACTGCTGTCACAGTAATGTCAGCTTTACTCGTGAAGATTCGGGTTAGACCCATTCTTGTCGTAAGAGGCGACTAACGAAATCGGGTGGTCAGACTCGCTGACCTGGTTGACACATGTCATCGTATCCCTATTGTGTAGATTAATGTTAATGATGCTGATCACTGGATTGACTGGTCCAGACTCGATTATTTACAGACGGTCGCCATATAGCTGGAATATTGCTGAGTGCGGCGTTAAACAACCAACCAACCAACCGTGCTTTTCGTAAGCAGTGGGTGACCAAGCCCGCTGACGTGGTTGATACATGTCATCGTATACGAGCTCATTCTGTTATGTCGCGACATATTCTGAAACATCATCATCATCATAATGATCATCATCATGTTTTTAACAGGCTCGTGAAGTTACTAAACTGGCTCTGGAAGTAGCAGATTCAGTGGTGAAAACTATACTGAAGAAACAAGTCCCCGGAGCGCCACCTGTCGTCATGAAGAATCAGATGTTTACAGTGGTTGCTGAGAGAAAGGAGACGTCCAAGTTAGGCAACTCTGTTTTATCTGCAGACGAAGGATCCTTCAAGTTGCCATCTTCAAGGGACATAGTAACTGAGAATGTGACGAGCCACATTATAGATACTAAGGTGAGTCAAGACAACCGTTATATTAGTTGATTAAATAAAAGTGTTTAGGAATTGGAATACTATTGCTCATGTATAGGAAGAACATGTGATAGGTATGCATAATGTTTCATTAGAGATATAAAGTTGTGTAAAATTGTATTTATCATCTCCTCTCAACCCTCTACCCTACTGTAGCAGTATCCCTGCAATATAACGACGGGGGACACCAGAAACCCGGGCCTTCGGGGTGGCGAGCGAGCGCTTTAACCATTAGGCTACCCCTCCCTCCACATATATAAGGTTCCTGAAACGTGTGTATGTGTATAAGCAAATATTTTCCTGATCACTAATGATTTTCGTTCCAGTTCGTCACCTCCCAGTTAAATCCATACGTCTGGGACAACAGCGCCGACAGCGTCAACTCTCCCATCCTCACAATGAATCTATACGACTCTGGCGGCGACGAGGTGAAGGTCAACAACTTAGGCTCCAACATCATCATTGACATAGGCGCTGTAGGTAACGACAGCAACAAAGTGGTCGTACATCCGGTCCTGACCGGAAATGAGACAATGGTTTACCATACCTGGAGCGTGTCGGGAAATAACAGCGAGAACCTCAGGATAACAGTGATACCCCAGGCTGCAAACGTCACGCTTGAGTTGTACATTAGAAATGGAACATTTCCTACGGAGAGTGAGTTTGACCTCTTCTACCAGGTCCCTCGTGACGTGAACGCTACCGAGCTTGGTGACCCCGCCCTCGAAGAAGAGTTAAGCTACACCATCTTTGTCACCGGAGAAGAACAGGCAACGATGGGAAATGGAACTTTTTACATTGGAGTCAAAGAACAAGGTAAACTAAGCAGTTTTTCAAAACATAAATAATTTACATATTATATTTCAAATAAAATTACCATACTTCAAATTGGTGAGGTATGGATGCGACAGGCCAATCCGATCATCTCAGCATCACGTTCCGATTTATATACAAATCCATCAAGCAGATCCCGGCTAGGTAAAGATATTCTTGCATAAAGTTATTATAACACGTTACTGTAACAAACGTGGCTGCAAGACATGTTATCTCACGTAACAAATACACATTGCCGGATTCTGTAGTTTATCATGGTACTGCTGGACAAAGGTGAATATGTATTTAGAAAGAGGTTATTCCTTTATATCTATCATATATTACGAATGTAAATAAGGCACTAGGCTCTTTAAATGTATAATACACTATTTAATCCAAAAGGTATGACAAGTAATATATGATAACGATTAATATATACTATTTAGTTAACTAATAATGCAGGTGACAAATCTAAATATGACAGTCAGATTGTAGATGCAGCACTAGAAGGGGCTCTGTCTTTGTTGTAAAATATAGGCAGGCTATCTACTGAATGGTGACGTTCTGTTACAGTAAACATCTCAACCACGGAACCTGACTACAGCGACTACTACGACTACGGCAACAACGATGACGATGACGTGAAAGTTATGACCAACTACTCCATCAGCTTCAGTACGTCGGCCTGTCGGTTCTGGAGGGAGGCCGAAGACAAGTGGATCACAGATGGTTGTCAGGTAGACGCGGTGTTTCTGCAGCTGCAGTAGTAGTTGGAGATGCCGAATTCCTTCATCCCCTCTTAGTTCATCCTCGATAAGCTCCAGGGTTTACGTTTCGATCACTCTCCACTATACCCTGGATGCATCCACGGCTTGGCCCGATGATTATCGAGGATGCCCTTAGTTCTACATCAGTTTTTTTCGTGTCTTCAGGGCATCATTTTTTGTAATGTGTTTCACGTAGCCACCAAATTTTGAACATGGCTCAATAAAATTAGAAGGATCGGTCGGGCGATGAGAAACACCGAAATAAAACATGCTGCCCATATCTGAGCTACGTATCAGCCCATGTGCCCTGTTAGGACTATAGCGCAGCTCTACATATCCTGTATGCTACATATCATAACATCCGTGAAGATCTGGGTTAGAATTAGTTGTCTTCCGCAACCTTTGCTTGATGTAAGAGGCGATTAACGGGATCGGGTGTCACCCTCACTGACATGGTTGACACGCCGACCTCAGCAATAGCCCAGCTGTATATGGTGTCGGTCTGTAAGAGTGAGTGAGTTTAGTTTGGCCGCAGCAATACCAGCTATGGCGGCGGTCTGTAAATAATCGAGTCTGGACCAGACAATCCAGTGATCAACAGCATGAGCATCGATCTGCGCAATGGGGAACCGATGACATTTGTCAATCAAGTCAGCGAAACTGACCACCCGATCCCGTTAGTCGCCTCTTACGACAAGATAGTCGCCTTGTTATGGCAAGCACATGGGTTGCTGAAGACCTATTCTACCCCGGATCTTCACGGGTCCGGTCTGTAAGAAATCAAGTCTGAAGTCAAGTCAGCAAGCCTGATCGCCCGACCCCGTTAGTCGCCTCTTACGACAAGCCTTGGTTACTGGAGACCAATTCTAACTCTATATATGTAGAGTGGCTAGACTCGTCATCAATATACCCCGACAAACTGGGACATACAGTAAGCTACGGTTAACGAACTCAAAGAGACCACAAACCTTAGTTCGTTGTAGCCATAGTTCGTTATACACATTTCGACTAAAATATACAGCAAGTGGTCGGTACCAAAGGAAAAACCAGTTTGTTATATCCGTCAGTTCCCGTCAGTTCGTTATATCCGTCAGTTCGTTACAACCGTAGTTTATTACACATCATAATGCTCATATTATCCATATTGTATCTGGTCCAGAATATATTTATCTTCAGGGTGCCGCTATAAAATTTGAATATCGCTGACTTTGGCGTTTTAACAACTCCAAAATCGCCATTCAAAATTACAATTGAAACAAAATGAACAGTGTCACTGTCTCACCCTAGGTCAGCGAACTTTCCAACTCCCGCTTCACGAGGTGTCTTTGCAACCATCTGACGGCATTCGCCAGTGGCGTCTTCACTCCTCCTAACTCCATCAACTTCAACACCGTCTTCAACAACCTCGGCGCTAAGTTACTTGACAACAACGCCGTCCTCATAACCCTGTGTGTCATCTTTTTCCTCTACATCGTCTGCGTCATCTGGGCCAGAAGGAAGGACAAGCGGGATGTGGAGCGGGTGGGTGGTAAAAGTAGGAATATATTTGTAGGAGATGTGGAATAAGGATTGCGCCCGAATGGTCTATCAAAACATTCACTTCTCAAAAGACACCATTATCGTTTGAAGACAGCGTAACATTGATCTCCTTTTTGACCTCATCTGTCCAAAAGTTACATCGAGCATGTCCGACACATTAAAATTCAAATATAGCTTTTCAAATTTTGTTATTGTATTTTCACTTTATAGACACTTGCTAAATGTGTACGTTATATACTTTTCAAGTGGTTGTGTGCTGACAATACGGTGATTACTTTGTAAAACTATTAATCCGTTTCTTCAGAAATCATTTATCAAAACATAAAATCAGTACATCTACCTTTGCCATATATTATATAAGAACGGGGCTAGTTATCGGCTGTTGGTGGTATGTAACATCTACTGATTCATAACAGCTGAATGAAAGGATTACGATTGCCAAAAACTTGCTGCTTTAATTTCCTTGAAGAACGACTATCTCTAAACAATACGAATTATATACTTCAGTGGGGCGTGGCTCCTCTAGCTGACAACGTGCTGGCCGACAAGTATTTCTACCAGATCACCGTCTTCACGGGCATGCGCTCTGGGGCGGGTACAAGGTCACGTGTCAGCTTTGTTCTGTCTGGGGATGACGCCGACACCGGCGTGAGGGACATGGCCGACGAGAAAGGAGCGAAGGTTCTCTCTCACATCACGTGACATATATACGTCACTATATGCATTGTAAAGAGTGAATATTCAATTTAAGTCAAACAGAACAGAAAACACCACAGAAACAGATCATTATCAAACCACCTCTTACAAGGGAGAAATTCTTCTTTACAACACAGCTTTATCGCATGGAGATAAACTGTAAGGGTATTGAATACAGATTGTACAGTGATCACATTAATTTGGCAAAAAACGTCTGAATAAATTTATCTCTGTAATGTTCCTCAGGTGTTCAACACAGCTTTATCGAAAAGAAACAGTCTCATGTGTAAATAAACTGTAAGGGGATTGAATATAGATTGTACAATGGCCGCATTAATTTGGCAAAAATGCCTGGATAAACATATCTCTGTAATGTTCCTCAGGTGTTCAACCGCGGGAGTGTTAACCAGTTTGTGATGGGTGTGAGTGAATGCCTCGGCCCTTTGTCCTACCTCCGAGTCTGGCACGACAACTCTGGCAAAGGGAAACAACAAAGCTGGTATCTCAGTAAGGTCGTCGTGTCCGACCTGCAGACAGGGGAGAGGTAAGACACACAGGTCGTCGCAGTGAGGTAGGGACACACGCCAATTTACCTGTGAGGAGAGGTGAAGCTTGCATGGGATAAGAAAACATGTTTCAGAAATAAATTGCATTATGGCAATGGACCCGTTTACCTTGTTGACAGATGTTGTTGTTTATGGAATGGACCATGATATACTCACCTAATGAGGATAAACCCTGTTTTGATCACTTATATGCCATTACCGAAGTAAGCCAGACTGTTCTATCGATTTCAGCACAATGTGCATTTTGACTGACCTTGACCTTGACTTTGAAGACCCTACAAGACACAAAGCAAAAGCGGACTGCAGTAAATGAAATTATTTTTAAAGATGCGTAAAATCAAATTTTTAATCTCATTGAACACGAAAAGGTTCTTAAATAAGATTCAAAACTTGTTAATGGTCTTACTGCATATAAATAATATTCTTCAAGAGAAGATCCCCAAGTCGTCATTGCCACATTAGAATCGCTTTGCGGTTGATTGATATTTATCAGAACAACTTCGGTTTACTCAATTGTTGCTAAGCACACATGTCATGGTAGAGCATGATGTCATTTATTGTTAAATGACATCGTATTCCAGAGTGACATCTTTCAAGCCACACAGACAGAAAGCTCCATACAGCATTGATTTATCACCATGTATATTGATGTTTTACTGGGTTTTTGAGAATGCAATCACGATGTAAAGAAACAAATGGTACTTGAAATTTACGGCATACCTCGTGGGTAAAGGAAAATTGTCGTGCATTGTTTGTTCCATCCGAAGACAAATATCACACTCACTCTCTTTTGTTGGTATCTATTTATCAGATTAACGCTCCTGGTTAATCACGTCGTTCTTGTTTCTACAGTTTCTTCTTTCTGTGCAACCGGTGGCTGGCTGTTGAAGAGGATGACGGTATGATTGACAGGATGATGCCCGTGGCCGGCACCGGGGACGTCCTCACATTCAATCACCTCTTCTTCTCCAACACCAAGAAGAGCCTTACTGACTCGCATCTCTGGATCTCGGTCTTTGCCCGACCTCAGAGAAGCAACTTCACCCGAGTACAACGTGTCTCCTGCATCCTGTCCCTCCTAGCAACCACCATGCTGGCTGACGCCATGTTTTATAAAGCCGAAAGCAAACACGATGCGGCCTACTCTTTCACTTTAGGACCTCTGAAATTCTCCCTCAATGAACTCTACGTCAGCTTCGTCAGCAGCCTCGTCGTGCTGCCTGTGAACATCCTCATTGATCAGATATTCAGACGATGCAAGACCAGGACGACTACCAAGGTGGACAACGGTTTCCTCCAGAAGAACCTGAAGATCAACACACTCCGTCCATCAACCTCAGCGTCTACTTGTCCTGACCCCATCAGAACAGTTTACGATGGCACACTCTCCCCCGACCCTGCCACGCCCAGCCCGACCCCAGGAAAGTCCTCCAACCCTCTGATCACGTCTTACACACAGAGTTCAGGGGATATAACACTGAAGACTAACAGGAAGATCAAGAAGCTGAAAGCCAAGCCTAATCGTAAGAAGAAGAAGTACTTCCCCTGGTGGACCAGGTATATAGCGTGGCTGCTCGTGTTCATCAGTACTGGAGTGTCCGCCTTCTTTACCTTCTTGTACAGCATGGAGTGGGGGAAGGTGAAGTCGAACGCTTGGCTGTCGTCCATGTTGCTGTCAGTGGGGCAGTCTGTGCTGTTGTTGCAGCCAATTAAGGTTAGCCTTGATCGTCATTACAGGGTCCGAAATAATCGCGCTGTTTAAATGAGATCCCGGTGCCGTAGATGCATACCAAGAACCACATTTCGTTGTACAGGAGATACCTTGTGGTGATCTTGTTTCGTGCAAGTCGTGTGTACATTTAGAAGTAGAGACCGTGCGTTTGATTTGAAAACAGTGCCTCAAATTTATGTCTTGAATAGAACTATAGCTTAATATTTCTCTGTTGGCTGACTTGGTTGACACATGTCATCGTATACCAATTGTGCAGATCGATGTTGAGCACTGGATTGTCTGGTCCAGAATCAATAATCTGGTCTGTTGCAATAGCTGAAATAGTGCTGAGTGCGACTTCAAAGAACAACCAAACACATCGATCTCTCAGGGTAAACGGTTAATTGCCTATGGTGCCATTCACTTTCAGTGGCCGTGACAGAAACCTGTGATCGTGAGGTTGTGTCCCAGTGAGTCCAGATCATGTTTCAACACGTATAGGATGCTCGGGAGGCCCACTAAAGTAGAAAACATATAGGATGTGCATCACCTTCCTACATCATGAGGCTATCAAGTCATGGTATAACAGAGATTCTGTTCAAGCGGTATGACACCCAACTCACTGCCTGTTTCAGATCATTGTCGTGGCGGTGATAGTCGCGTGGGTTGTCAAGAAGCCCGAACTGGACGACCTTCCAGAAGATGAAGACCCGAACGCTGTCCAGCCTCAGCAGGACGAGGAGGTCACGCACGAGATGCCACCCGAGTCAGGTAGAACTCTTAGTAGATCGGGGTGTAGGGTAGCCTGGTAGTTACAGTATGGTGTAGTCACGTCTAGAGCCCAGGTTCCTTTCCCAGAAAGTATATGATGCCCATACGTCTTGTCCCCTATGGAACAGTATTAGGGGTATACCATCAAAGTCATTTGCTCACTTTTTATATCACATTTTTTAATGTATTCCATCTATTCATGCTTTAAATGATGGGTATATACTATAGATGTATTCAGTAACATATATGTGTAACATCGTAATTGTCTGGTCATGGGTGCCACCATGAGGTTGGTTTAGTATGAATAATGAGTTTATTACATAGGTTAGTGCCTTAATTGTAAAATATTACTCAAGATTCACCTTGACAAATGATATGACCTCAACATACGATCATACCTTGACACATGACATGACGTCGAAATATGCTATGACCTTGACACATGACATGACGTCGAAATATGATATGACCTTGACACATGACATGACGTCGAAATATGATATGACCTTGACACATTATATGACCCAGACATATGGCAGGACCTTTAGTTGCTGCCGACTTTATGCTTACACCTGATGGCCATTGCCTGGGCATTCTGCGCCCAGCTTCTGCACCCAGCCCCTTGAATCCGTGAATATGGTATATTTCTAAAAGCAGCGTAAAACTATACTCACTTCCCTCTGAACGCCAGTGACCCGGCCGAAGATGCCAGTTCCTCAGCTTGACCAGGAAGCCCTCCAGGCCGCTCGGACGAAGCGCTTGAGGGAGATTGAGATGATGGCTATTATCAAGGAGGTCGTCGCCTACGTCCTCTACCTCACCATCCTCTTCATGGTGTCCGTCCACAACAGGGACCCCAATTCCTTCCTCATCAAGGACAATCTCCTCAACATGATCGCGGGGACGTCCGCATTCACCAAGGTATCGACTGGGTTATCTAATTATTGGGTTATACAGTAATTGAGATTAGGTTATGCAGTAAAAGAGTTTTGGTTATGCAGTAAATGAGATTTGGTGGTTCAGTACATGAGATTGGGTTGACACATGGTAAATGAGATTCGGTTATTCAGTAAATACGACTTTTGACGCTTTTAATCAGCCAGACCAGCCATGATGCAAATAGATCGAAAGAAAGCCATTAGATCATCAAAATGACTGGGTAAATCAGAACAACGAGTTCCTTTAAATATTATGGGGATTGTTCAGAAACTGCGACTGGGTTTTCACCAGTACAGGGGTCAACAATATCTGCGACCTGGTAAACTGCCAAGATTATGCCCTACAGGTCAGCACCGGTAACGACTTTTGGAACTGGACCCGCCATTACCTTCTGCCAAACCTATACGCCAACAAACACTTTGACGGGTCCCTCTGGAGGAGAGAGGCCAGCGCTTTGTGTCCAACATGGTGGCTTACAGGGTTGGGCCTCTCAGGTTCAGGCAGCACAGAGTCGTCACAGGTAACAGTATTTTGTCCGGAGCTGTAAATCGCATTATCATACATGACTATGGTAAAATCAGTTGATACACCCCGGAAGCCGAGCTATGTTTCTTGCATAGCGGAGATACAGGTAGTGCGAGTGACTTCAGCTTTAAGATTCAAAAGGCGGCACTGGGTGACTTCCAGAGTGTTCTTTTTAGCTGCTCGGATAACCATTATTTTGATCCATGCTACTGACCTGTTTACGGGCGCAATGGTAGGAATAACTAGCCCGTACATATGTATAGAAATCCCATCAAGTACACAAGCGTGTCAGTACTCTGTCACAACCGGATTTGCAACTGGGTTCGGTTTTGTCAGTCAAACCAACGACAACTTATATACAAAATTTGACATATAAATATATCTCCCTGGGTAACAAATGTATGCGACATTCGATAGATACCATTTTTAGGAAGCTAGTGAAATTGTATGGTGTCTGACCTTGGTTTCGATCAGTTACGAACCAGAGAATGGTGAAAAGTTTCATAAAAGTAGTATCGAGACGAGAACGAGTGTATTATTTTCTATATGCAGCTACAGGGAAATAAAAGCTTAACAGAGACCGAGAATATATCGTGAAGAGGACAGTGAGAACTGAAATGTATTATCCGGTTTCGATATATACTGAGAGAAACAAATAAGGGAACACCGGTTCATGGCAGTGTTCCTTTATTTATTCTCAGATTTCTTCCCACAGCGCTATATATTCAAAGCTGGTGATGAAAACTAGAATATATTAAAGGGACGCTTGAATTTTCCTGTGTTCCTTTATTTGTTTCTCTCAGTATACATAGTGTTATCTGACAGTGTGACTTTCACAACTGTCCGAAGAGGCAATCTTAGCGTCACGGTAGTCGAAGTCGTGACGGGTCTTAAGATAACGTAGTGAAAGGGTAACGCAATAATAAGTGTATGCAAACATGTTTTTGATTTTTGTTGAAAAAGAAACTTATTAAACCACTATGATGTTCTCAGGCCAGTGCCACACACCTCCAGACCTTCCGAAGAACTTCGCCAAATGTAGCCATGCTTGGTCCTGGGAGAGACAGGACACCAAACTCTACCTGGAAGGATGGCAGAGGTTGGCGACGAACGTCACCCCCATCACCCCGCTTAACTACCCCTGGGGCTACAAGACCTTCAGCAAGACTAACGGAATCCCGCACGTCGGCAAGGTCGGGGTGTACCCAGCTGGAGGGTACGTCGCTGATCTCATCGGGAGCGAGACGCGTGTCAGTAAGATGGTCGACACCCTGAAAGAGAAAGAGTGGATCGACAAATACACGAGGGTGGTGTTTGCCGAGTTCACGGTGTATAATCCTAACGTGAACATGTTTGCTATGATCATGGCGACGATGGAGATAATGTCGACGGGGTCGTCGGCGGTGGACGTGATAGTGAGGCCGTTCCGACTCTTCTCCTACCTGGGGGGCTACGGTGTCGTAGTAGCGGTCTGTGATGCTCTGTCTTTGGTCTTCATCGTTTACTTCTTCGTCAGAGAGTGCAAGATACTGAAAAAGCAGAAGTGGGGATATTTTCGACACTTCTGGAACTTTCTGGAGTTGTCCATCCTCCTGCTGTCCCTGACGACAGTGGCCATGTACGTGGGGAGACATCTGATGACAACGTATGCCATATCTAAAGTTACAAAACTAAGAGGTAATATTTACTGTAATTTGATGAGTGAGTACATTGCCGATTTAGCACTTTTTCTCCCAATCTTTGTCTCTTTACATTACCTGATATACTGATATACACAATGAAAAATGACTTAGTGTATAGGATATGTCAACTTTCCAGAACTAGCACTTGGCCTAACTTTAGCCTCTTTCGAACCAATGACCCCAGTTTGTTTGAGTTAATTGAGTTTCATGCCACGATGAACAGTAATACGTTTGTATCGCCGACTCGCGGTTTGTCAGAGGAGGATAGGGCTCACCATTGGTTTGACAGAGGAGGATAGGGCTCACCATTGGTTTGACAGAGGAGGATAGGGCTCACCATTACAGGTAATGAGGTGACAGAATCACTATCGTGACGAATCGAGGATTCCAACCTAAGAAGACCACCTAAGGGACGCAACTGGGTACAACAAGTTGAGATGCCATAGAGGACAGGTCTTTGTAACAAAATTTCACCCTGTGAAGATATATAATGCACTTTTTGACACTCGCGGTATTAATTGATTAGGAAATATTTAAGCAGCGATACAAGGGCAGCAACATGGACCACTTGCCGCCTGAAACCATATGTCTTATCATTTCAGTAAATGACGCACACTCCTTGGCAATATCCCTCTTCACATACACGAAGTATACATACCTCCTATGGAATCCTCCTCAATCTGAGGGGCGGTGGGGTAGCCTAGTGGTTAAAGCGCGCGCTCGTCACGCCGAAGACCCGGGTTCGATTCTCCACATGGGTACAATGCGTGAAGCCCATTTCTTGTGTCCCCCGCCGTGATATTGCTTTAATACAGCTAAAAGCGGCGTAAAACTAAACTGACTCACACCTCAGTCTGAGTCACCTTCTGTTTCTTCTTCCAGATCGCTTCTACAACTTCCAGCGTCTGGCAATGTGGGACGAACTGTTCACATTTCTCTTAGCCTTCGTCATATTTGTCTCCATGCTCAAAATAATCCACATGCTTCGCTTCAACAAGAAGATGTCCATGTTGGCGGGGACACTGAAGAAGGCGACCCAGGAGCTGTCGGCGTTCTCCGTCGTCTTTGTCTGCTTCATCATCGCCTTCATGTCCCTCGGGTTCCTCACCTTCGGGGCCAACGTGGAAGGCTACAGCAGTGTGTTGCTCTCCCTGGAGACTCTGCTCTCCTTTCGCCCTGGGACACTACCAGTTTGAGGAGCTCTCCGTGGCCAATAGGACAATCGGACCTATCTTCTTCTTCGCCTACATCATGTTCGTGGTTCTGCTGATGCTGAACATGTTCGTCACTATCCTGAACGATTCCTTTAGTGTGGTAAGAGCCAAGGTCAACAGTGAGCAGAATGACTATGAAATGGTTTCCTTCATGTGGGAATGCTTCCGGTCGTGGATTGAGCTCACTGGCCTTGTCCCAAAAGCAAAGGGCAAGTACTCTGGTGAGTATTATCCTTATCTAGCCATGCCCGTTTTAAATTAAATTTCTTTGATGGAATATTGCTAAAACCGCTACTGAAACATCCACTCATTCACTGTTAACCCAACCCGCTTTTAGAACCGGGTTAGAACTGATTTTCAGTAACCCATGCTTGTCGTAATAGGCGACTAACGGGATCCGGTGCATAGGCGGATCCAGGAATTTTGGGGGTCGAACCCCCTGAAACAACAACACACACACACACTCACACTCACACTCTGGAATATTGCTGAGTGCGGCGTTAAACAACCAACCAACGACTGTTAACCTTCCACGATCGAATGATGGACAAACTTGTTTAACAGTAGCACTATTGGTCTGATATATTCCAGATAAGGAAGACTCTCTGAACGATGACCAAATGGAGGATGACAAACCCAAGACGCTCCAAACAGCTATGACGTCCGTTCACCAGAAACTGGACAACTTAGAGCGACGTCTGGACGAGATGTCGGGGCGCCAGCCGTCCAGGAAGCTGCAGTTCATGACCACCCGCCAGGACGTCGACTTTCTAGACATGGACCTGGATGAGTTCACGAGAATCTTCCCCCAACTCACAAGGCTAAAATAACCCCACGTCAAAGACCTTCCTCTGCTGCACAAAATAGGCAGTGATATGTTTTTCAACTGTTTGTTTCTGCATCCTTAGTCCATGGATGTTAAGTGAGACATCAATGTTATGATGAAATACGTCTAAATGTGTAGAATATGTATTCAGAAGAGAGTGATCAAAGGATACAGTTGTATATTCGTGGAGGAGACGTACTTCGTTCTTTGTACATGTATGTCTGAAGTTACACATCTTTAATGTACTTTTTGTTTCCTTTGTAGAGTTTGTGGGTTCCCTAGATACAACTAAAAGCATCTTAAAACTACATCCACCCCCTTTACATTTAAGACAAGGACTGTCCTGTTTGATTTCGGTTTTCAAATTGAATAAAGAGCCGGTCTGAAAATCGAGTAATTGTCTTGCAAAGATTTAATTGATGAAAGTTGTTGATAATCACATTATCATTGTGAAAACACTTATCTCGGCCACGTCTAAGCGTTATATTTCTAATAGGCTACTTAAAAAGTACTAACAACAGTAAATAGTGGAGATAGTTTACATCAATTATTTTTTGTAGCATGTAATTGTTGATATATTCTTTATGTGAATAAATGTTTTAATGTTAATAATTCATAATACACGTATTCTTCACAAAGTATGGTGATTTGTGAAGTAGTAATTCCAAGTTTGCTTGTGCCAGAATGCCCACAGTAAATCCGTCCAATTATAGTTTGTTGTGGTTAAACTGGGCTAATAGTATTGCCTCACCGGAACGTGTGTATAAACGGCCATCTGTTTTATAATAGTATGTAGTAAGTTAAGAAATTTACAATAATCAATTGTTTTACTGTTAACTATTATTCATACTGTTATAACATTGATATATATTTAAGATAATGTGTATTTACGATGTTATTGTCATATCGTTGAAACTGTTACATAGTGTACAGATTACAAGATAACCCATAGCTGAACAATTTACAATAAAACATTTTTTACATGTTCCAATAAAACATGCAATTGTACATCAACAGCTATACGATAAAGCACACTACTGTAGAAATTACAATACCTATGGCTTTACAGATTCCAGTGTATGCTGTAGATGTACAGATTAAAATAAAAGCTATAGTTGTAGCTTACGACTACCCCATCTGTTTTGGGGCTCTGTAGCAAACTGATATAAGTCTGTTATGTTGTTTATTTGTTGTGTGCTCACTCTTCCATAGGGAAGTGTCCTGTCTATGGATAATAGTGACCAATGTGGTATATGTTTACATGTAGTTAGTAGTGGGGGTTCATATACATATCCATTTAAAAAAATAAACTATCTGACCCTGCTCTTAAAGGAGACTACTATAAAATTGAAATAACTGAAAACAGTTTCTGTTATCTGAGCTTCGGTCATTATGCGATTTTACAAACATTTTGTTTTATTTTTATCACGGAGGGTGGCTTTTAAAATGCCTTTACTCCTGTGATTTTTTTGTTCCTGAAATAAAAACACACATTTTGGCAAGGTTAACCCAAACCTTTTCCTAGTGCAGGAAGTTGAACACACCAACCCCAGTTCCGCACCAAATGTCACCAACTTGAACCCCAATATGTAAAATCAACACAATATGTAAAACTAACGCAATATGTAAAAACTTAACGCAAAACGTAAAATATAACGCTATATGTAAAATATTAACGCAATATGTAAAAGATGTCTTTAACGCAAAAAGTAAAACACCTAACGCAAAATGTAAAAACAATTTTTAACTTAATATGTAAAAAATTAACGCAATATGTAAAATCCAGTTTTAGGTTTGAATATTAGGGGTAGCAGCCGAAATCCATTTTAGTCACAAATTTTACAAAAACTAAGATATCGCAATGTTTCTTACAAAATAAACTTCATATTACATTTTTATGCAAAATTTTACCTCGTTCAGTATACATGTAAGCAGAGTCGATAAACATATAATTTCCTTGTATATAGAGATATTTTAATCGATCTTATAGTCTATTTTCGAAAGTTTTAAAGGGATAATTATATTCTTCAAACTTGTTTTCATAAATTGTATTTTTGATTATATTCATTATGTCTTATTCCAGAAGGATGGACCTTTCCTTGAAACTGTCCATTCCGTTGTTGATAATCTGTGATTACCGAATTTGGGTTTTAGAGAAAACCACTTATTGATCCTTCTTAATTTGGTTTGAAATAACATGCCTGTTGTAGTAATGTTTCCAATTTTAATTCATTGTGTATGGGGGTTGGAATTAATTGCAACTGGTACTGGGCATCGAGATGGTAGCTCTGACCATTGGACTTCGGACCTAGCAGCTGATCTAGGAGAGAGCGCCAAAAGTTATGATTTGACTATGTACATGAAACAACGATGGGCGGTTAAAGGGAATACTAGAATAGTACCTAGATGTCATAGCTTCATTTGCGGGTGGGAAACAACTTCAAGTAAACCAATGTGTACATTTATTAAATCACTCTCTCTCTCTTTGCCCATTCTACCTGTTACACTCTTAATTTGATCAGGTGGATTTAGGGTCATGTAGTGTTTCCCTTCATTTTCATGAAAGTAGCCAAGATATATAACTGGACTCTCTCCGGGTAGAATCTCTTTTGGATGAACTTGTGTCACTGTTCCGTTTACATCAAAGATTTTGACCTCTGTCATAAGATTCCTGATACAACCGTGAGAACCAGGTGATCACCATATGTCCCGTGAATGAGGGAGTTAATATGGTTAAACACCCCTTCAGCAATTTTCCAGATATTGAAGACTTTAATTACACAGAGATGTCTCCATTTAGTAAGCAATAGAATAACTGGTTCCATTTATATTAATGTTTGGTACTACGTCAAATAATCACATGAATGTCACAGAATACACAGCGAATGGCAATCTGTGTGATTAAATGGTGAATTACGATTATAATTTCTTAGGCGTGGTATGTGATTTTGCAATTCTATTCAGGTATCATTGATCTTGGCATTGGCATGTTTGATGGATTGAACAAGTCATGTTACCAGTTTACATCAATATTACATATTACTTAAATTGCATCAAATACAATAACTTTATTTCATTAAATTTGAGCGATCAACATCGGGATCCAATCTCAAATGTCTCTGGTATAACTCGATTTCATTGGCAGCGATATTACCTGTGACTTGATTGAAGGAAATCAAATGTGATTGGAATGCAAATACCCGAATCACTGCGATGCATCTTGCATGTCCATTACACCTAAAACTGCAAGATGGATTTACCATTTTTAAATCAAAGATACTTGTGTCCAGCGACACATATATACTTAAACAGAAATTTTCACGATTTGGAATGATATAATACATGTAAATACATCATGATAAATATGACAATTTCTCTAAAATCAGGAGCGGTGGGGTAGCCTAATGGTTAAAGCGTTGGCTCGTCACGCCTAAGACCCGGGTTCGAATCCCCACATGGGTACAATGTGTGAAGCCCATTTCTCGTTTCCCCGCCGTGATGTTGCTGGAATATTGCTAAAAGCGGCGTAAAACCAAAACTCAGTCAGTCAGTCTCTAAAATCAAGTGATCCCTATGGGATGTCTCAAACATTTTATCATGATTTGTTGCATTTAATCAATGCAATTTGAGGCGAGATTAAAAAGACACACTATTTGTCTGCCTACCACAAAAGTAACAGACAGACAGACAGATTTATTTGTATAAGTGTAAAATAATATGTGTAAACTAATAACAGTGCATTTATGCGCAACCTGTAAATACGCGAGTTATAGGAACATCAATAAATCCATAAACACCCATTCACAATTTACATTTTCTCTCTCAACATAAGTATGTGGTACAACACAAGGGCTACCTTAAACAACAAGTCAATATTTTCTGTGGGAAGTAGCATACAGAATTTATCGTGCCGCTTGGACTTTGAAGTTGTGAGCGTTACATCTAAATTTAGTAAGCGTACGCTTAAGTTGTGGTGCAAAAAGTAACTGATACATAAATTCCAAAAAAGGTGAGGTGAGGTGAAATTGGGTTTTACGTCGTGCTTGAGGATATTTCGCTCATATGACGACGTGCATGCGTGTGTGTGTGTGTATGTGCGGCTGCTTGTACTAGCCCAGACTGAAGCTGGTTTTATAGTGCTAGACCACTGAGATACCATGCCGCAGTGAAGCATGATGACCCCACTCAGACACATTATACTGACTCCGAGCTGACCAGTCCTTGTTGTACCCATTAATGCCGAGCGCCAGGCAGGGACCAACAAGTACCATATTTTAACGTCTTTTGGTATGACGCGGTCGGTGATCGAACCCGCGACCTTCCGCTCTCCGGGCGGTAGCTCTGACCACTACACCACGGAGGCGGTCTCCAAAAAGGAAAATAATTTGCTATTAATTCCCCACTAAAAAGACAAGCCTGAACAAACTGGTCTCTCAACAAAAACAATGAAAAGAAAAAGAATACAAAACACTGATGTATGCAGAATTTCAAGTGGAACCTTTGTTACACTGCCAAATATCATTAAACATTGATTAACCACTTCTTGAGATATCGCCCAAACCAGTTCTTTGAACGGACAGACGGTATTTTTTATCCCCAACTTAACGCTGAATGCCAGTTGTGGGATAACAAAAGGCAAAAAGGTAAAACCTTGAACGGGACATGATGAATAATACAACCAATCTGACCATTTATATAAAAAATATCTATGAAGAATACAATGATTTCTTTTGATACTGTCGAATATAGAATATGATGTAAAGTATCTCTACATCATACAATTATCGGCTTTACCTTGATGTTTAATGACCCTACAGATCAGATTTCAGTTAAATTAGAAATGAGGTTAATTTTGACAGAAATATTGCAATATCTTATTTTGAAAGACAATAAAGTGAAGTTACTAAAAAAGTTTCAGTCACCAAGACATAAAAACAACAAAAAAGCTTGATTTTACATATTCCGTTAATCTTTTACAAATTGCGTTAAAAATTGGTTTTACATTTTGCGTTAGGTGTTTACGTATTGCGTTAAAGATATTTTTTACATTTGGCGTTAATTTTTTACCTATTGCGTTAGTTTTTACGTTTTGCGTTAAGCTTTTACATATTGCGTTAGTTTTTACATATTGTGTTAATTTTACATATTGGGGTTGTACACGCCTGACCTGTATCACACAGGGTTATCTTAGTGAGTGCGTTTAGTTTTACGCCGCACAAGTTGACTTCCGTTTTTACACCCGGAATCTGGAATTTGAATCAACAATCAGATCATATTGGCACTAAGGGTAGCAACTCTTCTTAGACCGCTGAGCTTCTCTCGTTATTCGTTCTGTTGGAAGAGTGGGTGAGTTTAGTTTTACGCTGCACTCAGCGATAGTCCAGCTATATAGCTGCGGTCTGTAAATAATCGAGTCTGGACCACTCAATCCAGTCATCAACACCATGAGCATCGATCTGCGCAATTGGGATGCGATGTGGCAACCAAGTCAGCGAGTCTGGTCCTGTTAGTCGCCTCTTACGACAAGCATGGGTTACTGCAGACCAGTTCTAACCCGGATCTTCACAGGTCGGTTTCATCACTGTTATGCTGGGGGTATAGCGCTGTCGTTTATGTTTCTTACCTTCCGGTTGAGGTAGTTTCGATTCCAACAACAAGTGAATTGTTGAAAACATATTTATCCGTATCCGACCTTCTAGTACTAATCTTTTTGCAAATTATAAGTACCACGGATTGTGATTCTAAGTTTTTTATTTCAACAAGTGAATAAAATATATCAATGGAATAAACAAAGAAAGCGTGTTTCAGCACATTTATTATATAACAATTACCTGTAATAGATAACGGGCTGAGTATTGGTTATATGAAAACGTTTTATGTACATTTTTTAACGGTTTGTCAAGAGATTCCTTTAAAGACTGACCAGGGATCTGTACATCTTGGACGGAATATGATAAGATGTGTTTATACAGACAATATCTTGTTACAATTATAACGTCTATATTTCAGAGTAAGAAAACGTTTGAGCACCGTTGAACCGAATCCAGATTTCTCATAAAGCAAATGATTTGATGAGAGAGAGAGGGGTAAGGAGGAGGAGGTCGAATTCAGGAGAGAAACAGAGTGAAGGAGAGAATTAGAGAGGGGAGAGGAGGAGGAGGTCGAATTCAGGAGAGAGAAACAGAGTGAAGGAGGGGAGAGAGGGAGGGGAGGAGGTCGGAGGTCGAATTCAGGAGAGAGAGAAACAGAGTGAAGGAAAGAATTAGAGAGAGGGAGGGAGAGAGAGGGAATGAGAGAAGAGTTGAGGGAGTAAGAGAGAGAGACTGGGTTAAGTAAGGTAGTCTGGAGTTCGTTGTCAACATAACATTACAAGACAGTGCTGTCACAGACTGGCACGATGCATCAGGGTTCGTCAAGACCATCTCCATTTATCTTTGTCTGCATGAGGGACAACATTCCACATTAACAATACATACGTATATCACAGTCTACATGCTATCACAATTCCCGTAGGGTATACAGGTCGTCCTACAGTTCTCAACGTGCATCACAAGACACAGAAATGTCATGATTGTTGCAACAAAATCGTAATTTTTAATATTAAAAACACTTTTAAAAAAAAGGTCAATGGAAAAACTGTGTATAAAAAACACTTTAGAGAAAGTTTTAGACATCAATATGCGATTGGCCACTGGAATATAATACCAAAGATTGTTTACATAACCATGAAACAATATATTCTGTCAATTTTAATTATATTTTCAGCGTTTCTGTACGTAGCATATCCATTTAAAGCTCATGTTTGAATTTCAGAGTAAATTCGTATTTTCGATTATGACATGCCTACCAGAGAATATACTGATAGTAATAACGTGTCTAGCAGGATCAGAGTGTTAGTATTAAGATCACAATGTCTATTTCGGCTAAGTATGATTGTTCTCTACAAATAACCGCGAACATAGAAAGACTTGTTGTCTACGACACACAACTAGGTGGTGTGTTACAACCAGGGTCGAACTTCTGGATCGTAGATTTTAAGAGGCTCAGGGGTAAGATGTAGGGCTCATTGTTTCCAGAAAATGAAGCTGGTGAGACTAAGCATGCCTTTTCTTGCATGCGATGCATTGTTTAGACGGACGATTTCAGGATACAAAATCTATGAAATATTCAATGTTATTGCTTTTGATAACAATATATGGACCATGTTTTGTATTGAGCCTCTTGATAAGTGCATGAGAACTAAGTAAACCCGAGAAGTCCTTTGAGTCTCTTCCACATGAAGTCTACGATCTCGTGTTCGTTGGACTGTAGGGCAACATTCGCCTTGACTTGAGTAAAAGCGTCCCCGATGATGGTGAGGAAGATGCTCATGAGGCCGATGTAGATGACGCCGATGAAGCTGAAGAAGAAGAGAGGTCCGAGGATTTTCTGAGCATCTGCCATCGCTTCGAAGTCAAAGCTGCCGAGTGCGAACGCGAACATTGACTCGGCGGCCCCGACGATGCTGTTGTATGTGACCATGGCTTGACCGAACAGCAGGTAAGCCGTTGCGGTGAAGGCGAAGAAGTAGAGGAGGAAGGCGACGGAGAACACCTTCAGATCCTTGGTGGCCAGTTTTACCGTGTCTCCTAGCATGTTCATGCGTTGGTTGAACTGCAGGAGCTTCATGAACTGGATGGTGGCCATGAACACCACGACGGCCATAACGTAGCCGTACGTCTCATCGTACAACGACACCGACTGGAAGTTCACGAAGCCGTCTGGAAAAAGATATATTATCAAATGTTTGTGAGAGGTGACTTTAACTATCAGTAATGACTAAGATGGCACCGGGGCACAGTAGCAGTAATGTTATTGATATTATTAGCCATATTGGGATTCGAACCAGTGACTTCTGAGCGACAACCACACGAATGTTTGCCTATCAGTATCAATTAAGATCGTATCAGAGCACAGTAGCAATAATGTTCTGCAATATTATTAGCCATGTTTGGATTCGAACCAGGGACTTGTGAGCGACAAGCGCATCAACGTTTTGGGGTCATTTGGGAAATTCCGAAAGTAATGTATGGGCCAAACTACCACTACTCTAACATGTTTTGTGTGATAAAGTACCAAAGTTCGAAGTGGATAGTGTTCTTCAACAAATTAAATTTATGAAGAGTAAGGTCAATAATATTGCTGCATCATTTGAAAACTGTACTAATCAGACTCTAATTCATTTCTGATATGTGACCCAATTCGCTGAACGCCTACCTGGAAGTAGAGAAATGACCTTACCCGACTCTCTGTCATGTAGCGAGTGCATTGCGATCTCTGTTAGGATGTGCTTGAAGGCATACATGACGATGCAAGCAACTGCAAAGCACAGCAGGACGAACTCCAGGATCATCCAGAAGTTCTTGAAGTACTTGAGTCTCTGCTTCTTTACTTGAGTGACACAGCGGATGAAGAAATAGAGTGTGAAGCAGCCGTAGATTATCTCAAATAGGAGCACCACCAGTCCCCAGCCACCCACATAACTCAACAAGCGGAATATCTGGAGAAGAAGAAGAGCAGTTGGTATTTGGCAACAGAAAGCTTTAACAACTGACACAGACATAGCTCAACAAGCAGAATATGTGGAGAAGAAGAAAAGTTGGTTTTGGCAATAGAAAGCTTTAACAACTGTCACAGACATAGCCCAACAAGCAGAATATCTGTTGGTCATTGGCAACAGAACGCTTTGCCACCTGCCATCGACATAGTCCAACAAGCAGAATGTCTGGAGAAGAGGAAAAGTTGGTATTTGACAATACAGAGCTTTACCAACTGCCATCGACATAGCTCAACAAGCGGAATATCTGGAGAAGAGGAAGAAGGGATCTGGTCAATGGCAATTAGGGAGCTTTACCAACTGCCACCAACACATCTCACATCTGGAGAAGAAGAAGAAAATTTGGTATTTGGCAGTAAAGAAATTCACTAACTGCCACCCACCATAGCTCAACAAGAGGAATATCTCGAGAAGAAGAAAAGAAGTTTATATATGGCAATAGAGAGCTTCACCAACACAGCGCAGTACATGAAATACCGTGGTACGAAGAATGACGTCATTGCTAACAAGTTCACAACCATGAGCCACCAACCACCTCAACAGGTGGGATACCTGGGAAATACATCAGAGGTTATCTGTACCAAATAACACCTCCACACACCCATTGCACTGCTACCTAGTGCAAGGGCGGGATGCGCACCACCACCACCCCCAAACCCCGCCCGAATAATTCCCTGAGGAGCATTTCCCCAAACCTTTGGACTTCATGATTTATGTGCACCACCCTTCTCCAAAATCCTGGTTCCGCCCCTGACCTACTGTAACCATGACAACAGTTATGTACCCACCTTGACTTCAACTCTCGCCACAGCTGAACCAGTCGCCATGTACTCGATCACAAACACAGCGGAAGCGAACAGGTTAACATTTGGATTGTAAAACGTGAACTCCATGAACACGGCACGTGTCCTCAGATCAAGCCAATCGTTGTCCTGGAGGTTCGCAATGATCTGCTTCGTCCTGCAAGCCTGACGCGCCAACAGGGACACGTAGCCGCCTCCCTTGTACGTGGCGATGGTGGCCACGTATGGAGCATTGGCCAGTTTGACAGAGCTCTGGTAAACCCACGGTGTCTTCCACTTCTTGCTGTCTGTTTTGTTTTCTTCCGGTATGATCTGCCATTGAGGGAGATACGGCTTGGTGTCATCATCCGTCCAGCCGTATTCGTCTCGACAGTGGTTAATAAGGGTCTTCATTTTGGGCTGAATTGTACACGTATCTGAGGACGAAAACCGATGTAAGCTTAGTGTTCTCTTGTACGTGATTTCACCATAAATGGTTATGAAGTCTTCTCCTTGATGACTATTAAAGGCACTATATCACTTCGCACTTCTCTTAAAATATATAATGCACTTCTATCAAAAATACTAACAGCCCTCAGGAAAGCTACCATATAATATATTATAAGAAAGTACGTATTTAGATTACAATATTAAATTAAAAAGTTCGAATGAATTAATGCTCGTTGCATTAAATCGACTCTCGCGCCCTTTACCGGCCGACCATTGTTTCAAGCGAACCCCATAGAGTTATGTCCCTTGGAGTGCTCTTTACGAATATCCTACGCACAACTTGTGATTAAAACCAGTTTGGCAAACACCGACAACACCGCGTGCGACAGTTTTCGATGTACGGAGCAAATGTTTACATTCTATATATGGCAAGTGTTCTCTGTTTGGAAGCTGTTCGCCTCGAATTTTCAATTTTCGATTTCAGGCAAGTCGTAAGGGATAATATGTCTTTTATTACATCAGTAGGAAGCTAAGGTGAGTGCATATGCCCCAGTATATAAAATAAGTTCTTAACAAAATAAAATTACTTTTCTTCTATGATGAATTCGAGGTGTAGCCTCATGGTCAAAGAGTTCGCTCTATCACGCCGAATGCCTGAGTTCGATTCCCAACATGGGTACATGGGAAGTCCATACTGGTGTTCCCCACCGTGACATTGCTGGAATATTGCTAACAATGGTGTACAACCAAACTCACTCACTCATTCTTCTATGATGACCTATTTTGTTCCTTTTCACGCATGAAATTTGTTAACCACTTTTTTACAAGGTAATTCAAGAAAATGCCTTTCAATAAGCTACTGTAGTAGTGACATGTAGGCAAGAATTAATATGTCTCAAAACACAGGTATGAAGTCTATTTGAGTAAGTGAGTGAGTGAGTGAGTAAGGCTTAACACCGCTTTTAGCAATATTCCAGACCTAACTGGAAGCAAAGTAATGAAAGTCAAATCTCAAAATAAATATTGACTTCAAAACTGAAATATCGCTCTCCCGGTGAAAGTATGGTATGGTATGGTATGGTACAGTATGGCATGGTATTTGTGTTTTTCAATAGGCGGACCTATACCGTTAAAGGTCTGTTTGCGCCCAACACATCAAATGACTTTGAACAAGAACATTGGTATGCAATGATGCGCCTAGCAGTTGTCTCCCCTTACCTTCCTTGACCCTCATCTGTCTAAGCCTGGCCACGCCTACTCGGCGTGTCTGATGGTCATTTATACACGCCCTGTCCTGCCAGTCGGTGATCTCGGTGTTGTTGGAGTAGTGGGTGGCGTACATGGCAGGGATGAAGGTTGTGTTGAGCCAGTTCCAGTAGTCGGGGATGGTAGAGATCTGAAACACGGGGACATTATCTGCACGTGTTCCTACACCGGGTTGTTACTGACCTTGCAGTCTTTCCCGACATCAGTGGATAATGGTACAGTGATCACTTTGTGACTGTGTCGAACTAAGGATAACTCGAAATATTTACGTAGGTCTCTTCAAATTCGACACAACGGTGTTAAACTGTATTTCGTTCACTAAAGAGGATGTAACGAATATTACAGACGCAATAAAAATGACTAGCTGTTGACTGGCCTGCAGCACTTATAGATATGAGAAACATCTTTTGGTGATCTAGTTTATTTTTGTTTTATTTTAGCCATTTACACTATTTTGACTGAATAATGTTTAACGGGGAAATACATGATGCTGCGAAAATAGGGGCAGACTATTTCTAGTATATAAATTTATGTAATGATTGACACATACCTGACGCTGGGATTTGTTTGCGAAAATGGGCGCAGATAATGGAATATAAAGTGTATTTGTACCTTTTCAAACTTGCCGACAAATCTGTTCTTGATGTTTTGACCGAAGCCGAAGCTGTCCGAGTCCCTCTGTTGGTAGGAGAGGAAGAAGATGACGAGGACGAAGAAGGTGTAGATGATGATCTCCTTAAGGACGGCTTCCATCTTGATCTCCTTCAGTCTCAGATCTCTGACCTCATCCAGGTCCTTGGTGTCGGGAGGGGCGTACTCGCTGTTGGCCATTTTCCGTTGAAGGAGGATGGCTGTAGAAAGAATTTCAGCTTTAGAAATAAATATACAGGAATATTGTTAAACCGGAGGTTTTGGAACCATTCATTACAAGTCGAGGTCCTTTCGTTATTGACAACCATAATGCCGTTGTTCTGCCAGGAATTTACATCGTCACCGAAGATAAAATGGGTTTGACTTCTCCCCTCTTTGAAAGGTGCTTTAGGAACATCACAGACTGGCAGTTTGATATGGGATAAGCAGGAAGTGTGTGAGTGAGTGAGTTTAGTTACGCCGATTGTAACAATATTCCGGCAATATCTCGACGGGGAACACACGAAATGGACTTCACACATTGTACCCACGTGGGGAATTGAACCCGGGTCATCGGCGTGACGAGCGAACGCTTTAACCACTAGGCTACCCCACCGCCCCAGCAGGAAGTGATGCAGATGTAAGACGTTGAACATTTTTGTGAAATCCAGGAACACGGGTGTGGTGCAGCCGAAACTAGAAAAATAATCAATTTAGCTGTGCGATCGGAACCCACAATGAACTGATACGCCTAAGACATCTTCTATAACAATATTTAAACCCTTTTGAAGGAGCCTTTAAGGCTTGGTGAAATTTGCTATTGCCATGATAGGCCATCTACAGGAGAAACAGAGGGGGCGGTGCGGTAGGGGCCGATGACCAACGCTCGATACAATCGATGGGTACAATGTGTGAAGCCAATTTCTGGTTTCCCCAGCCGTGATATTGTTGGAATATTGCTAAAAGCGGCCTAAAACTAAACTCACTCAGTCAGGCACTCACTAAGGAAATATAGAAATATAGAATTCATAATGTACATGTGTGGAATATAACATGGAAGACTAACCAGACACAGTGGCAGGATCCTGTTTCTTGGACAAGAGTTCCTCGTCTGGGGCCAACACGTTGTCGATGTTCTCGTTCAGGTCCTCCTCGTCCAATTCCGGCTTCTTGAGGATACACGCGATGAATGCGACGATGAGAAGCACCTGGGGAAGCAACAGAGGTCATGAACATCTAGTACTGGATTACCCGTGAAGATCTTGGTTAGATATTCAGCATCCCATGCTTGTCGTAACAAGCGTGTAACGGGATCGGCTGGTCAGGCTGGCTGACTTGGTTGACACATGTCATCGGATCCCAATTGTGTAGATCGATGTTTATGCTGTTGATCACTGGATTGTCTTGTCCAGACTTATTTACAGACCGCAGCCATATAGCTGGAATATTGCTGAGTGCGGCGTTAAACAACAGACAAACAAACTGGAATACAGTATATGGCACTGAACATACACTCTATGAGCGTTGTCGCCCATGTAGGTTTTGTCAAGTTAAAAGTTTGATATCAGTTGTATGTTATGCTCTCAGGTTCTTGAACCGTATATACATCTCTTACACGTCATTACACCTGAGAGAGATAAAGACCAATTATTTCCAAAATTTGAAGAAACGCAAACCAAACTCTGCCGTTCTTTTCAAAATATCCAATGTTTAGCCTGGATGTCAGAGTATATTGTTCATCACAGACTGTCAGCCACAGCACCTGTAACCGAAAGACCTGCGACCACTGATCTTACCTTTATTGGCTGCACGACAATTACTGACTGGAAGAAGGAGAGGACGAAGGCGATGAGCCACTCGTTGGATTTCTCCTTACCCCACTCCATACTGTACAGGATGGTAAAGAACGCCGACCCCACGACGCTCAGAAAACAAACTGGAAAAGAGAAACCAACAAATCTCTAATGCTTTGGATACAGTGCAAGGAGTCGAACTCAATACCAAATTGGGTATATATCTTGATGAAAAAATACGCCAAAAAATATACCCAATGCAAATAGATATATATCTATTGGATCTATTCTATGGTGGTAAATAAGTAATTTGTTAATTATACAAAGAAAGCCCACAATTTCGTTAACGTTTACGAACTGTGTCACTTTAGATTTTCGTTCTACATCAAACTGACATGTTGTGATACCTTTTCCATTTTGTTTGTTGTTTAACGCTGCCAGTCTAGACTAGACGATCCAGTGATTGACATTGTGAGCACCGATCTACGCAATAGGGATACGATGGCATGTGTCAGCGAGTCTGACCTCCCGATCCCGTTAGTCGCCTCTTACGACAAACAAGGGTAACTGAAGACCAATTCTAACCAGAACCTTCACGGGTCTGTTATATACACTTAAAATGTTCAAAGAAAATTAAATCCATTTCTGAAATGGACATAGGAACATGGTCTACTCACCAACCCATGCGATATAGGTACACCAGTGAGGAAGGCTCCACGGCTTCTTCTTCCTCTTTGTCTTCTTCTCCAACCTGATTTGTTCATGTCCAACACCATCCTCATCCATATCATACTTGTTCTTTTGATGAAAACTGAGGATGCCAGACATGCTTTCTTTGAACTTCTGCATCTTGGTTTTCTGGGTCTTCGATCCAAACATCCCGGCAGAACTGTGAATGTTCTTCCAACGATACTTCTGGCCTCGTTTTGGATCTTGTTGGTTCTTCTGCATGATCGCGTTCTTCTTGGGTCTGCATCGTCTGAAGAATGTCACCATGATGAAGCTGGCGGGGAACACGATGAAGGTGCTGATGATGCTGACGAAGATGGATTGCAGCGTTATTGAAATGGGTCCGATTTGGATGGCGGTGACGTTTTCCTGCTTCCCTTCCGTCTTGAAGAACATGCAGTTTGAAATCATGGTGAGGAAGAGTAGAGACACGCAGCAGGAGATTCTCTGTACTCGGGTAAAGTTACTTCTCGTTGGGCGGGAAAACACCGACACCCACAGATGCTCATTTGTAAGCTTCTTCCGGGCAGACGACGAGAAGAGGTGCTTGAAGGCAATCAGATCGTTGAGACCAGCCACGGGCAGGATTCTGTCAACCATACCGTCGTCTTCTTCCACGGCCAGCCATCGATCACACAGGAAAAAGGATCTGTAAATAGATTAGATTTTGCCTACGAACTACCAGTATATATTAACGGCTCGACGGTTTAACATAAACACGGATGATTTTGTCGTTTGAGTTTTAATTATGTCTTTGAACATAAGTGGATCTGATGACAACTGAAACCTGTTAATTCTTTCTGTATATAGTTGTGGTTTATTTCGATGTAATTAGTGAACGAGTATAGTTTTACGCCGCTTTGAGCAATATTCCAGCATATCACGGCGGGGGACACCAGAAATGGGCTTCACACATTGTACCCATGTGGGGAATCTAACCCGGATGTTCGGCGTGACGAGCGAATGCTTTTACCACTAGGCTAACCCACCGCCCCTGATGTAACTAGGAAGTATATGTAGGATATGAAGTATAAAAAGATATATTCAGAAGAAATACTAGAATATGCCTGAGTAATAGGCACAATGTCCTCGGATGTTTGAAAACAAACTCCGTAACTTGACAGAAATATTATACCAAATAATCTGCGTTTATAAATTGGGTACTGACTTTTCCCCAGTCTGCAGGTCCGTGATTTGCACCTGGTCCAGGTACCAGCTCTGCTGCTTGCCCTTCCCCGCCGTTGTCATGCCAGATCCTCATGAATGTCAAGGACCCAAGGGTGCTCTCCACACTCAACACAAAGTTCATGATAGATCCACGGCCCAAGTGCTGAAATTGTGGTACATCAATCACCATCACATCGTCTTTGTCATATATTTCAGAGTCTTACTTCATCAGATCGTAATTCCTCAGACACAAGAAAACTCAACATAATAACACATATTGTTTCTAAATTAGGAATTGACCCGTGAAGGTCCGAGTTAGAATCGATCGTCAGTAACCCGTGCTTGTCGTAAGAGGCGACTAACGGGATCGGGTGGTCAGGCTGACAGGTGTCATCGTATCCCAAGTGGTAGAACGATGCTCATGTTGTTGGAATATTGCTGAGTGCGGCGTAAAACTAAACTCACTCACTTTGGATTACTTTCTTACGATGTTGTATGTATTTGTATCCTTTCATTTCAATGGTAGGTTAACAACAAAGGATTTTATTATGTTTAACGCCATTCATTAATGAAAACAAATGGATTATAGCATAAGTGGTTAATAATGAATACAGTAAATCCTTTTACCTCGGCACTTTACTGGGGCTAAAGTTTGGACTGGAGGTAAGAGGGGTGCCTCAGGTTTTATCAGAGGCAGAACATCAGTACGTTCAGTGCTACCAGATATATTGCTTCTTGGAGGAGGAACTGATCACAGTATATTTTTTCATGTCGCAACAACTTTTTAATGTTTCTGAACATGAATCAATTTTTTTTCAATTTTTGGGTCGCTCTTAAAAGAGGAGAGGAGTCACTTTCAGATGCACAAACATAGCACACTGAGGAGAATATCTAATACCAATATTTCTGTATATGATTGGTTGGTTGCTGTTTTACGCCGCACTCAGCAGTATTCCAGCTAGATGGCGTAAGTCTGTGAATAATTCAGCCTGGCCCATGCAATCCAGTGAGCAACACATAGAGCATCGATCTTCGCAAGTGGGATACGATGTCATGTTTCAGTCATGTCATCGTGTCTGACCACCTGGGGCGGTATGTAAATTAACCGAGACTGGACCAGACAATCCACTGATCAACAGCATGTGCATAGTTCTACGTAGTTGGGATATGATGAATGTGTCAACCTAATCAGCGAGCCTGATCACCCGATCCCGTCAGTCGCCTCTTACGACAAGCATGCTTACTGAAGACAAATTCTAACCCGGATCTTCACGAGTGTTCTATATGTGAATGAATCCTCACATTCCGCTTGCCGTCGTCCAGTCGTCTGACGCCGGTGTCACTGTCGTCGCCCGAGAGGATGATACTGATCTTGGAGTCGGTGCCAGCGTTCTTCCTCATGCCGGTCTGTACCGAAATTTGGTAATGATAGTTGTCGGTTGGGAGGTTGTCTACCAATGGCGTCGCTCCCCACTGAAAGCAATCATATACATTATGATATCTGAGAATGTCTTTTTCCGTTGACATTGTTGGAGTGAGTGAGTGAGTGAGTTGAGTTCGAACAGAATTTCAGTTAAATCGCGGCAGCTAATTGTGAAATGAAAGTAACGACAGTCCTGCACGTCACCGCTTTGTTACAAGTAAGGTTATGATCAAAGCAAATATATTTGTATTTATATAGCGCTATAGTCCATCACACCTACATGCATGCTCAAAGCATGTTAGAATTTTCCCTCGTTGTCAATCTCAACGGCACATCGTATTTTCAATCTCAGCTCCCCCGAGGATCATACAACTCGCGCAGCCATTAGGCGCACCAAGTTAATGTGGCTTTCCCATCCTTACAAGGTACCCATCCACAGCTGGGTGGACTGGGACACATAGGCACAGCACTTTGTCCAAGTTTACTGCAACTAGGTGTCTGTATGTATTCATGTGGCCACCATCTGGACATTTACCAGCGAATTCGTGGGTTCTTTTAAGTGCACAGTGTTGTGTACTGTACACTAGGGTTGTGACAACACTGAAAGAGTCTGCACACAAAGGTGACTTCCGTTTTTACACCCGGAATCTGGAATTTGAATCAACAATCAGATCATATTGGCACTAAGGGAAGCAACTCTTCTTAGACCGCAGAGCTACTCTCGGTATTCGTTCTGTTGGAAGAGTGAGTGAGTTTAGTTTTACGCTGCACTCAGCAATAGTCCAGCTATATGGCTGCGGTCTGTAAATAATCGGGTCTGGACCAGACAATCCAGTGATGAAGAGCATGAGCATCGATCTACGCAATTGGGATGCGATGACATGTGTCAACCAAGTCAGCGAACCTGACCACCCGATCCCGTTAATTGTCCCTAACAAGCCTCGACAAGCCAATTCATGGGTCGCTGGAAAAGGGCTGAAGAGACGCTGAATAGTTCTAGTTGTAAATGATCGACATGGTTACGCGTGTATTTTTTCTGAGCCATTACCTTCATATCACCCGCGATAACAAATAAACAATAAATATGTAAGACCTTTGGATGTTTCATTTAACATACACAGTCATGAAGATTAACACAAACAAATGGACCTAATCCACCCGGCTAATTTTAAAGTAGAAAAATATGTTATTGTTGATTTATGGTTTTAAGTTGTATGGAGTGAGTGAATGTATTTGGTTTAATTCCCGATTTGAATGTTATTTTTTGTATATGAAGAGTTGCGTCCCTTGGACATGTCATAAACCCAGTACAGTAAATTCAAATCCCTGATTGGCTGCGATTACCTATACGGGTTTCACCAAGGAGGTTCATGCCCTCCATTACTATTGCTTAAGATTGCTTAAAACCATACTTACTCATCTAAACGGGCTTTTCTCACACCTCAAGCGGACGGGCAACTTTCAAAGATGAAACCACAAACACACACACACGCACGCACACACACGCACAAACAGTCACACTCACAAAATATATATATTGCTTAGTACCTTCATGATGTCTTTCTTGTCCATGTATCGGGCCCAGATGAGGCCAATGACGTAGATGCCCAGGATGGTGATGACGGTGGAGAAGACGGCAGCGTTCTCGTTGAGATTAGCAAACTTGGCCCATACGTTGGTGAAGTCGATGGTGTTGGGAGCAACAACGAAGTCGGAGCCGAAAGACGTCAAATGTGTGCAGAGACATTGGGTACGGTACTTGGTCGTGAGTGGACCCACCTAAGGGAGCATAAACAGAAAACATGTACATGGAAATATACGTTTTTATAGACATAACTCAAATACATTAAAAAAATCATGAAAAGATATTTTAAATACTCGAAGATATGTTAAAAGCATATTGTCAAAAAGTCTTCAATTGTACAGTTCGTACTAAAGACATCATATCTTTATCAATTACGTATTTAATGCGTACTAAATACAATATATTAATCAATTACGTATATAATACGTACTGAATGCATCATATATTTATCAATTACGTATTTATACGTACTAAATACATCATATATTATCAATTACGTATTTAATACGTACCTAATACATTATATTGTTATCAATTACGTATTTAATACGTACTGAATACATCATATATCTATCAATTGCGTATTTAATACGTACTGAATACATCATATATTTATCAATTACGTATTTCATACGTACTGAATACATCATATGTCCATCAATTACGTATTTAATAGGTAATAAATACATCATATATTTATCAATTACGTACTTAATACGTACTGAATACATCATATATTTATCAATCACGTATTTGATAAACAAAGGGCTCGATAACAAAGCTGGAACATTTCGAGACAAGCGGTGTGCAGAATCCATGCAATATCGAGTAAAAGGAACAAAACATGGCGAAGTAATCGACATGACATCGTATCCCAATTGCGTAGGATGTTGATGCTGGATTAGGTCTTTCAGTCCTAAGAACGATTAACCAGCATGGTGTGCTGCCGAAGCCATGGAGAAAGGCAATTCCATTGTGATGTCTATAGGTCACGTGATACGTTGCGTCTTCCTGCCTTTTAGTATGACTCGATGACTGCCTTCAGGATAGCCAACATGGTTTAACTTTCTAACATGTGTTATACCAAATACAGAAGTCTATGTAGTCTTTAGGTGTTACTTTGTTGAATGATGTGCGAATCCAGTTATATTTACAAATCGAAGTAACCTGTTGGGCAAACGCGATTATGTACTCGAAAATTGAATTTGATCAATAAATTACACACGTTATAAAATCGTTACCAGGCCACATGGTCCAGATTCAATTAGTTACTGACCGCCGTCCAATTGCTGGAATATTGCTGAGTACGGAGTAAACAACAAACAATCCAGGCCGACCAAAAAATTTGACTGGGATATCCGCATCCAATATGATATATCACCACTGGGAGAATCACTTTGTGTATGAGGTGGTGAGATAGCCTAATGGTTCAAGCATCCCCTCGTCACGCCGAAGACCCGGGTTCGGTTCCCCACATGGGTACAATGTGTGAAGCCCATTGCTGTTGTTCCCCTCCGTGATATTGCTGGAATATTGCTAATAGCGGCGTAAACCGTACTCACTCACCTACTCATTTTGTAGTTTGTTCATTGTTAGCCATTAGACTCTATCGAACATGGCTTTTTACTTTCTTTCGCCCACCAGATTAAATGGAAGAACATGAAAAGAAGGAAGAACGTGAAAAGAAATCATGGTGATGGATGGCGGTTGGCAGTTTTCGGAAACTGACTCTGTAAATCATCGTGAGTGAGTGAGTTTAGTTTTACGCCGCTTTCAGCAATATTCTAGCAATATCAGGGCGGGGGACACCAGAAATGTGCTTCACACATCGTACCCATGTGGGGAATCGAACCAGGCTCTTGGACACGACGATCGAACGCTTTAACCACTAGGCTACCCCACCAATCCCTGTGAGTGAGTGAGTGAGTGAGTTTAGTTTTACGCCGCACTCAGCAATATTCCAGCTATATGGCGGCGATCTGTAAATAATCGAGTCTGGACCACACAATCCAGTGATCAACAGCATGAGCATCGATCTGCGCAATTAGGAAGCGATTATATGTGTCAACCAAGTCAGCGAGCCTGACCACCGATCCCGTTAGTCGCCTCTTACGACAAGCATAGTCGCCTTTTGTAGCAAGCATCGGTTTGAAGCCGGATCTACACACGTCACCAATCCCTGTATAACGTAGATAGCATAAGAGTGTTACCGTGCAGCCCTCTGAAGACCACGCCTCTCCTTCAGTGTCCCAATACCGACACCCAGACACCAGGTTCATCAAGCTGTAGGTGTTATTGGTGGTGTCCTCCGAGATAGACACCGTGCCACCTGGGAGGAACAAGTGTCGAACAAAAAATCATGTGTTATATTGTGAAGTGAGTGAGTCCTTTTGAAGCCGATTATATTTGTATGGTGTTATATAGTGTTGGGAATTGGTTAAAATCTCATAACTGATGATTAATTCATTACAACCGACCAATCATCGAAAAATAATTGGTTAGCTTCATTTATCAAACTTTCCTGTTATTTTTGTTAATGCCCACAAATATAAAGAAAAACATGTAGTTCTATAAGCTTTTTTTGCAAATTGCATAAAATGCATTTGCACACCTTTAAATGATGACTAGTGTGTTAGGAACATTATCTTTAAGATACATTCTATCATGACTCGGAACGAGCTTGTAGCGCTTATGAAATGTAAATTTAATGACAGACAAAACCACCCTTGTGAAAAATATTGTTAATGCAAATTAGTGTTCCCAAGTTCGATTATGTGTGAGTGAGTTTAGTTTTACGCCGCACTCAGCAATATCCCAGCTATATGGCGGCGGTCTGTAAATAATTGAGTCTGGACCACACAATCCAGTGACCAACATTATGAGCATCGATCCACGCAACTGGGATACGATGACATGTGTCAACCAACAGTTAGCCTGACCACCCGATCCCGGTAGTCGCCTCTTACGACAAGCATGGGTTACTGAAGATCAGTTCTAACCCTGATCTTCACGGGTCGACAGTAAAATAAGAATGTCGTTGATAATCAGATAAACCATTCAGATTCATGTTGATTTGAAGAATATTTCGGTTTTACCACACCCTGCCAGTATTGTATGACGTGAAATAACAAACTGATGCCGATTGTAGATATTTACCATTTTGGTTTTTCATCGGATCCTAGTACTTCTATGTTATGCAACTCTTCTCATCTGATAATAATAATTATGACCTCTTGGCCATCACATTGCTTTTATTCATTGAAGCTGTACGTAATTTAAATGTTGTATCTTTCTTACGTTTTAGTTTAACACCGATCCAATATGTCCCGTTCATTGACGTCATTGACGTTGGCACAGTGACAGTATACTTCAACTCATCGAGTTCATCTTCCGTGACGTTAACGAACATTGATAAGTCGTCCTTGGGTACATAGTCTTTGAAGTCGTAGTGTGTCACGTTGGGGTGGCTGTCGTACATGACAAAGACGTCGTAAGCTTCGTTTGCTTTTCCAGGACGTAAGACCACCTGGATAGAACTGTTCTTGTCTGTGAGGTTGAGGGGGTGGTAGTTGATTGATGGAATGTCGCTGTTCCATTTAGTGATCAAGACGAATAGGCTCGAGGAGTAGGCCTTCTCGTCACCTGTTGGGTTTTAGAAGAGAAGACATAACATAGGGCGATTCTAAAGATATCACAGCGGGTGAACATGGTTTTAACCCGCTTTCAGCAATATCACAGTGGGGGACACCAGAAATGGGATTCACACCTTATACCCAATCGAACCGGGGACGAGCCAAGGCTTTAACCACTAGGATACCTCGCCGCCCTTAGTGTGAGCCAATTATCAATGTGGTTACATAATGAGTGAGTGAGTGAGTGAGTATGGTTTTACGCCGCTTTTAGCAACATTCCAGCAATATCACGGCGGGGGACCCCAGAAATGGGCTTCACACATTGTGCCCATGTGGGGATTCGAACCAGGGTTTTCGGCGTGACGAGCGAACGCTTTAACCACTAGGCTACCCCACCGCCCCTGTTACATAATGAATTCGTGTCGAGTTATTAGACACTACATTTAGTTCTCTGAATATCATGTACTCGACATCAATGGTTATATGTTTACATGCAGTAAAAGGGGCGGTGAGATAGCCTAGTGGCTAAAGTGTTCGCTCGTCACGCCGATGATCCGGATTCGATTCACCACATGGGTACAATGTGTGAAGCCCATTTCTGGTGTCCCCCGCCGTGATATTGCTAAAAGCGGCGTAAAACTAAACTCACCCACGCAGTCAAGTTCAATGTCACATCATATGTAAAAACTCAAACACCTCGTCAGTCCGCTTTTAGCTTTTAGCAATATTAAAGCAATATAACATCGGAGAACACCAGAAATGGGCTTCACACATTGTACCCATGTGGGGAATCGAAACGGGTCTTCGGTGTGACGAGCGAACGCTTTAACCACTAGGCTACCCCGCTGTCCCAAATACAAAGGGATTCTCCAGTGGTGATATTGTTTGGGTTTTTTTATTTGTTAGTTTTGTGTGTTTATTTTATTTGTTCAGCGTGACGATTTTACGCTTTTACCATTAGGCTACACCACCATTATGCGTGTCACTTTTAAATGCCATTGAAAGACATGTCTCTAACATTTTAATTCAACACTTATGAATCCAGCAAACTGAACAAAGATAACCCTCGTTGATTGATAATGGGTTGTGTTTATACTCATGGAACTGACATTACTTTGTTGTGAGAAAGCATAAAGAATACATACGCCAGTGGATTACAATGTAACGGGTTATTAAACTTGCCCAAATAACCAGAAAATGGACGTCCTTAAAACCTACAAATACAACTTTATACAAAAATGAATTATGTGCTCCAGTAGACCAACACAAAATGAAACTTATTTCTAAATTCACTATAGTTATGTGAAAGATTTGGCTATTCCTTAACCTATTTTGAGCCGCATATATCATCACCACTTCCAGACATACATTTGAAAAAAAAATCCATTTCATAACAAAAACTGTTCAGAACATATACAGTTTAAGGCCATAAAATATTTTGATTTCGGGCATTTGCTGGTACAATTTATAACAAATGAGCGTTTTAAAACTTCAAATATTTTTTAAATCGCCAGGTATTATCATAACAACGTATGGTATGGATTTACAACTTCTTCAATATTTACAGCCAACTATTATGTAGAGTATGAACTGGTTGTCATGGTTACAGTGTGTACTCACGGCTCATCCACATCTCGATGGGCTCACAATATGAACTGGTTGTCATAGTTACAGTGTGTGTACTCACGGCTCATCCACATCTCGATGGGCTCACAATATGAACTGGTTGTCATAGTTACAGTGTGTGTACTCACGGCTCATCCACATCTCGATGGGCTCAGCCGTGTTCTTCACCGACAGCTCGCTGCCTCCACAGCTGTAGCCCAGACTTAGCACCCCCTTCCCTACACTGGACTTCTCCTTGGAGAAACTGTACGGGTTGTCGCTGTCTCCAAGGAACTGAAACATTACACCCATACTTGTAACCTGCTCTGTGCACAGGCCATCTATCGATCTTACAATATAAGTTGTTCATTGGTCCCTCGGGGGCATGGGTTGATATACCCCCATTGTTCCTTTATGTTCCCCTCGCCATTCGTGCTCAAGGAACATAACCAAACATAGAGGGTACATCAATCCATGGGTCCCGAGGGACCAGTGAACAACGTATTTATATTACCGAACACCCCAATGTTCATTTTGAATTGTTTGAAGAACGGGTATAGGGTCATAATTAGGAGTACCAGAGTTAGGCAATTAGCCAATTCCGACGATGACAGACAAGAAAAACAATTAAGAGTTATCTCCCTTCCATCGATATGCATTCGCAAAACATCGGTAATTTCCGTACATCATAAGTGACTCAATTATTCGAGATAAAGAATTACTAACACGAATCGAAGTACCGAATGAATTTCAACAGTTCGGCATTCCCAGCGGGTAGCATAGAAAATGTTACTCGCTTGTAAACTGGGTATATTGAAAATAATTGAAGAGCGCTTAGCCAGTCAGAGCGAGTATGGTTTAACGCCGCCTTTAGCAATATTTCAGCAATATCCCGGCGGGGACACCAGAAATGGGCTTCACACATTGTATCCATGTGGGGTAGCCAGTCAGAAAACGACATTTATGTGTGAGGTAAGATAAATGTAGATAAATATATTTTAATGCCTTAAAAACAGGTAAGATGACTCTATTGTATTTGTACGTTGGAGGTTCCAAGTGCTGTTAAAGTACCTATAAAGTTTATTTGCGAATATCCGCTTAAAATTTTCATTTCGATACATAACATAACATATTTTCACTTTGGAGGTTCCAAACGCAATGTTAATGATATAAACTTTATTCCAAACTACCCGCTATAGTTTTCCATTTTGGTACATCGTATACAGTGGAAGCCAAGAGAGCGTATATCAAAGACTTTTCAATTTTCCATACATAGCCTATGAAAACACGGTATATTAATTTGCCACAGCTGAAGAGTGAGGGAGTTAGTGAGTTTAGTTTTACGCCGCACTCAGCAATATTCCAGCTATATGGCGGCGGTCTGTAAATAATCGAGTCTGGACCAGACAATTAAGTGATCAAGAGCATGAGCATCGATCTGCGCAATAGGGAACCGATGACATGTGTCAACCAAGTCAGCGAGCCTGACCACCCGATCCTGTTAGTCGCCTCTTACGACAAGCATGGGTTGCTGAAGATCCATTCTAACCCGGACCTTCACGGGGACAGCTGAAGATTTTGAAAGAGGTATTTTGTACATGTTTGTATTTACGGTTCATTACACTCTGCAGCTGCACGTGTCCACAATGATGCCACTTTCACGTACCATGGTGTTGACCCCCGGGCAGTCGGACGAGACGGGCAGGGCGTCCAAAGGCATGTTGAATGTCCCCACATCCATCGACATCGTCTGGGTCTTCGGTTTGGAATCTTCAGATTAAACCATAAACGTGTACAGAATTCCGACAAGCATTAGAAGTGCATTAATAGAGATTCGTTTCGTATAAGTCGTATGACACACTTGCTCGCGTAATAATCTCTATCTACATCAATTAAAGTTAGACGAGACATCTGACATGAACGTGATTTCTTGAAAATATTACAGAAACACATAAAAAGTTTTATCAACACTACAAGAACACGATTATACGCATCAATCACAAATTCTGACTAATTTATAGTTTTTGGAAATAAAACATGTTGACGATGTCTTGGCAAAACATGGCGACTCCCATTCGTGATAATGACTCCGTCAAAATCGATTGAACAGTTCGAGGAAGTGTTTCGAGAGTGTGTTTTTTGTAATTTGTATTAACATTGATTAAGTGATAGTTATTATTTGGTCACAATGTTTAGAGTTTTGAGTGAGGGTTATGGGTCACATTTCGCATCATATATGTATGTTCAATGGCAATACTATTTTAGCGGTACGCTTTTTTGGTAGCGCTTCAGAGTTGCCTCCATTGAGGCAATCTTTTGTATAACTATCTGTTTTGACCGGTGGTAAAAACGAGGCCGATTGGGAAAGTTCTGAGAGAATAATGACACAGGCACGCTTTGCTAGAATGTTCAAGAATCTGTGTCAGTGTATATAAAGGCTGGTTGTTGTGTTGACTAACACACGGAATTACACGGGACTTTTCATATCACTGGAGTTGTATATCATACATCTTTCTGCCGTCACCTGCCTACCGTTATCTTCCTTCGTCAACATAGTCTGACCTACATCCAAGACAGTGCGAGCCTGACTGCGCTCATTGTAAACTACCTTCAGTTAGAATATCTGCTCTTATTGTAATGCCAAGACTCTGGTGAGTTAATATTTTATATTTGTGACCCATCACTTTAGATTTGTGACCCAAAAGCATTGTACTAAATATCTGTATTGTCATTCATTGTAGCTTGCTCATTTTGCTCAATATATTATTGAATATTTTAGACCTGTCTGTGTTATATTTTGCTGGTTCAAAGGGGACTCTTTTGTCATGGCAATTATTTAACCGTTACAGAAAATTCACTTCCATCGTTAAACATCTCGGAACATTCAGTGTTTTTAATATCAAACCAATTTTATGGAGGTAAGACGTGGGTAATAAATAAAATACACACTCAGATACAATAGGAAGGACACTCGTTTCGTATAATTCGTATGTAATTAGATCTCGTGTAGCATTCTCTGTCTATTATAGTAGTATCATTATTGGTATTGATAGATACAATTATTAATTGCAGTGTTACGTGAGGGACTGTGTCATGTTCAGCAATACCGAAAATAGTAACACTGAGTGGAACGTTATGAATCAGTATCACAAGCAACAAAAGGTTTGTTGTTTTACGCCGCACTCAGCGATATGACACCTATATTGCGGCGGTCTATAAATAACAAACAAAACAAACAAACAAATCTGACAATAAATATTTTGCAAACGTACTTAGATATATTCTAAAGGAGAGAAGCCGGTAGCTTCAACTCACCTGTGGAGTTCTTGGTTCCGTTGTTTTTCTTGACGCTGAGTTTCTGCACCTTGAGTCCGAGTCTGTTGGAGTTGAAGGTCCGTTCTTTGTCGTCACCCTCTGGAGCCTTATTGTTCACGGTGTCTGCCACGGTTGACAGAGCGTTGGAGCCAGACTTAGCCACCACGGCGTCCTTAACAACCAACCAATCAAACGTCGATGCAACAGATGCAAAGAGAACTAAAAGCAAATGTCAGTATTTAACATTGCCCTTTAAGATGTAACGGTATCGCACTGTCGCCATGATCGTTATCCTAAACAATGTTATAATTATATACTTTGACTAGATTCTGTTCGTAGGATTACTTGGGTTTCAAAAATACGTAAGCTCTTAAATGAGTATGGATTTGGTTATGTTTGGCGTTCCCAAGACATCGGAAATGTGTCATTATTTTTATCACTATTCAAGCAGAGGTTAGTTGATTGTTCAAAACAAAATATCATAGCAACATCATGGATTTATCAAGTCTTGTACATTTTAAAAGTATTATATCATCATTGCCGCTTGATAATCACATTTTAAGAATTAATGTAAGCGACTTAAGAAGATATTTATGTTTGTTTAGATTCAATGCATTACCATTACGATGTAATATTAGATGGAAGGAAACTATGAACATAGATGTAATTTGTAAGATGTGTAATAGTAATAGAAATGAAGATGAAGTCCACTTTCTGTTTGAATGTGATAAATATGTAACACTACGAAAAACGTATTTACCTCTTTGGAATAATTTAACAAATGCTTGTAAACTCATAAAGTTAATGACTTCTAATGACATGGTACTTTTATTGAATTGTGCTAAATTTATCAAATCATCTCTTAAATGTGGATCTTCTATATATTGACAACACAAATGTCTGCCTATTGCCATTATGCACAATATCATCTATATTGCTTTTTGTACATGGGCCGATGGCCTACAAACTGAAATAAACTTCCTTGTCGCCATGATTAATTTGCTTGTTGTTTACCGTCGTATTCAGCAATATTCCAGCTATATGACGGAGATCGATCTGTAAATAATCGAGTCTGGACCAGACAATGTATGGTACAATGACACGATAACAGCAGAGTCTTGACTCGCCGAATTTACATGGTCACCTCTGAGCGACCAGCATAGGTTACCGTGAGCCTGTTTTCGTTTGTTTGTTTGATTTATCGATTGATTGGTGTAACACTCACTATTCGTATAGCTAAATTTATATGACGGATGTCTGTAAAGAATAACGTATTGACCAAACAATCCAGTGATCAACAGCATGAGCATCGATCTTCGCAATTGGGATACAATGACATGTGTCAACCAAGTCAGCGAGCCTGAACACCTGATCCCGTTAGTCGCCTCTTACGACAAATATGGGGTTGCTGAAGATTTTCACGGACTGTGGCCTATTTTCACGCTGACTTGGTGCCATTGTTACATAAAAGATTTATCATGGTACAGATTTGTGCCGATCCTATCATCCGTAATGAAACGTAATGCGAACATTTTGTGCAATTTAACCATTTCTTACATTTGGAACAGTTGTCAGGCAAGTTATAGACGCATTATTGGAAATAAAATATGGCTTGTAACGTTTTTACACACTTACAATTGAACATTCAGTTTAATATAACTGATTCAAAGTATTTCTTACTACATTTTCTAATGTGTCCAGGTGACACATTACCGTTAATGTACTTGTTATGACTAAAGTATTCATTAGCTCTATTTGTAGAATATCCCCCTCCGCATAATAATAATAATAATAATAATAGTGCATTTCTATGGCGCTATTTCCCCGGATAACACAAGCTGCCAGTGAGGCGCTAGATGGTTAATAGTCGCATGACTTATCCCACTGGGTACCCATTTTCTGATGGGTAAACATAGGCAATTTTGAACAAACTCACTTGCCTAAGGTCATCATCATCATCATCATCATCATCATCATCGTCAATATCACCAATATCCCTACCCCCAACCACCATCACCAAGTACTCCCTTGGGCGGTCCCCAGCGTCCATAATGAAAAAAGTAACACCAGATGGCAAAATTACCGTGAGTCTCTTCTTCTCGTCACGTATGGCCTTGGCGTCATCGAGGGGGGATGAGGTAGTAGTCGTATATATCGTCAGGATGTTCCAGGTACGTCATTGTGGCGAAGATCCTTTCCTGATCGGTCCATGTCCCGGAGCACTTCATGTCGTCGATCTGTTTGGGGCTGACACAAGGACAAGTGTACTGGACCCTCTCAGTCTTCATGACCTTTCTGAACAGAGAGCAATCGTCGAAGATGTAGTAAAATAACTCATCATAAGTCAGCTTCTCTGGGAGATTGTTGAGCAGGTTCTCAGCGACGTCAATGCTGCTGTCGCCCACCGCAACGTAGTTAATGACGACGCCGCTAGCAGATGTTGTACTGGCTATAGTGGTGGTGGTTGTTGTAGCCATCGTTGTTGTTGTCGGTGGTAGCGTCGTAGTCTCCACCGTCGTTGAGGACAGTGTGGACATTGGGGTCGTCATCTCTCCGGTATATGGCAGTACGGTTGAGACGTCGTTGCTGTTGGCGTTAGATGTGTCCTTCCGTCGCCCCCGTTTAGGTTTGGTGGCGTCCTCATTTGATGGGAATATGTTGTCAAAACCGCCTAGACACTCTAGCAAACAAATCCAGATGGTTTAAAAAAGCACCAATCATATTCAATGTTTCTTGGCATCTTTTAATAAATTATTTCTACAAGCGCGTACGAAAACATTAACTGTTTAAGGAAAAATAATTCTTTCAGGTGTTTGTGTGGTAATGGGATATTTCTAAGAGTATTATACATTGAAAGCAATACTGGATTCAATAATGGCATCCCCAGCCTCTGCGCCAGCGTTGCCATTTTGAGTGAGTGAGTGAATCAACACTTTAAGCACAAGGCTACTCCACCGCCCTTCCATCTTGAAACATGTGAAAACAAATTCATGTCCACTGTAGTGTCTTAAACAAGGAGGAACATACACCTTGATACGTTATATGTGGTAAGTCGATTGAATTGCACACCACTTTCAAGCCTCAAATCTCAGATCAGCGCATTCATTGAAACAAATTAATACACATCTCTCTAGCTTGGTAACTACATTTCCATTTAAGTTACAATCTGAACACAACAACAAACACTATTGGCAACGTGCTCACAGCAACTTCGTACATATACGTGCAGCGAGTGCCTCGCGAAAGCAGCATTTCCACATATTGCAGAACCTGTTGACAATTGTATTCAAGGCTGTCTTTCTCTCACAGGCACATTGTGGTATGTTCCGGTGTCAACAGTTACATTCTTTGCAAACGCTGTTTTTCTTTCATTGTTCAATGATTTCACAATTCCGCTCTTCACAGACTATAGAGAATAATTATCATATACAAATTATCACGAAATGTGTATATGTGTAAATTTCGATTATGAGTTACATGCGGTTTTGGTAGGGTATTTTTCCCCCTTCATTTTTAAGGAAAAAGATAGTATTCAGGGTAGCTGTTCACGAAACGTTCGTAGCCTTACGAACTTCTAAGCCCATTCTTAACACATTGGCTACGATTAAAGTTAAGAATTCTTAGGGCTACGAACGTTTCGAGAATAAGGGCCCAGGCTCAGTGACTAGTTACGCCACCGTCTTCCTCAGCAACCACGGGTGCCGGAGATCTGATTGGACCACATGGTTGAAGTTCCAGTGCTTCAGTTAATTCACAACGTGTCAGTCTAATGTGGGGGTATTTAGGTAAGATTTACCTCTTGGTGAAATAAAGACGCTGTATCAGACCATTATAATATGTCAGAATTAAGGTTTGAAAAGCAGATCTTGCCACAACCAAGGGAGACAACTAACCACGGTAACGCCATTAGCTATGACTGTAAGCGTTGTTTTGTACAATACTTAATATACTTCCCATAGTTTATCACATCTGCGTGTCGCTAAAGCTTCGTTAAACATTTTGATTTGCAAACACAACTGGGTATCCGCTACTTTTAATGAACAGTATATCAGCAGCGTGCGGCAATGTGCATGTTCAAACACACACGTGTAGCTTCACTATGCATCGTCGCTCAACCCAAAACAGGAAGAAAAACCCATCTAGTAAGGTGAAAACATTATTCACGGTACCTCATTCTCCTGTCAATCCCATTGGAGACATAATTCAGACCATACCTACAAAGGGGCATTACTATGTACGCACCAAAGATTAGTTAATACAAGTTCTTTAGGAAAGTACTCTTGGAATTAACATGATTTCATTGGATAATGCTGATGGTTCTAAAATATATTACCTCGAAATTTATTATCTGGTTTAAACTACGAACCTGTATACGTTCATTCACTTCTTTTCAACCCCATATTCTGTAACCCTCCTTATTGTCTGTCGAGAATAGTCAGTTTTAAATGAATAAAGAAGAATGTCCCATACTTTATCTTTGAAACCAAACTGTGACGAAAGTCTCAAGATATGTTTTGACTTAACCTGTTTGGATTCCCTTCCTTTCAGTACCCCCTTCCCTAAGATCAATCTGCCCACCAATGCTACCCATCCTCTCAGGTCTCCCGGTGTCGAGTGAGCGGCGTTACACAGACAAACCGGTGAGTCTGAAAATAGTTACCTCCAGCAAAGTTCTCCGCATCATCTACTGTAGCATCTTCCATGTTAGAGGTACTATTTGCCAGATTCACGAACGCATCAGCGGCGGACGACTAATAGAACAGCATCAGTATCAATAGTTTGATATGTACATACCATTTTAGTACTTACTACTTCGGCTTGTGAGCACTTCACAAATATCAGGATTTCTTGCTAAACAGTGAAAATTATCACATTTAAAAACAAACTATATGAATAAAGATAAAACATATATTACATTACGCAAACGAACAATTGTATTGTATCCAAGGCAACTGACACATAGACTGATGCATATTAATGAATTAATACATGATTTGAAATTCATCTGCATTTGATAATTAAACACAATTTTTTGTGTAACTGTACGCACCTACAAAGCCCGTATAATTGCTAGAGCATTTACTCCGGCACACATGGCAACCTCTGAACTCTTACCCTTGACCCTTCTGATACGATGTCTTTGTTACTGGTCATCGTCTTTATTGCGCCTGCGCACTTGGATGCCTGGTTGGCATTGTCCACCCGTTTGGCAACTGACCCCAGGGTATCCACCACCGCCTCTGTCGACTGAAACACAGACGGTATGTCTACTCTTGATTTCGGTAACAGTTGTCTATTTAATGATAAAAGATTTAAAGGGGTACTTTACTCTTGAGACAAACATGGTCATTTACATACTGGAGACTGAAACGGACGCGACCAGGAATGCACCTGACACATGAACGCCATTCGCATCATATTTCAGTGCTTGTTTCACACGAATCCACAAACAGCAAAATATTTCTGTTGTATATTAAAATTGAGAAAATACAATCAAAATGAAAACATTTAAAGGTATCCGCGAAAGTGATGCATTTCTTTCACAACGGTGTGAATTGGGACATCAGTGTGATGGGGATCGTGGTAAAATATAATACTACATTATTTGATGGTCCAGTTACAGTCTTACCTCTGCCAGTTTTTCCTGTTCTTCCACCGATGAAGCCTGCAAAAATTACAATAGGAATCGTTTAAAAAATAACTCTCACATTTCTTTGTGTGAAGCCCATTTCTGGTGTCCCCCGCCGTGATGTTGCTGGAATATTGCTAAAAGCGGCGTAAAACCAAACTCAATCAGTCAGTCAGTCTTATTATGTCTTTTAGTCAGAGCTTTATCTCTGCCGACAATGTAGTGGCGTCGAATCAATGACGTCATTGAATGGCACCGTGAAGACGAAAAGGTGACTTTGGAGCAGTTTCACAGAACCCTATCTGAAATATTTATGAAAGAGTCGCCTTAACATCTTTTGAGTTGAATATATACTGGCTGTGGAATGAAGTGACACAAGGGATATTCTTCAAAGAGATTTCTGGCACCTATACCACAGGTCAATTGACACTCCCTCACTTCAACGCCACTTAAAGGGGGTACTATAATAATAACAGTCAATTTATATTGCGCATTTATCCACGCACATTGCATGCAAAGCGCTGACATATTACCCCTGGTCAACGAGTACAGAACACTCTCTGTGGAGAATACAACCGGTCACCTGTGAAGAGCTCAAGATTCAAATTCAGACTACCATCGTATCATACCAGGTACCAAATTTACTGTTGGATGGACAGAGGTAATTTGGAACAAACTCACTTGCCTAAGGCGAGACCACATGTGTCACATGTGCTTCGTTGTGGGACAGGACTGAAGTCCTAAAGAAATCTCACGAATAGAGCTGCCAAACAAGGCCACCCATCCAAGGACTATCCGCGAGCAACGATGCTTAACTTCAACCACACACCACCACTACTATGATTAACATACAGCTAACAAACGTACAATTACACCAATTATTCATATTGGCGTTTAATCAGGATACAATTAACGGTGAAATCACTAAATCTGGGGAAGCATTGAAAATTCGGGACAAGCGGAGGGACAAGGTCAGATCAAAATGCCCGTAAGGATTATGCTTGGAATATGCAATTACAGTAAACTTCGTTTATACTGAACACGCATACATCGAGCTGACGGATATAACGAACTTGTATTTGGTGTATATTTCATTTGAAATGCGTATAGCGAACTACAATTAGTGGTCTCTTTAAGTTCGTTATAGCCGTAGTTCATCTTTAACGATGTAACCGAGTTCGAGCTAACAGTTATGCCGACTGACCTCTTGGTTGAGAATGGCTGCGGCAGCACCATCGCAGAGTCTGATGGCGGTGTCGGGGTCGGCGTTTCGGGCCATGTCGAGGAGGGAGGAGAGGTCATCAAGGCTCTGGTTGGTCTTCCTGATGTCAATTATCTGAGATGTCATCGACATCAAGTTGTTTCGGGTGATGTACAAGATGATCCCAAAGGAGAAATAATCGGTGACAAAGTAACTTGCAGGGAAGGATATTTTGGCGTTGTATCTAGTCAGGGCATCAGGTAGACTTGCTGTGTCATTGAAAACATGTCCTTTTTCGTATATACCCAAAGGATTTTTGGTTTGTCCTTTGTACAAAGTATCTGTGTGACGTACTGTTGATTGAGATTTCAATTGCGCTAATGTTAGAGCTTTAGCAGAGTCTAAGTCAGTACTTGGTAGAAAGAACATGTCGTAGATTAGGCCATTTCTAACGTTACTCGTCAAATCCGGATCGCGAGACGCCGAAACGTCCAAGATAGCGTTCGCGTAGATGAGGAAGGTTTGGACGTCCCCGCCGATGATCTCAGCGACTGGTTCAGACATGATGATACGGAGGTACAGATCATGTGAAGCACTGATCAGGTCGTGGTCAACCGGGGCCACAGTTACTGTGATTTTGTACAGCCCGTACGGTAGCCCTAGAGGAGGGATAGTCAGCGTATTGTTAGTCTCCTGGAACTTGCAGATCTCATGGACTTGGGTCTCCGTCTGAGTGCCTTGGTCTATGGTGATCTTCAGTGCCTTCCAGGAGAAATTTGCCGTCGAGTTCTTTATGCAGTTGAGGTCAGTATCCACCGTGACCAACATCTCCTCTGACCTTTTGTGCTCGGCTGGACTGATTTGGCTTGTTGGGTCAATGTTCCTGAAACTCACAGTTGGGATAGAACAGACTTGAGGTCCGGGTGTCGTATCATAATCTACTATCACAGTTGGACACAGAGGCGCTGTTGCGTGGCTGAAATCGTTGGTGGCCGACACGCTAATATTGAAGTAGCCGGTGTCCATGTATGTGTGGGTGATGTTGACAACACTCTCAGATATAACCCTCCCGACGGTTTGTACATCAGTTTTAACTCCACCTGTAATATGCTCTGGTAAAGAAAAGCTTGTTTCGTCACCGAAGTCAATATCATACGTGACTTCAGATCCGGTTGGGCATGTGACCGTAAAGGTGACCTGGCCGTTGATGGGAATTCTATCAATGTTTGACACGATGTCGATCGTTGTAATATTCTGTCCAACCTGAACCAATACCTGTTCAGTTACGGAGCTTATATTGTTAGAAGCTGTAACCATGATTCTGTAGATGCCCCAGTCGCTGTAGGTATAGTCGGTGCTGAAGGGGAGAAAACCGACAGGGTCGGTGTTGTCATATTCATGAACCTTTGGCGCCGTTCCATCCCGGTAGTCAATGGTGAAGACAACTTTGGGTGGACCCTTGTTTCCCATGTTCACATCAACTGTAAGTCCCACCGGGGTTGACAACGACGTCACGTTGGCTGACGCAAGGCTGATGGCGAACACGGGAACCTCCACAGACATTTCCTCCCCAACCATTTCAGAGGTGATGTCATTAGCCACCCTCGCAAAGAGGCCATACCCGCCAAGGCTGGTGTATTCTGCCTCGCCCGGAATGTACAGAGTCTCTGTGGAATCATGGATGTAGTACACTTCACTCGGTTGGCCGTTGCCGTAGTTGAAGGTCAACGCCATGAAGTCTCCCGGCGGGATTTCTATCGTAAAGTTCACGGTCATATTCCACGGTCCAGCCAACTTGCTAGCATTGATTTTTGGTTTTGGGGTTCTCCTTTCAGCTCGTATGTACTTTCTCTGCAAAAGCTGGTCGTGCCATATGAGATCTACTTTAAGGTCGGACCCTGCAGTAAAGTCTGTGCCTTGTACCTCTACTTGTGTAGCTGTCTTTACAGGTGTTACCGCGGTTCCGTTGACCTCTGTGACCAGATCGTCAACAAATGTACCCGGACCCACCACATCAAACCGTACCACCATACCGATTTGAATATATTGATAATATTCATAAAATTCCTTGGACAGAAAATCGAAGTTGTCAACCGTGAACCCATATTGGTTGGAACAAACGGCTGTGGTATCATACTGACCAATACCGGCGTAATCGTGAACTTCAGTCTGTGATGACAGAAAATCCGTGTACATCAGGAAGGAAGAGCTGCCGTCACCGTACGTCACAGTGCAGTTTGTGTTGACTGGATCGTTTACAGTCAGCTGTATCTCACACCTTTTAGATTTATCCGTCGGGTGGATTCCAGACAGTTCAACCAGATAGGGACTCTGACCTTCATCCACATCTTCTATTTTGATCAATATTGTCTTCTTCAAGTGGATTAACCCGATCGTTGTCGACACAGTGACGACGTAATCTCCTTCACTACTCCACGAATGACTAACCGGAGGGTATCCACTAGACACGCTGATTCCGTCGTTGAAGTTGAAGCTGAAGCTGACATCAACGCTGACGTTAATGGACGCCATCAAGAGAACATCTTCTCCTGGCTTGGTGTAGTTCCTGGGGCTGAGTCGTTGGCTCGTCAGGCTCAGGACGATGTTTGTGTGTGTGGTTTTGACGTGGGAGACCAAATATACCTTCCAGTCTCCCCGACACACCCAGCTGGGCTGCTGACCTGGGGGTCCATGTTCACACAGCTGCATTGCGCGTTGTCCTGGAGGAACGCGTAGGACATGTTGTGATCTTTGCAGAACTGGCGACACTCGTGGATGGGGTGGTCAAGAGTGGACACATTCGTGGTGAGATTAAGCTGAGCGTTGAAAGACGGTTCACATCCCAGGAACAAGGAGTCATTTTCACCTGTAAGTATACAAACTATTTTCAGTAATACTTCTTACACTTTTAATATTTTAATTCGTATTTTACCTAAATCAGTGGTTGCTGGGCTTTTTTGTTGATGGCAAAATGGTAACCAGGAATTCACATTTTACATTTGTTTGAAATGGATGCTGTTAAAAGTGACATAGAGAGAGTGAGTGAGTTAGTTGGTTTAATTTTGCGCCGCTTGAAGCAAAATTACAACAATATCACAGCGGAGGACGCTGGTAATGGACTTCACACATTGTACCCATGTGGGGAATCGAACCCCGGCTTTTGGCGTGACGAGCGAACGCTTTAAACACGAGGCTACCCCGCCGCCCCGGCACAGACGGATTCAATTACTGATCTAAAAGTTCATTTCACAGAAAAATCCATTGATGATACTTTATGTCACATAACATTTTATCATAAAATATGCCACAAACAAGGTATATATCTTTATGTCAACCTGTACCCGTGAAGGTCCGGGTTAGAATAATGATCTTCAGTAACCCATACTTGTCGTAAGAGGCGACTAACGGGATCGGGTGGTCAGGCTCGCTGACTTGGTTGACACATGTCATCGGTTCCCAATTGCGCAGATCGATGCTCATGCTGTTGATCACTGGATTGTGTGGTCCAGACTCGATTATTTATAGACCATCGCCATATAGCAGGAATATTGAAGAGTGGCGTTAAACTAAACTCACTCACTCACTCATTATATCAACATTCCATAGCATCAATTTTAAATTGATAAACCTACTTAACGCTTTTGATTGTATGTTATGCTAATACTTTCTTTTAAAAACATTTCGTAGAATGTTATCACACTGTTAGGAAAAAAAATTCATCTTTTTAAATGTGTAACGCTTGCTGGGTTGGTCACACAAAGTGCACGGTTTATCTTAAACTGGTTATAAGGGGCGGTGTAACCAGGAACCATTATCAAGGTATCTAAGATCAAAATAGGAAGATATTATCATTGTTCCATAGCTTAACACATGAAGAGTATTAACTTGCACGACAATTTGTTTTTTATCATTTTCCATGAGTGGATATATCTATACAATTGTCTGACTTAGCTGACACATGTCATCGTATTCCAACTTCGTAGATCGATGCTCATGCTGTTGATCACAGTATTATCTGGACTCAATTGTGTACAAACCGCCGTCATATAGCTGGAATAGTGCTGAGGGCGGCGTTAAACAATAAATAAACAAAAACACTTTGACCTAAATCTACGGGTAACGTTAAGACATTATAACAGTGAATCGTGATTTCGAACATGTTCCTGGCACGCGTAAGGGACGCAACTCTGCACAACGAATTTCAGTGTTTAAGACGACTGGGTCACCGTGTGCGTGCCGTTCTTTGTGTGAGACGTTGTGTGAGGCGTAGGAATCACTTGCGTGTAGAATGATTGAACGAGTGCATGTTGTCTGTCACAAATGACGCTCCCCTGGACGCCATGAACCGTTTTAAAATGAATATCATTACATGGCAGGCAATAACAGAGTGTTCTTCTTGCAATCAAACAGTCTAATGAAGAAATGTCTTGAGAAATCCACAAAGGAATTCTATCCCAGAGCAAAAAAAGATATGTACTTTCTTCAAATGTAACAATTCATTTAAGTACAAAAAAATTACTTTTAACGGTCTGCACATAAACAATACATCAAGTGCCTAACGGAACCTTTAATTGGGCAATCGTGTGACGCCCGTGCGTTCGCCACACACACACGCATCGCCTACGTCGCAAATGAAAACAGGCAATAGTGAAGTGGCCGAATCTCCTTGCGATAAGAATTAATTAAACTCCGTCGCTAACGTCATCATGTCACGCGAGGAGTAAACAACGTTGACGTCATGCACGACATCTACACCGGAACAGGATTGAGGGTGCGTCTATTATTGATTCGAGTGATCGATATACATTTAATCGATAAAGATCGAGTGGGTTCCGTGCATTGGCGGCCATTGCACGCAAGATTGCAATTGAAGGGTTTTAATTTTCGATGCGTATTTCGTCTTTAACATTGAATTTGATGGCCACCATTTAAGATTAGACCCAGAATGAGAGTACAGTTACTAAGCGACGCGGTTTGATGGGACTTTTATTTCTCTTATAAAGAGTTTGAATTAATACGAGATAATCTATACCGTTTATACTGCGTAAGTCAATAGTTTATATATACTGTGAATAAAAGGTTAAGCGCCACCCAGTATATTTTGCCAATATAGGTTGTCTCATAGCAAATCTTTCAGAAAAAAGCCAACTACCATAATTTGGTTTAGTACTTTTAGTTTAAAAACAAATTTAACCATTTTGGAATTTATCTTTTACTTTAAACAGGATGTATGCGCATTTGGAAAACATGCATTTTGTTTTCCTCAAATAGGTTACCTTCTTTTGAAAAGTGAAAATCAGAAATGACTGTTATATGGTCACATGATTGTCATTTTTGACAAGTGAAACCTGAGTTTAATAGTGTTGTATAAGCAGAATAGGAGTTATTTTGCTTTAAACAGCAGTGCCATCATATCTTTAACAATATTTCCTTTAATTGTAAATACAAATGTTTATGATATCCCTAAATCCGTTACCAGATGAACCTTCTCTAAATATGGATTGGTCTTCCCAATTATTTTAGCCTAACATTCCCACAGGTTCACATCTTAGTATTGAAATAGGCTGGCGCTTCACTTTATATTCTCGGTATTAATGAATCACAATAGTTTTATAAAGAAATTCTAAAATATCTGACCAAATATTTTAGTTCTATCATTCAAAACAACATAATCCTACTTCCACGGTAAACATAGAGTTAAACAAAATATATTTAAATATATGAATTGCATCTACATGTAATTGACAGTGTAGCCTGCTGTACTGAAAATAGAAACTTCATTTAAGGGGCATTGTTTTCTAAATAGCTGCGGGTGCTGTTGGGTTACTGGGTGATGTATCCTAATCCTACAGTTTAGTTAAGGTAGCTACCAGTGAAGATGCGGGTTAGAATTGATCTTCAGCAACCCATACTTGTTGTAAGAGGCAACTAACGGGATCGGGTGGTCAGACTCGATGACTTGGTTGACACATGTCATCGTATCCAAGTTGTGTAGATCGATGTTCATGTTGTTGATCACTGGATTTTGTGGTCCAGACTCGAATATTAACAGATCGCCGCCATATAGCTGGAATATTGCTGAGTGCGGCGTTATACAACAATTAGAGAAAAAGGTAGCGGTAGGGAAGTCATCAGTATATATACTGGTTGGCTCGACACACCTAAAGGATGACATGTGTCAACCAAGTCAGCGAGCCTGACCACCCGATCCCGTTAGTCGCCTCTTACGACAAGCATGTGTTACTGAAGGTTCATTCTAACCCGGATTGTGGAACAGTTAAACAACGCTGTCAAACTTTGATGTGTCGAACGGCTGTCTCGAAGTAAAAGCTGCTTCCTGCATATTCCGTATTTAGTCATTTTACGTCTGTGTCGAGCTTCGGATAACTCGAAGTATTAATAGTCCCTTCAACTTCGACACAACAGTGTTTAGCGGTATTTCAGAATGCATATTACACGAGCGTCCTTTGTGTTGTTACGGAATTCGTATTTAATACCTGATTTAAAGCAGAGCGGCTGTACGTGTTGGCGCAGTTTCAGCGACCTTGACACCACCAGCTTGACCGTACAACTGGGACAGGTCAGTGTGAAAGTACGGGATTTGCAATCTTCTAAGCGCTGAAAGTTTCTTTTTTCAACGGTACTAGCCGACACATGGTTTTTCTGCTTAAACACCCTTCACTATGCCCATTTCAGAAGTCCCTCGTCGTGATATACCTGGAATATTGCTTAAGCGAGTAACGCCATAAATTCCACTACGTCATCCCCGTCATTCTGGTCTAGAATACCTTCGAACACACATTAAAAACTGTGTTGGGTACTATAATGATATTACCACTGATTCTACGATAAAAACTAGTTTATCAACACCATGTCTTTTCACCAAAACGTGGACAGAACCATTTGTATTCGTTACACATCCAATATTTCTGAATTCCTGAAATAACTCTATGCTTTGGCTTTGTTGGATACAAGCACGTTTTCTCATACGTTATGAAGCTATATGTGCTGCAACTGTACTTATATAACCGCTCGAACTCAGTCTTTAAGGCACCTTTAATGGCACCCGTTCTTCAATAACAATCATTTTAATCATGTGAATATGTACTCATAGCAAGGTGTCATAATGGGTCTAAAAGGAAATTCCAGAGTAACGTCCCTTAGCCATGCCTCGATCCGTTGATCATGATTTTAATCACAGATTGTCAAAGATCAATGGTAAACATCTAAGGCCCACATCCCTTAGAGCTTTCTACCGCATCAAGCTGAAACGCTGGAATAAAACTGGACACCCGCCGTCCAAATCGGTGTATAATTCTCCCCAAATCCATGCTCTGATTCATACCGCATGATAGATGCCATCCAAAGACAGGAAACACTCGTAAAAGGAAAGGCCATTTGCCTGCTCCACCAGACTGAAGCCAACATTCGTTAATATATCATCGTAAGTCTACCTTAAAGAATGTAAGATTCGATCGTATTATCGCTAATATCGCTTTGTGCAAATGGCCACTGGTCTATATATGCCAACTAGGGGCTTCGGATTGGCTACATTTAACAGAATGTTATTTCAGCTTCTATACCTGTACTTTAATTTACCACCTAACGTGAAAATACTTCAAAATACAAATATGAAAACCAATAGTTTTGGGGGCTTTGGTGTTATCAAAACTGGTACTGAATAATACTGTCGAAAACAAGGTGACCTGGACAAAAGCAATCCATGGTGCGAGTTGTCATGACATTACATGACACACAATACCTACATGAGCCACGTGATATCGATGACAATTTACAGTTTACAGTAATTTACATAAATATGGATGGAATTCGGAGTGAACAGAAATTTATCGAAATTCAACACAACAGGGTTCGATACAATCTACATTTGAGGTAATATAGTTACACGCTTAATAGGTAAGTGATGAAACGAAAGCGAAACAGTCGACAGCAACGTTTGTCTTCAACGCTCGCTATCATATCGGCATGATAAAGCAATGCCCTCGTGAATCTAATTTTAAGAACCTATATAAAAGCACATAGTTCATTGCTAAACATCAGATTGTGCATGATATGTCGTACAAGTGTGCAATGATATACTGCCTGTTTGTTTCTACATTCGTACACAGTTACTATTATATCACGGTGACAGTGTTTGCACTCAGAGAGTGTGAGTGAGTGAGTTGTGTTTTGTGCCGCCCTTACCATATTCCAGCAATATCGCGGCGAGGACACTAGAAATTGACTTCACACATTGTATCCATGTGGGGAATCGACCTGGGCCTTCGGCGTAACGGCGAACGCTTTAACCACAGGCTACCCAAAAAGACAGCGCTCATACGAAACACAGTTAAATGTATGATAATAAATCATTCGCGAACAATGCTCGTTTATGACGTTTAGTCTTTTGTTTGGCACAAATTTGGCATAGGCTGTTTGTTAAACATGATAATAAGCTAATCAAAGCTACGATTCTAACACAGTCTGGGAATGGTTTTTCTGAACATATAGGTGTATGTCTTGCTGTACATGTGTTGAACTCACCTACAAGCTTGACGAGGTTACTTGCCACGCTGATGTCGTTGTACACGTCGACACTTGACACGAGGAACCTCGACTCTGACGTCAGCGGAAGTCCGTACTCATCCAGACCCACAACAATGCCATATTCTCCCACGTAGTCGGACGTCGCAGCATCGCGCACATCAACGCTTGTCTCTGCATTCTCCACCAAGCCATCCACGTACACTGTCAAACCGAGGCTGGATGACCAGCTTAACGCAAGATGGACCCACTCATCAGACGTCAAACTGAACTTGACCTTCCACACATTGCCGCCATATTTGACCCCAGCCTCGTATTGGTTCCCGTACACCTGTGTGACGTAATATCCGTCCCCGTCCGCTGCATGGCCGCCATTTGATATTACGACAATATTTTTGGCCTCTGCATTTGCGGCGGATGGTTTTATCCAGACTGCCACAGTAAAGCCGTTGTTGCAAATGCTGACGTTGCCGGCGCACCAGTGAGGGAAAGCCCCAAGGTCAGCGAATGACCCGGAGAGGCTCTTGGTCACGGTGAATAGAGTGGTCTCATTTTCATAATACTTCAGTGTTGGGTCATTCTGACCAGTCACGGTTCCTGTCAGAAACAAAGAAAGGATTAAAAGACAGGAACATCCGTTATGTGATGAACGTCTTAATTTTGATGGTGAAATACGTGTTGGTTTTAACAGTTCATCGTGTTCGAGAATACATTTGTGGCTGGTTGTATTCGATGATATCAAATCATAATATCAAATATAATCATAATATTTCTATATGTATTAACTGCTTAACTTTATTTTGTTACCTTGTGACATACTGTGGAAGGATACGACTGTTGCGTCAGTTTATAATCAACAGTACAAGGCTGAGACCAATAGCGTCAGTTTATTATTAACTTTACAAGGATGTGAGCAACAGCGTCAGTTTATGATCAACTTACAAGGCTGAGACCAATAGCGTCAGTTTATGATCAACTTTACAAGGTTGACACCAACAGCGTCAGTTTATGATCAACTTTACAAGGTTGTGACCAACAGCGTCAGTTTATGATCAACACAACAAGGTTGTGACCAACGGCGTCAGTTTATGATCAACACAACAAGGTTGTGACCAACAGCGTCAGTTTATGATCAACTGTACAAGGTTGAGACCAACAGCGTCAGTTTATGATCAACTGTACAAGGTTGTGACCAACAGCGTCAGTTTATGATCAACACAACAAGGTTGTGACCAACAGCGTCAGTTTATGATCAACACTACAAGGTTGTGACCAACAGCGTCAGTTTATGATCAACACAACAAGGTTGTGACCAACAGCGTCAGTTTATGATCAACTGTACAAGGTTGAGACCAACAGCGTCAGTTTATGATCAACTGTACAAGGTTGAGACCAACAGCGTCAGTTTATGATCAACACAACAAGGTTGTGACCAACAGCGCCTGCTTGGAGACCGATCTACTGCTCAAGTATTCCTGTTTATTTGGATATATATATTTTTTAAATCTACTTGTATTTAGGCTTTATAGAAAGAAATGTAATTTCACTGAGAACAGTGCGAAAAAGGAAACGAAAGAAGTTGTAATATTTATATGATTGAATTGAAAGTCATTTACAAATCAATGTTTAAAAATGTTCAATGTTCCTCTGAGTTTCAGAAAACGAGCTTTAAAAATCTTGACCAAAATAACGTTCTTTACCCAATTTTCATACAGGTGCAATTTCTTCAAAAACCTGGACTCATCCCTAACTGAATATACATTAGCCGTTGGTGTATCATAAATGATTATAAGAGTTAGAACTACTGACATTATGATTGTTACAATTTCGCTGTTTGAACAAGTGTTTGAACTTTAACAACAATAGTTAAAACATGTATTTTCAGTCTCACATTTGGTATCTACCAGAAAGAGACCAAATCGTACCTTAAAAGAATATTAATTGTATCATCTCCATAAGATTTCTGAAGTTTGTTACAATTGATTTTGAAGGCTCAAAAACCATTATTATCTCAACGTAAATGTAAAGGTTTATTTATTAAATGTGATGACCTATGGTTTAAGAAAACTTTTCATGGCCATGATCAGATAACCTTGACTTTCTGTGTAAATATTGTATCGTGGTCAGTTAAAGCATTGGCATCTTCCTTGTAAGCCATCTCGCCATCCTATGTATTCCTAACTGTATATTTGTACCTCTTATGTCGAGTATCCACACCTGAGCGTAATACAAGTTCTGTTCTGTTCTGACATATCGAGGCATTTACAAAATCAACAAAACATAAGGAGAGGTTTGATGAGGCCCTTACACTAGACCATCATAGTTCAAAACATACAAGGCATATAAAAAGCCATTCTGAATGTTAACAGGAGTGCGCAAATGGATGTAAACTGGGCATTGTCCCCTTCAATACTTGCATAATCTTGACGTATTGAACGCCAAATATCGAAATAAGTCTAAATGTGTGTTCCCGGGGCGTTTTCCCCAAATTATTTGGAGAAAAATATTTCATTGACTTAATATGACATTCCCATCAGAAGATTGTATAGCAAATGCACTCATATGGGAAACATTCATACCTAGAATTTATCCAACCCGTTTTCCATGTTAGCCATAGTTCTATGTTTGATAAAACATCATGTCAATTATTTGAAGAAGTATCTTACGAACAATTTCTTGACGTTAACATTTGCTATTTCCATGGAGCTCAAAACAGAAAATATCATTCATTGCCTTTCCATTTGAAATAATCGAAAAAAGCACCTGTATACATTTTATGTTTTCAATATAATTATACATACCTATACAACATCCCAATACTGCCAGAACCAGAGCTAGCAAACGGAAACCAGCCATAAGCCTGGCCAGAATTTTGGGCACGGAACACCTCTCCAGTAGTTTGGTCCGTAGCGTCCTAACTGCACAAGGGAAAGGAAAATTCGGCAACTAAAGAAACTTTAGCGACCAGCCTTCCCATATCCTACACTGATAGAGTAATGAGGCTTCTATCAAAGATTAATTCAAGCACAATCAAGGTAGAATATTTAAGCTTAATTAAGTTATTTGGGACGTGTATTCGAGTCCCGGGGGATGTGGCGCTTTGGAGAACTGCTACGTGATTGTTGACTCTCAAGAAAGGACTCCATCAATTATTAAATTCCAATCACGCGGTCTCCGTGCATCTACCTGTGTCACGTCAGGCAAGAGTCTTGCAGGTATTGGCACTTCTTGGTCTGGAGAAGGAGACCCCCCATGGAGGTGTCCAGCGGTTAACACGACATAGGGTGTGGTTAACGGTGCGCAATGTGTCAGATGTGTAAGGCTGCCATTCCATGGCGTTATGTAGGTTACTGTGGTCAATTAAACTCGCCAGATCATTCCAGGTGTTGTTTTGTCACAAATACAATACTGAAATGAAACCTGGAATAACTGTGTTTATATAATCTACTCATGAAACTAATCATTCCATGATATGCTTCTATATACTGGACGTATATGCTGTAACATTGACTTGACAAAACTTTACTAGGCTGAGAACAGTCGGCGAAACACTGGAAACCTAAGGTCCAAGAACACAGCCGGTGATACCCGTATTGAGTATGTCACACGAAATAACCACTGATTTTTCTTGTTACTTATGTTATATTTGGGATTACACTTTCTCAGTAAATACAGATTCTAGTGGTTTTGTTGGGTTGAGTCCCATCCGGGATTCAAACCCACACCCTCAGAGTCAGGCACCTAATCCCCAGCACACAAAGCGACTGACTGGGTTAGATCGCTGATTTTGTATGCTGGCGACGATCCGGGTTAGAATTGGTCCTCAGCAACCCATGCTTCTCGTAAGAGGCGACTAACGGGATCAGGTGGTCACAAACCGAAACATGAGTCTCATTAACCTATTCAGACAATGACCTACTTTTCAGCCGATCCGAATTTTCTCGTGTGAAAGTGAAAATGGACATCACAAACAACTATGGTTACACTGAATTCCAGTTCATTGTTTCATAAAAAATGGTATTTACAAATGAATTTTAAACTTAAATAACATCGTATTTCTATATTTTATGGCGTGGTGTAGGCAGCATGATCTTAACTGAGCTGTCACAGACTGCCTCAGTTTGATGAGGTCGTAAAATGATTCACAATGCATCTGGCTCACTGGTTACATCTGTTATGTGTTTTATGCGCTTATTCAGTGTAGTCCTGTAACGCACAATGTGATTGATATAATATCAAGTCCGTACCATACCGCCAAACGTTTCTAGCGGCAGAGCCTCGTTTTGAGATTTCCACGATTTCCAGGTTTCTGTTTGTCAGTGCTCGCTGTACAACAGAGCACGCTGCACGACATGTTTGCAAGGATTATAAGGAGCGTAGTGTTGCAATATGCAAGTGCTTAGATGTATCAAATAATACTGATGAATATTTATGTATCCAGTTAAATGAGTTGGTCTCTAAATTCTCGACTGGTTATTGTACTAAGTTGCGCAATAGGACGAAACCCAGTCAACAGGACACGAGACTGTTGTGTAATCAATGTTTTGACTTGGCTCGCTGACTTGGTTGACACGTCATCGGATTCCTAGTTGCGTACATCGATGCTCATGATGTTTATCACTGGAGTGTCTTGTCCAGACTCGGTTATAGAAAACCGCCATATAGCAGGAATATTGCTAAGTGCGGAGTTAAACAACAAACAAACGTATTTACTGTTAACAATAACAACGTTCGTTAGATGCTCAGGTATACTTGTTTAAGGTGAAGCTTACACTATACGCGGCTTTTCATTGGACGAAAGGAGGATCAGAATAACACTAAACTCACTTCCACCACGTGTAAACGTTACGTTATCTGCGTAATACATGTACGTGGTACATCGCTTAATGAGAGTGATATATTGCATAATAAGAGTGACATATCGCGTAATGAGAGTGATATATTGTATAATAAGAGTGACATATCGCGTAATGAGAGTAATATATTGTATAATAAGAGTGACATATCGCGTAATGAGAGTAATATATTGTATAATAAGAGTGACATATCGCGTAATGAGAGTGATATATTGTATAATAAGAGTGAAATATCGCGTAATGAGAGTGATATATTGTATTGCATAATAAGAGCAATCAAGAGAGTGAAATATAATAAGAGTGAAATATCGCGTAACGAGAGTGATATATTGTATAATAAGAGTGAAATATCGCGTAATGAGAGTGATATATTGTATAATAAGAGTGAGTGAGAGTGATATATTGTATAATAAGAGTGAAATATCGCCTATATGAGAGTAATATATTGCATAATAAGAGTGACATATCGCGTAATGAGAGTAATATATTGTATAATAAGAGTGAAATATCGCGTAATGAGAGTGATATATTGTATAATAAGAGTGAAATATCGCGTAATGAGAGTGATATATTGTATAACAAGAGTGAAATATCGCGTAACGAGAGTGATATATTGTATAATAAGAGTGAAATATCGCGTAACGAGAGTGGTATATTCTATAATAAGAGTGAAATATCGCGTAATGAGAGTAATATATTGTATAATAAGAGTGAGATATCGCGTAATGAGAGTGATATATTGTATAATAAGAGTGAAATATCGCGTAATGAGAGTGATATATTGTATAATAAGAGTGAAATATCGCGTAGTGAGAGTGATATATTGCATAATAAGAGTGAAATATCGCGTAATGAGAGTGATATATTCCTGGATGAAGCAAATGTTCCGCAATGTCCCCTTTCCGTAGATTGACCAAAATCCTTACACAATCACAGTTGGGCATTCTTTATTTTCACAAAAAATATTTGATAGTTGAATAATATCATTACATTCTCAAAAGACTTGTAACCCATCTCTATCCCACAAGACAAACTGAAGGGAGAACTCATTAGTTGATCCCTTGGCATGCGTTAACGGGGCAAACAATATGTGAAATGCTGGACTTATTCGTGTGAAATTTGGGAATTGGGCATTTATACCCAAAATAGGCATCTCCATGGGTACGGAATGTGCTCCCCTTCCCGCTGATCTGGGAACATCCGATTCCCTCAAAATGATTTACCCACCGAAACGTAAAGCAGAAAAAGCTAGTGAAACAGACGAGATGGTTTCATATTAAGACGTATGTATAAAGATTCAAAGTTACTGTGACAAGTCGGGTGACTCAGCTTTACAATAGTCAAATTTCAGCAATATTCCAGGAGGTCGAGCGTTTAGTGTCCACATTTCACAACTATACTAGCCACATAAAGAAACTGTGCATTGTCAAAATATTATCCCAGTTGATAAGTACGATAACAATGTCAAAGGTACATATAAACCTTAATGGAGGGATCATGAGACCATAAGAAGTCGGGAGAATTTCAATTGAAAAGTCAATCACTATGACGTCACGAATCCACACGCGGGACAGGGGTCAAACGACCATGTCACAAGCTCAATAACGGGTATGTCCACCATCGGCATTGAGAACAGCAGTGCATCGACGACGCATAGAACCTATCAAACGTGCAAGGAAGGCTTGTGGGATGTCACGCCAGATTCTCTCAAGTTCTGTTGCAAGGTCAAGGACGTTATCTGGCGGATGAGGAAGACGGCGTAGACGTCGATCCATCTCGTCCCAAACATGCTCTATCGGGGAGAGATCCGGTGAATTTGCAGGCCAAGGCAGTAAGTCAACGTTGTGGTGTTGCAAGAAATCCATAGCAACCCTTGCCGTATGAGGGCGGGCATTGTCCTGTTGGAATGTTAACCCAGGGCCATGACGTTGCAGAAAAGGAATTGCCACAGGTCGAAGAATCTGATCCCTGTAGCCCACACCAGTTAAGTTGCCCTGAACAATCACCAAAGGAGTTCTTTGGCGTGCTGTTATTCCACCCCAAATCATCACGGAACCACCACCAAAGCGATTCCTCTCCAAGACACAGGCCTGTGCATAACGTTCTCCCACGCGTCTATAGGCACGTTGACGTCCATCCCTATGTTTAACCTGGACTCATCTGTAAAACAACATTTCTCCCCAAAACAAGGGTCTGCGGACATAATTTCGGCACCACATTCGGCGAGCTTGTCGATGACGTTGTGTCAGGATAGGCCGTATGGCAGGACGTCGTGGTCTGATCCCGTGATGACGTAAACGTTGTCGAACTGTGTTGGGGTGGATACGGCGAAGTCCTGGGATGGTTCGGGCAGTCATCACTGCAGTCTGAAACCTGTGGCGAAGATGGGTCACCCTTATCCATCTGTCCTGTCTTGGCGTTGTTACACGTGGACGTCCAGAACGTGGCCGATCGATGACGTCATTTGTGTTCTGGTAGCGTCTCACCAGTGCAGAAATGGTGTTCCGGTGGCAGTGGAAATGTGCAGCCACTTGTCGTTGAGACATTCCCCCACGGACCATCCCAATGGCCTCATGACGTTGTGCAGACGTGAGCCTTGGCATGCTATGCGTTTCAATAGCCGTTTAATTTTTTGAACGATCGCAAGGGCATGGGTTGAGCTTTCCAAAGTGACAGTATTGTGTGGCATTCATTTGCTCTGTTTCTCTTTCCCGGAATGCACGTGCAACAACGTATTGCACGTCTCAAGGACGAACCCACTGACGCCACGGCACGTGGCACGTGCATGCATGTTGGATACATGTCACTAATCTCTGAGTTTAAATCCTTATTTGTCTACACAGGTTTGATAAATTTAGATGTTAAATTTTTGTATGCACAGTTTCTTTATGTGCCTAGTATATATACATTAAGTTGTTACAACAGAGCATTTTCTTCCAGAGAAGATTTCAAAGAGGTTCATGCGACTTAAAAGTTGTTTAAACAAAGATACAAAAATCAAGGCTAACACAAGCTTTGAAAATGTCGAATCGGATCGTTTCATCGTGATACCTAAACATGTGCTCATGATATAGACCCAGTCGTACAATGGACTCTGTCCTTTCTC